TTAATTATTTTAAATTAATATGAATTTACGAGCTACGGGTTATAAGGAAATTCAAATTTGAGTGAAAGGGGTGAGCTCAATTATCCCGCCAATTAATCTAGATCACGTTTAAAATTTTTAAAAACAAATTAAAAGAAATAAAAAAAGAGGAGTAAGGATGAAAAATAGAACGTTATGAATATGCTTTAAAAAGAGGTGGTGATGATGATGATGATGAATATGAATATGAATTGGATGATATGGATGCAAATGAATAAAAGCACTCTCAAAAGATAAAAAGAGAGGTACGATGAGAGATGAGGAGTAGGGGTAGGCGTCAGTTGGCACTTGGGGTCATTTTCTTGGAGCAACATGGATGAAGGATATAGGCTCTCTCACTCACACCTTTTTAACGTTTGCTTGATAACAAAAGGACCAAGGCTATTGGCTACAATTGCTACCCCAATTTATTTCACTTTAATTTAATTCCTAAAGATTCTTTAATATTATTTAGAAATTACAATAAGAAACAAGAAAATTGAAGTAGCTAGCTAGGTGCTACTAGAAATGATACAAAAGATATATATATATATATATATATTTATAGAGTTTGAAAATTTGAAAAAGGTTTGGCGTCACCTTAACTGAAAAGACAAAAGTAGCCATGTGTTTTGGTGGACCAAGGGTAGATGTTGTCCACATTTCTTTTTCCCATATTTTTGTTAGTTGGGTTGGGTGAAGATGACCTGCTGACTGTGTTGAGCTAATGCAGTGAAAATTGGTTTTATCTTGTCCCTCAGATAAAATGATTGAAAAGCAAAGTGCATGTAGAACAGAAGAACTCGGAAGTGTATAATATGTATGAATAATATTTTACCTATAATTGGTAATGTCAGAAGATATTGAAGCATCATCATCATCAAGTTAATTGAGAAAATGCCAAATTTCCCTATATTCAAATCGATAATAAATCTTTGAAGGAAACAGGTGAGAGAAACTTTCAAGTTTATTTATTTCTATAAATCGCATTACCCTATGACTAACTGTAGATGATGTTGAGGAAAGAAATATATGAACTCTCTCTCTCTCTCTCTCTGCCTCTGCCTCTGCCTCTGCCTCTGGGTTTAAAACAAAACTTCAAACTTTTTTTCTGTTTTTTTGTATCAGAAAATATATTTGTTTCATGGTAAAGTTTATAATTAAGAAAAGAAAGAAAGGAGCAAAATTGTTGCATCTGAAATGGAACTGACCTGAACAACAAGAGGAGGAATATCCAAGAAACTCTGAGCTTCCACCCTGTACAGGAGTTTCCTCCAAGACCTGTTTGGTTTCCGGGAAAGCTCAAGAAACTCCTCAGCAGTGATATCCATGAAGGCCTCAGCAAAGAGAGCACCTTCTCCATTGCAGTCAACCTCAAGCTTTTGATCATGGTCAGCACTGGTCCTCAACCTCCCAGCCAATGGGTAGTAGTCAACAAGGACTTTAGAGAGGGCATATTTGAGGCCATCTAAGTTGACAGATTTTTTGAAAAGGTAGAGATATTTGATGGAGAATCTGAGAAACTTCTGGTCATCAAGATTGGAGAGGGAGAGGCAATGCTTGGGGGTTGGTGTGTTTGGGTGGATTAGTACCGGTTGAGTTGGATAAAAGCAATCTGGTAGTTGTTCTTGAGATTTTAACATATTTTGCTAATTTTTGTAGTAATTTATTGTGTATACTTGTTGATGGCTGATGGCTGATGGCTGATGGCTGAGGGTGGTGTTAAAAAGGCTTGAAGCAGACACAGAGAGAGAGAGAGAGAGAGAGAGAGAGAGAGAGAGAGGGTAATTAAGTGAGGGGGGATGTGGCTAGCTAAGTAGAGTGGGGAAAACAATATCTACGGTTGGATATGAGGGACGGTACGATGAGATTCCTTCAGGGGTGAAGCTAGGAAGAGAGCATGTGCATTAGGCTTACTATATGCCCACACTTCTTAGTTACTCCTCCTAATTAATTAGTCATTAGCAAACCTGTAATTTGCAAATTAGTGCCTAAACTTTGAAAAGTTGTAACTTTAAAAAACAGGGTACCAGTTTTCTTCCCTCTCTTTATTATTTTTATTTGAAACTCATAATTAAGTAAACTCAGTGAGTGTTTAGCCAACATGTTAGTGCAGTTCAAATGATTGAGGTCATCAATATCATCTTCACATAAATGTTTATCATTTCTCCTTCTTTTTTTTTCCTGATAAAAATAAATAAATTTGGCATTAAAAACTATAACTTGCATCCAGCATTTCTTTGCTGCAACAACACTCACTGACGCCGGTAAAACCATGGAGAAAATCAAAAGCTTGTGCAGCAGCAATATGGTCCAACAATTAAGTTGGACTCTGTAGGCACAACAACAAAACGACATGATAAAAGTCATAAATAGATATGAAACAGAATATATACTTGCAATTTTTATCTTCTTCTTGTTTTTATTTTATTTTATTTATTAATAGAAGCGATACTTATGGGATGAGGGATTCGAACATAGGACCTCGAGTATAGGAGTAACTAGTTACAACCGCTTAAGCTACAAACACTTTGCCTTTGATTTAATTTACAATTAATAGTAAGCCAAAGCTTATTAGAATATTTGATGTTTAGCGTTGGATTGATGGCAGTGGGAAAAAGGAAAAGGGAGGAAAAGAGAGATGACACATCTATTCCATTTGTCCCAAAGCCAAGACTCTCTCAACCCAAGGAAGAAGAGAAGCCGCTATTTAAATGTCTGGCTATTAATAGGCTATAAGCTAATGCATGCATGCATGATGATGATGAGGCAAAACGACATTTTCCAGTTCAGTGAACTGACCAGAAAGCATATACACAATACACGAATGAATTTGTATGTGAAGAGATTAAACAAATCTTTAGTATTACTTGGGTTTGGGAAATAGACAAGTTGCACATTGTGCTTCCTGTTTGGAGGTTGGGGAGCTACATCATCATCAGTTACAGTTACCGGGTGGTGTCACATGTCAATCACTTGCATGCCCCACGTGTTTCAGAGAATCAAAAGATACCCATCACCTACACTTTTCTTCTTCTTCTTCTTCTTCTTATTCTTCTTGTATAAATAAATAAGTCTTAATTTTTACTTGTATTACTTGTACCTTGAGTACGGATCTCTTTTAATTTGACGATAAACAATTTTTGCTCCAATTCCACACTTATCTTTAAGAAAGAAAAAAGAAATTTCGATTGAGAGTGGGACAGGGACTGACAGTCTCAGACTGAGCGAGGTGTTTAATTGTTCTATCAGAAATTTCTATTTTCGTAAGAAGAAGGAAAACCTAAGTGTAAAAGAGGTAGGTAGTAGGTAGGTACAAACTGGAGCTCATTTTGCCGCCAATGGTTGCAGTTGGCAGTTGCAGATGAGGTCAAATCCACAAGAAGATAAAACGCAAAGGTCTACGGGCATGAGCAGTCCTCTTATACCTGGCTGGCCGCTGGCAGAGAATTCTGCCTATGACGGAATCGCAACAGGAATCGTGTCTAAACTATTTTGTAAATTTTTCAAAATCCGTTGTCATGTACTCGATTTTTGTTCTTCATACCCAACTCATTAGATCCTAATTTGCGGGGAAAATTACCATTTTTACATTAAATTATCTTTTTTTTTTCATTAATCAAAATTTGCATATGTTTAGACATGATTCCAACTAGAGTGAACCCAACTCTAAAGTAATTTTCCCCCTTTTCCTTTTTAATTTGCAATATGTTTAACTTTTGGACCTGAGCTGCTTCTCAAATGAATAACTTTTGGACCTGCCCTGGATTTTCCCCTAATAAATACATTGCACACGATTCTCTAAAGTAACACTCATTTGGATGGGAATTATTCTTAATCTTTTCATCAATCAATATTCAATAATCATAAGTATCTCTTTCTCCACTTCCCATTTTACGAACTTATATGGTTTTTCTCTTGGCTTTTGGCCAAAGCTTTATCTGATTTTACAGTCATAATCATATATAATCACACTCATAAAAATAGAAAAGAAAATTTTAAGCTAGACCACCTGTATGCTAAAAAATATTGTCGGCATGGTTTTAATAAAATTACGTCTGCTTGCTGCGTTGAACTAACTAAAGTATCAACCAGCTTTTTATGCTACCAACTAAAGGAAAGGCTTCATATTTTATGCTAAAGATGAGTTTGATTTTTCCAGTTCCTTCGCTAACCTTCCGTGATGGGAATGATTAGACATGATTCCTGTCGTTGATAACAACTAGTCAATCACTAGGGAAAGGGAAAAGAGGCGAGTTTGGACAACAAAAGTAATGGAAATGGCATCGAATTCCTAAAGCAATATTAGTAGAAAATTGCCCATGCCAAAGATAATCAACAATTTGAAAATCAAGGGAGCCAAAAACTTTTCTTTTGGGTGTCTTTAGGTTAGATTGGATGAATCTATGTATGGCATCTGGTGACTTTCTTTAAGATTGGCCATTTGGAATTAGCACTTGATCTTAAGGGCATTTGGATATCGGCTATTCCATGGATAATCTAAAGATAAGACCATCCAGTTCTTTTCACCACTTCTATTCAGAATTTCAGAGATGATGAAATGGAATCAAGTTCCCCTGAAAGCCATCAATTGGCACTATATAATATATACCCTAATCTCCAGCAGACAAACTATAAAAAGAATTTAACTCCGAGTTATATCGTCAATCCGAACTTTCCCTAAAAGAACAGGTAACAATAATAACCAGCTGTCAAACACAAAGAACTCCAGTCAGTTTTACTAGTCTGCTATTCTCTCAAGCATCATGGGCAAGTCTGTGTTCCCCTTTAGTGAGTCATCATGATGGTACACAGGACAAAGATAAAATCTGATTTGGTAATAAGAAACTAACTCCACTTTTTCTTTTAACTGCATTCATTCTGGGTAAAGGTAAAAAAGAAGCAAGAAACACGCATAGAGGGGGGGAGAGAGAGAGAGAGAGAGAAGGAAAAACGGAAAAACAAAATAGGGTGATGAGGTATTACAACCGGGCAACATAGGAATTTGAGTGTGTGACATATCTCACCCATCGATATGGATTGTAGCTCTTCGACTTCTTTGTTATATGCAAGTATTTCACCTGCATCAAAACAAATAGAGAAAAAGCATCTTAAAATCACTGAAAACACATGATTATAAATGTATGTAAAACAGAAACAGAAAAAAAAAAACAGAGGAAAAAAAGGAGGAGGAAGAATAACTATTCTCAAACAAAGGTTAACTAACTCAACTACGAAGCTAATTTGGCAGAATTTTCACAGCACATTCACTAGTAGGACTCCAGTTACTTTTTATTAGGTGGCAGCAATTTGATGGGATCTAAAGGCAAGGGAATTCGGGGCCTACACAATCTCATAGCATTGAAGAGAACTTGGAGCTCTGAGTTTGTACCATAGGTCCACAGAAATTGGCTGAATTTAGGTCCTTACAAGGTCAAAGATAAAATCTTTACCTGAAGTCTTGAAGCGTTAAACATGGGTATTGTGAAGGTCATGCTAACAGGTCCAGCTTCCTTGGTAATATTTCCTGCATTAATACAAGTGCAAAACAAAGTAGCATTCACACACCAGTTTCTTTATTTTTCTTCTGACATGGAAACGACATTATAAACAAAGAAAAAAGAAAAACAGAACAGTATATTACCATGTGATTCCTGTGAAAATGTCAGCTTTGCATGTAATGTATGTTCAGATCCACCTACAATCTACAACGTAAGGCACCTGTTACTAATTTTGGACATTGAAGAAACTCATATTAAAAGTAATATGCAAACAAGGGGAGAACGCTTGCTACAAATTAGATAGATCAATATACTAAATCTTCAAGGTAGAAATAGAGAATGAGAAGGAATATTATAGAGAGGAGAAGAAATCCTTGCCTTCTTTAAACCCCACTCCATTCTCTTGTTTGCTTCAGTAAAATTGGTTGTGTTTCCAACTGTTCCAGGTTCCAACTCAAAACTAACTCTGAAATTATTCCACAGCAAATAAGGTAACCAGTAACGCAGATATGGATGCGTAGTATGAAAAGAAAAGTTTATTTTTTCCTTTCCCTCCCATATGTGCTTACAATAAGAATTTTTGCTGAGTAAAATAACACAACAAATACCTAAAACCTAGCTACTTTATCAAAAGTTCATCTAAATTTTTTCGAAGCTTTCACCAAGTACAAATTGAAACATAATAAATAGCGAGTAATATATGATACAATGAATAAAGGGGGAGAAGGAGGAAAAAATAAAAATTAAGGAAAATGATTGATCTGCCCATCTAGAATTTTATCTGCAAATGCACCATATCTTGCTTATTCACAAACAGAAGGAAGTGAGAAGGCAAAATACACATTACCTAGTTGTATACGTTGGCAGTGGAATCTGCACAAGAATTTTATCTGCAATAATGCTCGAGGGGAAATCAGCACGCACTTTAATAGTAACTTCTGCCTAATAGAACATAACATTCTTTAGATGGAATCAGATTTTATTATATTTAAGATAGGAAGAAATTTTTAACTTTTTATTCACCTTAAATGGTCCTGCTTCTTCAATTAACGCATTAATACAAAAGGGAGGCTTGAATTCCTGAGTGATGCGGTAATTCATGACAGGAAATTCACCATCTGTTGGCACCTATTAAACAGTACTGTGATCTATTAACTTCAACACTAACAGAAAAATAGTTATAGCGTCTCCACTCTAAGAAAGTGCTAAATGTGATTATATAGTAAAATGTCTCAACCACACTCACCAATGTCAGTGTTCTGTCAACATCGAAACTATCAAGATGAACAGATTCATGGAAATTACAATCGTCCAGTATAACAGCTCCTGATCCAAGTGAACTACCATAATCTATTGGAAAAGGCAGCATGGTCAGATTAAGTGGAAAATGCTACTAAAAGTACATTACGTAAAAAGAAAGAAGAAAGAAATTGAAAGGTAAGGATCAGCACCAAAGGCACAGATCACACTCAACAATACCAGTAGACCATACAAGAAGGACAGTAAAGAAGACTATTGACATCCGAAAAGCATTTTCTATGGTGTAAAGATTACCATAGATTGATTCTCCACCTCTTCCAATACCCACTTCCTCATTAAGAGCAAGTCGAATTTCTGGGTTGCCTGTAAGATAACTTTTCAATTGGATGGTACCATCAATCTCAGAAGTAAGTATATATCCCTGCAAAAACAACACAATAGTAATCAAAACTGCTCAAAACTGATTACCATCTGAGAGCTCTGTGACCCAAGAAGAAAAAAAGAAATTAAAAATGTTGAGCCAAACACCAGTGGTACTTACACTGGAGCTGAATGTAACACTCATTTTCTCGATTATGTCAACAAAAATTTCCTCTCTTTTCCTTCCCCCACGCTCATTTGCTACAACAGATTTTGTGATTGTTGTCACTGGCATTCTTTTGGCCTGATGTAGACATGCAAGTTTAAGAAGTCAATCAAATCACAAAGTTAACGTGAACAACAAAAGACTACCACTAAACTCAAATCTATCATAAAAAGAATACCATAAATATTCCAGCAGGGCCCAACTGTGAAGAATCAACCACAACAGGCTCATTGAACACATATGACTTCAAAACCTCAGTCGAAGTTGTCTGCACATAACCAAAGTCCTGGAATTTATAGATAACGGGTTAGCCAGAGACTAGATACACACAAAAGTCTCATATTTGAGAATGCTGCTACATTTTTAGGACACTTACAATAATTTGGTCGAGCAACTCATACACAAGCACAAAATTTTTTCGCAATGCATCTTCACTAAGAACCCCAAGGTAATCTTTAACGACTCTTGCAATCCTTCGCAGAAGTTCCAAAGCAAGAGAAGGTGACACATTCACTCTTGTTGTCGCAACAAATAGCAACCCAGCATCTTTCACGTGAAAGTAGTTTACACCATCCGCATTCTAAAACGAATTAAGGACAATTAGCCATGCCAATTGATTAATAATATGCCATTAATACGTTAATCTCATTATTCAAATAAAGAAAGAAAATACCCTACAAAGACAGGTGGCGCATCCCCTTCCCCATCGTCCTTCCAAAATTTCACTTTGCGGAAGAAAATCTCAGCGCTCCCCTTCGGTACTTCACCGCGATCTGAAACCATTTGTAAAATTCACAATTTGAACCCTAAAAACCTATATATATATAAATCACAGATTTTCAAATTCGGAATCAGATGAAATGCGACCGAGCGAGAGAGATAGAGAAACTAACAGTCGCGGAAGACGATGCTGTCGCCTCTCTGCGATAGAATGAAGAACTGAGAGATCATCGCTCCTCAGCTCAAAGCCTCTTCCCGTTTTCCAACTCGTGAATTTTGATCGGTTCGATCAGACGATTTCAGATTGTTCCTTCTCAGAGTCCTTCAGTGCCCTTTGCGTCTGTCTCTGGCCCCATCTCCGCGTGGAAAACGGGAACCAACATTTCGCGGTACGGCAACCGAATTTGCGCCACGTTTTGAAAGTCACGAGTCAAGCACGTGAATGGACTTTTTATTGTTTATGTCGTTTTGGTCGTCGCAAGTCTCGTAATCTGACAAAACGACGATGTAAGTAAAGTCGTTGAAGACTGCCCAGCCCACTGTCCAAATTGGGTGGGTCCCTCTGATTAAAAATATCCGTTGGTGCTCGCTAGCGTTACAAGAGCGAAACCCGGTGACAGATGCTGCGATCCATCATCCATTCCATTAGACAGAAACTAGAAAAATAAGGATAAAATAATAAATCCACATAATTGTCAGTAGCTTCCTTCTGGTCTGATCGCGATGAGATAACGAATCTTGCTCTGCTCGTCAAACACCCTATTTTTTACGACACAGATCGGAATTCGAAATCCAATTTCAGAGCCTTCCATGACTTGATTCGTTAGCACCGCGGCAAATTCTGGCGCGAAATTGAGGCCATAAATGGTTTGGAGTTGAAACTAGGGCTTGCTTCTGTGAATTCGGCGAGGAACGATCTTCGGAGGTTCTGAAGCTTTGTTTATGGAGAATTGCAAAATTTTCGCATTTTTCCGGTGTATTAGATGAGAATTTGGATTGGTTTGACAAACACAGAAGATAAAGAGGTAAGCTTTGTGGTTATGTGATTTGAAAGCATGGTACTTTGCTGTAATAGTTGTGTTTCTTTTCTGAATCTTTGATGATTTTGATGACATTTTGCAGAGAAAGAAAATATATGAATAGAATTTAATGTGAAGGAAATGGCGACTCAAGTTGAGCCTCCAAATGGGATTAGATCGCAAGGAAAGCATTACTATTCCATGTGGCAGACCCTGTTCGAGATCGATACCAAATACGTGCCGATCAAACCGATCGGTCGAGGAGCGTACGGCATCGTTTGCTCTTCCGTGAACCGGGAAACGAACGAGAAAGTTGCGATTAAGAAGATCAACAATGCGTTTGAGAACCGAATTGATGCGCTGAGGACGCTGCGGGAACTGAAGCTGCTGCAGCATCTTCGGCATGAAAATGTGATTGCTTTGAAGGATGTGATGGTGCCAGTTCAAAGGAAGAGCTTCAAGGATGTCTACTTGGTGTATGAGCTCATGGATACGGATCTGCACCAGATTATTAAGTCCTCCCAACCACTTTCTAACGATCACTGTCAGTATTTCCTCTTCCAGGTACTCAACTCATCATGACCATGCCCTGTTGTGTTTCTATAATTGTGGAAAATGCATTTTCTGAGTTGACATAAATTAAATACTTGTCAGATTATTTTAACTTTGTTTTGCAAGTGAAACTGTTCAATTCTGGTAATTTAGTCCAGCATATGCTCTTTTGTACTATATTGTTGATTCAGTTCACTTTCTTGGCTACTTTTCGTTACTTGGAAAATGAAACATCATACATTTTAGAATGACTTATAAATTTTTATTACCTTTGAGAGAGGGCATATGAAGTTTCATAAAAACTGGTAATGCATAATTTTGTTTACAACTTTATGAAACTTATGAGACTAGGCCTCTGTGCTAACGTTTTTATATGCGAACACCAGACTAATGCATGGACCTTCCCCTTGGAAGTTTCAAATAATGGTTCTGCTGTAGAATAACATAACCAGACTACGGTAGTGAAATAGGTGCAATCGTCTAGTATCCTTAAACCATACTAATGAACAAACGTGTGCTCTTTCATCTGTATGAATTTCGACTTTCGATTGGTTTGGACTAAGGTTTTTAAGAGCAGAGTGGGATGGATGGATTGCATCACTGCCTCTGCATTTACTGTGCTACCCTATGCCTTTCCTTCTTTTTTCTTTTTCGGGAAAGATTCTTTTGTGTTCGCTCTTATTAATTTTTTTTTCCTTCTATAGAATTAAAATTGTCCTCAACTGTTTTGATTTTAAAAGCCCTAAAAGATACATAACTGTTGTCTTTGCCTGTTGTCTTTGCTTTAATCTTTTATCACTTGCACTAAAGAGAATGTTTGTTGCAGCTGCTTCGAGGCCTAAAGTATCTCCATTCTGCAAACATTCTCCATCGTGACTTGAAGCCTGGCAACCTTCTTATCAATGCGAACTGTGAGTTGAAGATATGTGATTTTGGACTAGCACGTACTAGCACAGGAAAGGGCCAGTTCATGACTGAGTATGTTGTCACTCGTTGGTACCGTGCCCCTGAGCTCCTCCTCTGCTGTGACAACTATGGAACATCCATTGATGTGTGGTCCGTTGGATGCATCTTTGCTGAGCTTCTTGGCCGGAAACCTATCTTCCCTGGCACAGAGTGTCTAAACCAGCTCAAACTCATAATCAACATCCTTGGCAGCCAGAGGGAGGAGGATCTCCAATTTATAGACAACCATAAGGCGAAGAAGTACATAAGATCACTGCCATATTCTCTTGGTACCCCCTTCTCCCATCTCTATCCTGATGCCCATCCTTTGGCAATCGATCTACTGCAAAAGATGCTTGTTTTCGACCCATCAAAGAGGATAAGTGTCCTTGAAGCACTCCAACACCCTTACATGTCCGCGTTGTATGATCCCAGTAATAACCCTCCAGCCGAGGTACCAATTGATCTTGACATAGATGAGGATTTAGGAGAAGAGACGATAAGGGAGATGATGTGGAAGGAAATGCTTCATTACCACCCTGAAGCTGCTGCAGGCAATGCGGAACTGTTTTCCTGATCATCTTCTTTGTAGCTCTGGCATATAGGCCTTTGAAATGTGTTTTTGGTGTGAATAGAGACTAGGAAGGTTCTCTTTGTTATGGTGCCAGCCTAGCTTTTTATTTATCTCTCCCCTCTTCCACTCCAATAATCTTGAAGCAGCAGCATGCGTCAGCGGGTTTCACCTTCAATAGCTTGCTTATGAGTTATGAGCTATGAGGGGCTGCTGAGACCTGCATATGATAGGCGGCGTCTTTGAGTTTGTATATACGTGTGTTTGTAAGTCTCTGGAACTTGTTTCCGTTTGTAATTAAAGAAGGACGAAGTTCCTATTTTATGTCTACAAGATTTTGTATGATATGATGGAACTTTTACCATTGAGGTGAAGTGTGCTATGCTATCAATCAAACAAAAAGCAAACTTGATTTTGTCTGTAAAATAAAATTAACACTATTGCTGCAGCCTGCAGGCAGGCAGGGCATATGGCATTTGCTATTATTCTCTGTTTCCATCAGCCATTACGCTTGATTTTATCATAACTAATCAGGCGGCGGATAATGGAGCTGGGTTCAAGGTTGGACTGAGCCTTTTCTGAACAAGGCCTATTAGTTCAACATGATCTCCCTCTGAGAGTGATTAGGGTTTCAGGCGACGCTGCACAGCTAAAAGCCCAATAGGAGAATCAGTTAATAAGTCTGTTAGAAGCTTGTTGGGCTCTCGTTAAACGCAGCGTAGCCCCCAAAACGTGGAAACGTGCGTATTAAAACGGATGGTCCACAACATCCCTCCCTCAGATTAATGAAGACCAGCAAAGTCGTCGTGGTCCTTCACGTGGTGATGTTCCCACGAAGCCACCAAGAAAATATAAATGCCCTGTGTGTGCAGGGAAGAAAAAGCAAAAATATTACGAGATCTTTTTTTTTTTTTTTTTTTTTTTTTTTTTTTTTTTTGGTGGAATCTTCTTTTCCTTTTCTCTTTTCAGGGAACTGAGAGTTTAATGATACGTTAAAAAGTGTAGTTTGATGAGATGGGCAATGGGCATGCATACACGTACATTTATAATTAGATGAGAGTCGTCCTTTTTCATGATTTATTAGTCTCACAACACCCATGCAATTTGCGAAAGCAAATTAAATTAGGCAGCACCGACATATTTAACCCTAATTATCTGGCTCGCTCCAACAGCAAAAATTTGTGCCACTGCTTTTCGGCTTGACGCCCAACCAACTAATTTATTGGCACCTTTCAAGTTTCAACCACGGAAATAACCTTAGCTTGCTAATCTAGTGCATGAAATATTTTTGTTCACCACTTTAATCTAAGGTGTATCTTCACTAACCTTTTCAACACTTGATACGTGTTCATTGACATAACCATAATTAACTCTTTACTTTTGTATTTATGAAACTATGGTTATGTCAATAGACACGTGTCAAATGTTGAGAAGTGCAATGAGAGTACACCTTGAGTTAAAGTGGTGAGCAACAATGCTTCATCTAGCATGCCCTTTCTTTCATTATATTAAATTTAAAGCTTACATATAATAAGAGCAACCAGCAAACATATATATACATATGCTTTGAATGAACATATACTAATACTACTTATAATTAACATCTAAAGTAGTCATGAGTTTCAATCCTTATATAGATATCTTTATCCAGACCAGACATTCAAATTTAATGGAAGAACCCCACTTGTTATGGGCTGTGATGTGCGTGCGCATATAAGAAGAAGAGAATAGGATAATGATATTGGCAGCAGACTTTGGAAGAATGGGAATGTTCTTGCGCATTACATTCACGAGTGTGTGTAAATATATATACAGATTAAAGCAGCGAAAGTTCAATGGATGCTTTTGTCAATCTGTGGAGCTTTTATAGTTTTTGTTTCCACGTGCCCCTATCTCTTCTTATTAATTTAGGTCTGGCCTTAAAGTGACATCCGTTGACCGCTTTGATCGACTCAGTGCACGTAATGGGGGGAATGTACGAACCCTTCATTACTGTTTGCAGAACCAGAATATTAATCTCAATCTAAATATACATATATATGTACATGATTGCTTGCAAGCAAAAGCATATACTAGACTACATACATATGATGAATTGCCTTCACAACGAAGGCAGATATTGCAAGAATATTTTAAAGGACAAGTAACTGAGTAAGTAACCCTCGTTTAAGAGGATTGAGAAAGGTGAGACGACAGCACTATATTATACAGGTTATCTCACCTTTTACTGTTCTTCCATTCCATGCTTGATCATATCGTTTTGTCCATGTGGGGAAAACTAGTAAGTGGCTTCTCAGCTACGAGGAAACAGCCTTAATTAAAGTTGTCACTTTTTGTTGTTGTTGGAACTCGGAACTCGGAATTCGGAACACACATCTGTTTAATTCAAAAACAATTATTGCTACTAAATATATATTTCCTTGCAAGATTATGAAAAATGCTATTGTGTACCACCTCTTTAATAAATGTGTGCATATTTAATTTGACATCTGGTTGGAGGAGGAGGGAGTGGGATATTACAACAAAATTGACCATAAACATAACCCTAGAAAAGAACTCATCATACCATTTCAAGAGATATATTTATTATAAGCAAAGCTATCGCATTTAATAAGCCTTGAGAGTAGGCGTCGCAAATTAAATGGAGAGAAGAAAGAAAAAGAGGACTGAAAAAGGATGTGTCATATGGTTGAGTGTTTGATCTGTCCAACTAAAAAAGCACCAACTACCTCAAATGCAAGGAAATAGGAAGATGGACGAACCAAAATTTTTGCCATGTTTTATTTTAATTTCTAATTTTTTGAAAAGAGCGAAAGCAACAAAAGAAAAGGCAAGAATGTGAAAATCATGGCAACTATAACGATGATAAAGAAAACGAAACAAAATTTATTTTTGGGGACCCCTTGGCAAAAAGCTGACCTTCTGTCCCTACGAACCAACTGCCACTTTCTGTGTCTCTCAAGATCTCTCTCGATATCTCTTTTGTTTTTTGTTTTGCATATCTCTCTCTCTCTCTCTCTCGATCACGATTCACGACCAACAGGGTGCGTACAAGAATTAAAGAGGTATGGCTAGACCGGTTGTATGTATATACTTGTGTTTTTTTTTTTGGGTGATTGAAATCATAACAAATTGAAACAAAACAAAAAAAGTAGAATCATTGCAGTTGGAGTGTAATGTTGTTGTTTTGAAGCAAAGTCTCGGGGAATCACGGATCAAATGATGCTGATTGAGCATTTAGTTTTCTATTGGCACATCTCCAAAGCCTTTTCCCCACCGTGCTCCATCCTACTGTTGTTTTAGGGTAAACGACAGTTCTATTATTATTGTTTTTTGAGCTTGTCCAATATAGATCCCTACATTTTCTATTTCCTAGACATATACCCATCACTCTATAAATCTATGAGTAAAACCCAATTTCAAATTTAAATGACTAGTAGGATATAAGAGGTCGTAGTATTTCTATGTTTTTACATCATTGTCACTAAACTTCATATTTTATTTATAATTTATTTCAAGCATTTCATTAACTACCATAATTGTAATTAATATACTCCCTATTAATAGCATATCAATCACCCCATTTCTTTTAGTTGTCATTCCTTCTCACATCTCACCCCCTAAAATTACAAACAAACAAAAATCTATAAATTACATATCCAATAATGTACCTGTGAAAAATATAATATAAATATATACATATAAATATTATTTACCAAAAAAAAAACAAAGTCAGTTACTTTGTAATTGCGTATATTTTTTATAATTAAAAATAGGTACACAATAATTTATATAAAATATAGGTACATTATTTACCCACAAGTAAATTATTTTACAATATACCTGTAAATGTGTATAGGTACATTATTTGGAATAGATAATTATGTACACTTTTCATTCTAGGTAAATTATGTTTTTCATAAAACAAACAAGTAATAGGTACATTATTTTTTCAATATAATTAGTATGTACAGTTTTATTCATAAACAATTTTAAAGTGGATTATTAGTCATGTATAATTCATAAAAAGAAAATAACATAAATATTTTATTAAACAAACCGATTACCTAAATTTGAATTTATTGTTAAATTTTTAAAAAAATGTTTCAAAATTAATTCCTACATCCATTACAACCATTTGGAGATCTTTCCAAATTCAACATATGTCATTATATACAATCCAATTAAAAACTGTTTCCATATTGATTCCTATATTAATATACAAAATGCAATAATGGCTTAGTTGGGGGTATTTTTGAAATTTGAAAAGTACAATAAATCAGATTTTATGCTTAATTAGGTAACTTGCTGAGTTGGATCCTAGTCATGGGTTTTTACTTATACAAATTGGGTATTATTTATAGGAACAAAAAGTGAAGAGTTTTAGGTACGGCAAATTGAATTTGAAAGGTGTAAGCCAAATTTACTATTGTTTTTTTCTTGTTAGTCGTAATTGTTATTGTTTTAATTTTGACAATGGAAACCCATATTTAGGTCCACTCAAGCCCAAAGTTGTAGATGACACAGGGAAAAAGATGAAAACACAAGGCAATTTAGCTGGAGTAAGAAGAAACAGAAAAATTATTAAATTGCATTTTTGCTTTATCTTGATTATATATCTACAAGTTTGGAATATTGAAGAGGTACGTGTCGCGAAACTCTTTGTACAGACAACGTTAATGTTTCTTTCTCAACTTTTCTTTTCAAATTTATATGTACAAATCTAGAAACTATACAGAAAGCTGCTTTCATCATTCATTTTATTTAAATGAAAAATTAACATTATGCATGTATATATGCATGAATTACTGACTGCATATGTATATAATGCCGTGCAACCATGACATTGACAGTCGTATATACAGAGGAATATACTTTTGTGGGCACCGCAAGATTCCAGACGTGTGTCTAGAAAATAAGTAATTAACAACAGAGGTCCCCCTTGAGAGATCGAGAGAGAATTGAATTGAATCTTCTGGACTTAAGAGCATGAAAATTAAGTTTCTTTCTGCAGCATGAAAATAATCCACGTGATCAAATGTGTCATAAGGAAGGATGCATAATTAATAACATTCTTTCTTGATCATCGGTCGCTAGTCATCATCAGAATCTGTTTAATTAGTATCTCAATCTCATTGCCGACTTGCAGTTGAGTGAGAATAACCAATTAAGAAGGGTAATGATTTCCCCACTCTAATTGTATCGACTTACACTGTGTAAGTAGATAAAATTAGAGTAGAGAAATCACCACTCATTAAGAAAAGTAACTGCTACCAAAAGAATCGAAGAAGATAGATGGACGGGAAAAAGAGTATATTTCGTGATCAAAATGCAACGTTGAAGAAGTAAACAGACAGAGCTGGGTACGATTTGCAACATTGAACCAGGCACCAAATGGTTCTGGTTCTTGTGTTGTCCCCGCCACGGCCCACGTGTCATGTCCCGTGCCTCCTCAGCTAATTAACAAAACCTCTTTAACGCACACCTACCTCGGCGCCTCAAGTACACCTACCCTATTTTGCTCTATTTCCAATTACCAATTGTGTATCTTGTCTGGCTGCCTCTAAAATATATATATATATATTTTTTTAACCAATTCTTTTTTAGGAAGTTTCACTATTATGCCCAATATATGGGTCCAAATTATATAAAAACCTACATGAAATAGACTTTAAAAACACATCCAAAGCTCATTTACAACATAACAAAAAGGTTTCGAACTTCTTATAAATTTCTTAAAACAAATCTAGCCCCAAAACCTAAATAAATACAAAAAACTCAAAACACTCAACAGGGTATCAAAGTAATTTAATAATCAAAATTAAATTCAATAGGGCTACCTGATCTTTTTTGGATTTGTTTATAGAAATGAAATGATGTAGGGTTTATCTATAACAATAGTGCTAAGAATGAGTTTATTTTTGAACGGTAGGAGCTTTCTCAGAGAGACCACCTGTCATTTCAAAATAACAATGAACATTACAGAAACTGATAGTAACACAACAATAATTGAGGTCAAGTATGATATTTATGGTAAATTTATTTTCATCCACAAGACCTTTTGAATATGAATTGCATTCACTTAAACCGGTGCGTACAAGTGGGATCTTCACATCACTTTCATATCAAATTGGGGCCTTCTTCTATATATATATATATATATATATATGGTCACTGTCAGGAAATACACAAGTTGCTAGCCTTATAATTAATGTATATCGCAAAAGAGGGATCATTGTAAGATCAGAAGAAGAAAATTGCCATGATCTTATTCATATTGGGTGTCTCTCTCACCCAATAGGAGCTCTCTCTCTCTCTCTCTGTGACATCGTGTATATATAATATTATTACCCTGGCAATTTTGTTATGTTGCAATGCAACTTGCAATGCAAGTGAAGAAGAGGAAAGAAATATATCCAATAAGTTAAAAAGTTAGGTCCTCACTCTGTATCAGAAAAAGCATGAAGGTCGACATCAACATAAGCCAATAAGATTATTTGGTGCTCTCTTTGCCCCCAAAGGCCATTCCCATTAGTACCACGTTAACTTTTTCCCAGAAACCATCTACATATCTGGCTCTGGTGCACCGTGGATCCCCACCCAACCCACCCAACTTGTTCTTTTCCTTTTCCATGTCTCAAAAACTTACACTAGCTCCTCTACTAGTCTACCGCTGCACAATTATTTTTACTGTTATTAGGTGCCCACCTTAAAATAGTACATCATTATTGCTCATTTGCCCAGCAATCTCAACCTCACTCACTCACCTTTTCTTTGTAATTATTATTATTATTATTATTATTATTATTATTTTATATCTGTTGTTTCTGATGTTTGGAACCTGATCACAAGTAATTGGTTATAATTCATATCATTAACCTCATTGGACTCACATGTATTGGATTGGCAAATGGAAACATGAACATCTGTCCTTCCATCCAATCCAATCCAATCCAAGGGTCTGATATGTAATTACCACAAAAAGTTTTACGCATGATCGATAATGGTGTTTGGTTTGGTCCATAGCTACAAGTAGAGTGGATCCAGTTGAAGTCCACATATGGCCGTCTAGGATTTAAACAAAGTCAAAGGGAATATTTTGATTATTGTACAGAAAGCATTGAGGTTACTGTATATCATCTGTCTTCATATGCAGCACAATCTCGATTCAATATACGACCTCTGCAGAAAGCAGTAGAAGTATCTACGAATATAAACATTCAACCGACTTTTCTTTTATAATTAAAACGGGCGGCTTCAATGTAGAAATTATTGGCCTCGTGATCTAGTAAAATTGTAAAAAATTCAAACTGCATGCCTTCTTTACCGGAGACTTCCATTAACAATGAATTAGTGAAGGATCTACTCCTAATTGCCCGCGTAAAGTAATTAGCTATGATCTATTAATTAAGCAATTAGCTAGCCCCCGCCCCGGCATTGGCTGGGAAATGAAGTAAAGCAGGCGCTGTCCAAGGCTGGTTATCATTTTAGACTCTGGGATTAACTGAAGCCTCCAAACTCTGTAACCAAGTCATACAAAAAATGCATGCATGCGGCATGCCCAACTTATTGGAAAGATTTTGTAGCCAAAACAATATCCATTCAATCTTGGACATCCAATTACTTTTTGCCTGTCTACTTTATTTATTTATTTTAATTTTTGCTACATTCCATTCCATGGCAGTCCTGTTAGTCCCCCTCTTAACATAATTAAGGTGATTTGGTTTCTTTACAAACTATAATATTCACTTATCAGATAATTTAATGTCCACATTTGATTATTTATAACTAAATATCGAACTCGCCGCAAATATTTAATTTTTTTTTTCGTATGCATGTAAATTGAACTTTGGGTTTCCTCTAAGCAAGTGAAGACAATTACCCCTAAATCAAAGACTAGTTAATAGTCTAATTTGTTTTATATGTTGAACAAACTTGAATTTACATTTGTAATTTTACTTTCCTCCTTTTTTTATTTTATAATTTGTATTTGGGTTAACCTACTTTTTGCGCTTGTAAAGATACAAAAGCAGATGGGTTGGTACGTGCCCAGAAAAAAAAGAGATATTTAGTGATATACCCATTCTTAGCACTAATATTATAGATAAACCCTCCATAATTGAATTTCTATAAACAAACCCAAAAAAACCCCCCAAAATGACAGCTGGCCTTATTGAATTTAATATTGATTATTAAATTACTTTAATGCCCTATTGAGTGTTTTGGGTATTTTTATGAGATTTTGAGGTTGGGCTTGTTTTAAGAAATTTATGGTAGTTTTGTAATTTATAAGAAGTTAAGGCCTCTTTGTTATGTTGTAAATGGGTTTTGGGTGTGTTTATAAAGTTCATTTCATATGGGGTATTTTATAATTTGAGCCCCCATATTGGGTATATTAGTGAATCTCCCAAAAAAAAAGAGTGATGGGCCGAGAATTTCCGATTGGCACCCGAACAGAAAACATACCGTAATGACAGAATTGTCCTCGGTTTAGTACTTTTATACCACCTCTATCCCTGAGATTCCTTCTGCTACATTCAGGTGCCACTTGTGTCTTCGCTTTATCATTAAAAAAGGCACAACATATCAGACTGAATAACTGTACCAAAACGGTTAAATCTGGTAATTGGCGGTGAAAGAGAGGTAAAAAGAGTAGAAAAAAAAAGAAACGGAAAGACCGGTAATTAAAATTTTATAAATTTTATGGTGTTTGCTCACCAGCTGGCATTGGACAGTTGTGGAAATTTCGTCTACCCTTCACATGACTAATCAACGTCTCCCCCAACAAACTCCCCTTCTTTGAGAAATTGAGAGAGAGAGAGAGATTGGAGGAGATTCCAAAGCTCTTTACTTTTAACCTTTTTTTCATTTTTAAACAAAATTTTAATTTCTCGCATTTTCTTTAATTTTCTTGTTTAGCACTTTTTCCTTCTATAAAATGGGCCCTCTATACCATCAAAAACCTCTTCCTCTTCTCCTCTTCCCCTTGTATAGTTTACAGGTCTTATTAGGCTCTCTTGCTCTTCTCGCTCTTCTTGGTCTTCTTGATTTGAGGGCCGAGGCTCTGTTTGTTTGGTTTTCTCTTTTTAGCTCAAGGGCTCTGCTGCTGTTGGGTTGGTTTCAGGAAATTCAGGCTGATTTTTGGCTGCTGGTTTTTCTGATACTCTTGTTGGGTTAGGTTCCTCTTTGGGGCTTTCATTTCTGGGTGTTTTGTTTTCTGTTCAGGAATTTTGGGTAGTTGGATTCTGTACCAAAAACCCATATCATGTTCAATTAATTCTTTGAAATTGAAGCCAAATTTAGTTTTGTCTTTGATGCGGTTTTAGAAAAACCTCAACAAATTGATCTTGATGCTGAACATTTTGTTCTTAATGTTTGACATTCATGTCTCCAGTTCTTAGTGAAATCCTCCGTTCCGGGTTTATGGTCGATTCCTCCCTCAGGCGCAGGACCCATTTAGTTCAATCTTTCTCTGTTGTCTTCCTCTACTGGTTTTATGTGTTTTCATAAATCAGCTCCCATCACTCCCTCATATATATGATATATCTATATAATATTATATATAATCACCTTATATATATAAAGTTTCTGTTAATCTTAATACTTTGGTCCTCTGTTTCTCTGTTATGGCTTCCTCTAGTGGGAATTCCTCTGGTTCCACACAGCTTCAGAACTCTGGTTCTGAAGGGGACTTGCAGCATCTGATGGATCAGAGAAAAAGGAAAAGAATGCAATCAAACCGCGAATCGGCGAGGCGGTCCCGGATGCGAAAGCAGCAGCACTTGGATGATATGATGGGCCAAGTGACGCAGCTGAGGAAGGAAAACAACCAAATCTTGACCAGCATAAACATCACGACCCAGCACTTGATGAATGTTGAGGCTGAAAATTCAGTCTTGAAGGCTCAGATGGAAGAGCTCAGCCAAAGACTGGAGTCTCTGACTGAGATCCTCAACTACATCAACAGCAGCAATGGGGTCTTTGAAACCCATGAACCCAACACCTTTCTTCATCATCATCAGGCCTCTGCTTCTGCTGATCACAACAGTTTCATCAACCCATGGAATTTGCTTTATGTGAACCAACCCATCATGGCCACTGCAGACATGCTCCATCAATACTAATGAATCAATTAAACAATTCAATCATCATCATCAAAGTCTGTGATTGGGGTGTTTCTTGTTGTCATGTTCTTGGATTGGTGGTGTTTGTGTCATGGTCTTTCAATGAGTGGAGGAGAGGAAAAGAACACGGTGTTCTTTTTTTATTTTTGTCTGTTATCAGTTTGCGATGATCAGATGTAATATGTTATTAGTTTTATCAGGTGTATTAGGTTTAGGTTGAAGGTGAAGAAATATGATCACTAAAGGTGCCAATTGAGTGGGACCCACATGATTTGTACTGAGTACAGTGTGAAAGGGCTCTTATTTGTATATTTTCTATCTATGTAGTTCATTTTCATCACTTTGCCACTTGTCTTGTGTTTGCTTTGCGTAGTATTTTTCTCCTCCTCTTCTTCTTTTTTTTCCTCTGCTTTTTCATTATTTTGTTTTAGAACTTATACTTTTGACTTAATTATCGACTAAGGGCCAGTTTGGCATTGCTGTGCTGTGAAAATAATCGATGTCAGATTTGCTGTGAGAGAAATCAGCTGTGAAAGAAAGCAGTTTGACGTTTGGTAAAATTTTTGTTGAAAGTGTTGTTGGTATTGATTTTACGCAAAATCAGAAAATGATTGCTGCATAATCATTAAACCCAACACCTATTCGAAACTGATTCCTGCATAATCAGAAAATGAAAGCACCTCATTAGCTGCTTTCCCTTATTGCTTTCTCTCACAGCAATTTTTAATAATAAGTGATTTTTTCGCAGTTTACCAAACAGGTTGGGCTTCTCAAAATTTTTTAAAAATCACTTATCACCCCAAATAAGCAATGCCAAACTGGCACTAAATGTTTCTATGACCACTCTTTTAAGGTTTGACCCTATCTAAATGGAAAATATCACAGCCGAAGGTTTTGGATTCTTTAGATATGCTTTCTATTTTTTAGTTAAATTTTAGCTACAAACGTATAAAAGTTATTTTAAGAGTTCTTTATAAAATTTAAACTCCAATCATGCTCTCTAGTTTATGGAGTCATAATTGCTATAAATTTTTTTTAATTGGTCCATCTTTATTAAAAAATAATATAAAAAATAGTTAGAATTAATTAAAGGTTTGAAATACTCATTAAATAAATAAACAGTAAATTATAGAGAGCCATTAGGAGTCTTTTATCTCTCCTCATATTTAGATTCTCCTAAGAGCATTTCCACCCATTTGTCATGGCAAAGGACAAGGGCAAGGCAAGGGCTGTTACTATTCACATGAATAGTGGCATCCATTGCAAAAGGTTGTGATGTTTCCACCTATTGTCATGAAAATCACTATTCACATGAGATATTATGAGAGGAATTTGTATAGAGTTTTGATGCGGGAAGTGAAGAATATGACTAAGTGTTTATTAAAAAATATTCTAAAATTCTTAGTATTTTTTAAAAAAATTTGGTTACTGACGTCATCGCTGACGTTAGCAAACCCAGGCTAGAAGTCATGTTGGTTTAGCTTGCGAGCTGGCCCAGTCTCGTGGGACCCACGGCTTGTCAGGGAAAGTTTGGCCCGCTTGAAGGACTCGCCTGAGCTTGAGCTCTGTCCTACCCGGGCTGGAGTCTATTGGTGGAGTTGCTCTAAAGGTCTTATTTTATGAGGTGGATATGGAGTATGGTTAGAATTGTATTTTTTCAATTCATCTCTAAAATTTCTCTAAGGAGATGGTTTAAAGAGCCTATTATGAATCTTTCTTTTTAGTTATTACTTTTTTTTTTTTTTTTTTTTTTTTTTTTTTTTTTTTTTTCTTATTCTATTCGTTTCCTGCGCTATTTGGTTTTTTCCTATCCTTAATAAACAATCAATAATCTATATTTTATTTTTTATTTGATATTTATATTTTGATTAGTTTGATTTTGTGATTTTTAAACATTTTTTTAATAAGTGTCAAGTGTCAAGTTGGGAAAGTTAAGTGAAGTTGCGAAGTGCTATAGATAACCAAAGGTTCTCTTTGACAAGACCGCATTAAAAACATATGAAATCGATGTTCCATAATTTATTAGTTCCCCTACCTTATCGATGTTCCTATAGCTAATCACTGTATTTGTATTGTTTCTTGTGGCTGATAGTTTTTGTTTCTAAATTAAAAATGTTATCTATCGTCTTTATTTATATATATATATATATATAAAGTCCTACAGTAGTAAAATTGATGAGGTTTTGTTTTTTCATATTAAAGCTAAACTAATCAAATTATGTAAATAAAACTCCAAAGGCTTCTTTTCTCTTGAGTCCTAAGAAAAAAAATAAAGAAAAGGGAACAAAAATTCCAGACCTTCTGGTCCCTGCCTGCCTGCCCCCACGCCACCATGTTCTCTTCCTCAACGCAACAAGAAAGAGTTGCTTGCTGCTTGCTTCAGGTTAAATGAAATTGCCAAGTCAAGTTATTAATTTGTTTGCCCCTCATTCATTGGTACCATATGTATATATTAATGAGTTTTCTAAACCATCAAATTCACTGGACATTAAAATACCCTGCGGTGGAGGAGATTGTATCGTGTGTATACAAATAAAGGGTTTCCTTTTGGCCGGTTGGGATTATTTTATTATTAGGTCGAGGGTTCTGTGATGTGATCAGAAAACATGTATGAGTTTGATATATTCACTGCTCTGTTTTTGATGATGTGATATGTTAAATAATGGTCCATGCAGGAGACACAGATAATATTATTTAGATGTTCCTTCTTCCGTCTATATCTCTTCTTTTCCATATTTTTAGGTTGTTGCGCCAAATGATTTTGCCTTATTAGTTCAATGTATATATGCATTGTGCTAATAAAACATCTCCCCCATTGCATTTGCTTAATTAGAAAAATATAAAAGAGTGATTAATTTAATTACCATGTGGGTTAGGCAGTCATATCCCCTTCAGATGGATAGGTGATCTCATGATGCACCTACAACCTCAACCAAAGCTTTGATTGATTGGTTCTTAAGATTTTGTTTATTTCAATTATGTTAATGTCTCACTCTCAATCGATCTACATTTTTTTTAGCTTTATTCTTGTTTGTTTCAAATTAAAGTTTTAATAGGAAGTTACTGTTGTAAGAAAAAAAACAAGAGAGGAGGAATGGGAATGGTATATCTGTACGTATACCCGTGGAAAAATGAAATGAAGCTCATGGTCATGGTGTGCTGTCGAAAACTCAAAATCACGTCAGGCTTTGAAGAACCACGTTGGGAATGGGGAAGTCGCTGATTTTATTTTCTTCTCTTAAAAATAAAAAATAAAAAATAAAATCCCCCGCGCAGCATTGTTTCTGATATTAATTAGAGATGATCAAGTAGAAGTTATGATGTACTTGGTTGACTCTTTTGCTCCATTAACATGGGTTGACATGGAATATTCCCCTTTTTTTTTGTTTTTTTAAATTTATTTCAAACTTACTCATGAAAAATCAACCCCACCAAAATCAAGAAGAAGAATAAACTTTTATTGGAAAAGAAGGAAAGTGGAAAACACTTCCTTCGTTATCATGTAAGTAGGAGCTTATATATTCATACTAATAGTATTGTGACGTGTGTATGCATTTTCTTTTTTGAGTTTTTGACGAATTATTTTTACACATGTGTCAAATTATGATTTGTAGAAAATAGGATATTCTTACAAAGAAGGAGACAAGCAATATATAAGGAAAGCGTGTATAAATAGCATTTGGGAATGGGATGATTGCCTACAACAACTTGGTCCTTTCCAGAATTATACAAGTAAATAACAAGAGAAGTAAAGACAACACGAGGGAAGGGTTTTCTCTTCTCTCTCTCTTTTTTTTGGGTCCTTTTTTGAGTGAACAAAAGTTTTGAGAGAGATTGGCTACTCTCACCACCAGCGTCAGGGCAGACCCACAACCTCTAGCCGAATGGACTTATGCGTGACATCCAATTGTGAGCTGCCACCAGTATGAATTTATGTAGGAAAGTACATATCGTGCATCAACAAGGATTACTAGCAACGAGACTCGAACACTAACAAGGACCTTACCAACTAAATCAACCTTCGTTGACAAAGGTTTCCTTGTTTCAATTTAACCAAAGATAACCTAAATTTAAGTTCTAAAGGCTGCAATTTCGTAGGCATATGTCAAGAAAAGAAAAACATTAGTTTAAAAAAGAATGGATGTATCATGCCATATATATATATTTTAAAAACCCCATGAAAAAGAATGGGGGAGGTGGGTTAATTAGGTAGGCAGTATCTTTAATAATGGTATTTTAATATCTAAAAGAGGAAGGTGAGGATGCTGAAATCATTTGTCACGCCTTTTTACTAATATATGCTGTAAAAGTTGAGATTAAACAATGAATTATAAGGAGATGATGAAAGAAAGCATCTTTTGAGCCATTAGTTAAAAGCCAGGCAGTGAGTTGAGAAAATATTGTCATTTTCTCCATCTTCGACTTTTGGTGTAGTGGGGAGCTACTAATTTTTAGGATACAATAATGGCTTTATGTTTCCAGCAAAGGTTGCGGTGAACTAGTGATGATGATCTTACACTTGCAAGAAAGGCTTTTGGGTCGTTGTTCCCCTTTATTTTTTTTCTTTTATTATTATTATTAATATTTTATTATATTTTAATAAAATATTTTTTTTTAAAAAGAAAGTTAATTACAATAATGCAGACTATAATTAATTCTCAGTTTAATTAAACTGTGTGGTGGTGCTGGAGTTTTCATGGTATGCATGCAATTAAAATATTAAGCATCATGAGAGAGAGAGAGAGAGAGAGAGAGAGAGAGAGAGGACTGAGGCAGGGAGTAAGGAGGCAACTCATATCCTGAAGAATTGGATTTTCGACCCAGAAAATAAATAAAAAAATCCTGAAGAATTGGATGGGGAAGGAGGGCACGCCGTTGGAGTTACATAAATTTCCTTTAGGAAACTTTTGTGGGGTATTTAAAATAACGTATTATTCACGTTACACTATTATATCCAATATAGGGACTCAAATAAAAAAATAAACCCGATATGAAATGGGCTTTAGAAACACAACCAAAGTCCATTTACAACGTAACAAAAAGACTTTTAAAATTAAATGGTGTAGAATTTATCTATATCATTAGTACTAAGAATAGGTATATTAATAAATATCTCAAAAATTAATGATGCATGCTAAGACCCCTGGCAATGGCGGCCATAATCCATTTCAAACATTCATAATCAGATTCTTTTGATAATGTGCAGAGTGATTGAACTATTAGAATGCCTCAGTTAAAATTAAAAGATGTAAAAATTACTTTTTCACTGAACCTTTTAGGCCAATAAATTATGCTAATAACAAAGACGTGGGACCACCTCAATCGACGTAAGATGAGCAAACACTTGATTAGATTGGTTAGTTGTGAGTTTATATATGATATGCTTTTGAAATGGATTGCAGCTTGAAAGACAACACAAGAAGAGAGTATGATGTGAGACTAAAAATGATATGCCCACCTAACCAAGTTGGATGAAAATAAAAGTCTAAAAGAGAAAGCAAGCATCTTATGTTATACTGTTTAAGTAGTCTGTGTTTACATCATTCAAGTAGTCATGGACGTTTCCTCCACTTGTAGATGGTGCTTTCCTTCCTTCCTAGCTAGAAACTTTGTTTAGGTTGGAACATCATCCCACACCATTCATATCAATAATGGTTTTTCCAATCTCGTGCACGATATTATTGTTTGTTCTTTGTTGGGGAAGAGGACGACACATTAGACAGACACTTTAGCATCCAATAGCAAAGGCCACAAAGGCCAGGCCTCACCAGAGAAAATGGCTTAGGTATGAATCTGATCTCTGACATGACACCCATTCACAACTAACTTGGAAAAACCACCTACAACACAACACAAACCCAACTGATCCCTATTAAAACATTTACACAAGCCTATTTTCGAAGATAACTATTTCCGCTAACGAGTTTCACCAAAATACAACAAAAATCCAAACAGATTACATGGGATGGGATGGGAAGGCAAACAAACTCTTCTTTCTTTCTCTTAATCACAGGGAATTTGATTATACGCAGCATCACAGACGAAGGGGATATCAGCATGCATGCCTCCAAGAGCACAACAGGCCTTCATAATTAATCTCACATTACTTGACTTGACTTGTGGGAACCCAAGCTAGATGTTTCCAGTATTACTCTGCTAAAAAGGGTTTATCCATTTGGTCAATAATGCTTTGCAATCCTGACCTATAACTTGGATGAAGAAGCCTCACACCTAGCTCTTTCTTCATACGAGCATTGGAGACTCTCTTCTCACCTGATAAACCCTCCTCCTTAACAATAACCGAAGACTCTTTTTCCTCAGAAGAATGTTTGATCCAGCCAGGCCACTTTTTCTCAACCAAGTCCCTTGCATACTCAAATACTTCTTCCCTTGGGGCTGGCTCATCATCAACAATATTATAAACTCGCCTGAAAAATGAAAAACAAGCCGATGAATAAGAAAGAAAGCGAAAAAACAAGAGAGAGCTCTGAAGATTCTGGGGTTTTCTCCTCAGTTCTCAGTTTTGGATTATCACTTAGGCGTACCTCACTATATTTCACAACTAGGATAAATAATTTACAAAACTGAAAGTCGAGACCTACCTGGAGGAAGATGTGCATATACTAGCCTTCAGGGCTTGACAAATGTCCTGAACATTAACTCTTGATGTGAACCGCCTATATCCTCTCATTCTCTGACTTTCCGATAAAGCTCCCCGCTTGATTATTGTATCAACAGCACTGTAGTATAGTGGAAAATAGTTTATAACTAACCAAACTTTTTGCATGAGAAAGAAGCGAAAATATTCTCTATAGAGCAGATAGTTCAAAATGATGTTTCAAATAGTATGCACTTTTATTGAATTGGAAACTGAAAAAATTTGTTTCACAGTTTGAAATAACCTTTTATTACTGATTTGCTACAAGAAATGATGTTTCAAATAGTTGATTCTCTACTGGCAGATACTAATTCTTATAAAAACGAATGCATGAAAGTTTCAAACAAGAATGTATGCAATTGTATTGATTTCAACCAGAAAATGGGGAACGTTTCCTATTAATTAAAGATTGAAAAGAAAATATAGCATTTTATGAACATGCTTAGAATTCATCACAACCTTCTACCAGGACCATAGATGCCTCCAAGCCGAAAAACTTTTGTTGAGATGCCCATACTCTGGCCCAAATTTAACCATCCCTCCTCAGCAGCTAACCTTAATCTACCCACATCACTTTTGGGGTTAGGGGGATAACTGACACATGATAGATAAAGTATTTTAGAGACAATTAATATCAAAATATAATGAAGAAGCAGGTTACACATCGAAATCGTTAAATTTAGATGCACTCACTTACTCCTCATCCACCCACGCACCGCCTGAGTCTCCATATACACCTAGCAGAAGAAATTCCACCATAGTCAAAACTAACATAGAAGAGCATTAGAAAAATGAAATGACACACAATAATTTCAACCAAAGGAAGAGTGTAAATGCATGCATATATCAGGTTCTGAGAAAACATAAAATGTGAAGGAAGGATATGAAAGCTTGGCCACCACCAGTAGACATTAGACATACATACTAGTTGATGACAAATAACAAATGCATTGAAGACTTCCACCCATAAGTGCTCTCCTCAGACGAAGTTCATTATGCAGTATCTACAAAACAAGCGTCAACGTTAATATTTTCGGACAATCGTCAGCTTTTTCAAATAACATAGCAAAAGTAGTTTTCTTTAAGAATCATACCGGGTCACCGATACCAGGAACTGGAGGGATGGAGACAAGCAGGTGGGTATGGTCCTTGATAATTTCTAGGGTGCTGGTCACGCTGAACAATCAACAATATTGGCTGCCCAAAATAAGCAAAAAGAAAATGCCCAATATCTATTTAAAGATGGAGCATTACTTACTCTGGCTGGTTTGCATAAAAAAGGTAGATATCAAAGCCCCTTTCTTCCTCAAGCTTCTTCTTCTTGATACTGCTCGTACAAGTCCCAGAGACAGCCCTAACAATGGAGGAAATTAAGCTTGAGTTTCTGCAGATGAAATTAAATGTTATGACTCGGAGGATCCAAAGCATTAAGATTTACCATCCTTGGTTCTTGAGGTCTTGCGCCAACACCTGGCCGACGAAACCCATCCCCGCAATAAACATCCGGTTCCGAGAATTGAACTCCGGTGTACCGGTCATTCGAATGACGGCATGTCTCGGGGCATGACCGAATTTGAAGGCGATGGAACCCGATATTTGATGCAACTCCATCACGAAATATCGGAACTTTGAACCACGAAATATCGGAACTTTGAACCGCAGAAAGTTAACAGAGATTCAGTTACAGGACACTACTCGGAATCTGCCTGACTTTTCCAGTTGCTAAAAGCTCACTGGCACTGAGGGCTGCTTGCATAGGGAAGCCCACAGTTGTTATTTAAATGGGCTGGCGGGTTCAGTTAAGCCCACAAGTAACAGACGGATCATCAAACTTATAAACCCTAAAGCCCAACCTACCCAAATCCGAATGTGTAGGTTTTTCTTTATTTTTAAATACAAACGATAGTCTAAATTATTTTAAATTAGTATAATTTCTTAAGCTTACTGCTCAGACCAACTAACCTAACCCGACTCTGAGCACTTTTTTATTTTTTGTTTTCGAGGTCAAATGAAAAATCCCAAAAAGAGAGAGAATAGAATGTCATATACTCAAATGTGTTTCGATTAAATTAAGTTGATGCCTTTGTAGAATAAGAACAAAAGAGGAAGAGCCATTTATTCGAAGGAATCCTTAAAATATAGATTAGAGACTAACCACCAGACCATCATTCTTTTCCTTATTTCCTTGAGCAAGAACAAAGAAGAAAAATTAAACTCCCCCAAAAGGTAAGAGTATATATTGTGCACTTCTGAAAACACAAGCATCCTCCACCTCACACACATGCATTGCTTTATTGATGTAATGATATTGATAAAGAGAGTAGTTAGCTGATAAGATTAGTTTGTCATTAGTTACTCTTGTAAGTAATTAGTTAGAGCTGTTGTAACAGCTTGTACTTGTACATGTGGCTTTATCTATTGTATAGAGTAGACATGTGTTAAATACTCTTCTGTAATATTTTCTCAATTAATTAATGAGAATCACAATTTCCTTTAATTGAATCATCAACTAGCAATTAATTATTTAAGATGTGGCTACAAACAAATGGGTTGACAATAACTTAATGTTTTTAGTGTAAGCAAATTTGCATGGTTCAAAAGGAAATGGTCCAAAATAAATTTCTTACTTATTTTGGTCTGCGGCTGATGATGATGCTACAACTTTTATCAGCAACCTACTTTCGTTCCATCATCACCGATCCATATATGTACGTACCCAACCCAACTACTAAAATAAATGAGGTTCAACAAAAATAAATGAATTGATGCTCAAAGCGTTTGAGAATCACTTTCATTTGACATTTTCTGCAGGCTGCAACAGCTAGCTAGCATACATGACCTGTCTTTTCATTTTGAATCCCCTTATTACTTCCCTTCTCCTTTCTGATTTGAAGGAAAACAATTAGATCACTGCTTTGGCTTCTGAACAACTTGGAAGAAAAACCCAAAAAACAAAGAACACAAAGAAGGAAGGGAAAAGAATGGAAGAGCAAATTGCGAGTCTTGTACTGTTGGGGGTAATTTCATGGACAACAGCCTTTCTGTTCATAAGAAAGATGTTTCCAAAGCGGTCCTTTGACTTCTGCAACCGCCTTGTTTCTACAATTCATGCAACTGTAGCTGTAACTTTAGCTTCCTTGTCCGTTGAAGATTGGAAGTGCCCAGTTTGTCCTCAGGCTTCAACATCTTCTCCTCAGCAGGTCTACTTTTTTCATCTTCTCCTCTGCATTTTCTTAGCTTTTATTTGATTTCTTCTTCTTAAACTACATATTCTAATTCTATGGTGGATTTTCATTTTGAATGGTGAGTGAGCAGATGAAAGCACTCGCCGTGAGCCTTTCGTATCTCATCTATGATCTGGTGTGTTGCCTCTTTGACAAGAAATTCAATCTTGACAACTGCGTCCACCATTTGGTCAGCATTGTTGGGATTGGAGCAGGCCTTGCCTACCAAAAGGTAAACAAAACAAATTAGTCAATCTATCTAGATGACATTTCCTTGTTTAGCTCTAAAAAAGATTTCTTGGGTTTGGTTTGGGCAGTGTGGGTCTGAGATGATAGCAGCATTGTGGATAACAGAGTTGTCTAGCCCTTTCCTCCACTTAAGGGAGCTTCTCAAAGAGCTTGGTTACAGGGACACCGACCTCAACTTAGCAGCCGATGTAAGAAGTTACAAGACTTCAAATTGTGGAACAAAGATAATGGTAGGGGTCAAATTTACTCATTTTGAATCTGATGCCCTTCTCTTCTTGTATAGATTTCATTTGCAGCTATATTCACGGTTGCAAGGATGGTTGGGGGACCTTATCTCAGTTACGTGACTCTATCTGCTAACAATCCTTTCATCATCAAGGTACTTGTTTACATAGCCCTTTTTTTTCTTTTTCTTTTTCACTTATATCTTCCATAACCATATTGAAATTGAATTGTCCATGTTCTTCAGGCCATGGCACTAGGATTGCAGCTGGTCAGCGCTTTCTGGTTCTACAAGATTGCAAAGATGGTCAAATACAAAGTGATCAAGAGGACTGGGCCTAAACAAGTTGACGCAACCCAAGGTAGAGACTAGGGAGAGACAGATGTAACTATAATGGGATTTGGGAAATGCAATCTTTTTCCTTTTCGTTTGTTGCTTTTCCCCTGTTTTCATCCGGTTTGCTTTCTAGTGTTGCTTTTTAGCATTTCTAATTTTCTTTTGAAAATCCACCTTTTTCTTTGTCAATTTTCTGAACATTCATTAAAAAATCCACTTCCCTCACATTGCATGCCGAAACGAATTTATTTTTTTTTTTTTTTTTTTTTTTTTTTTTTAGGTAACAGAAAAATTACATTATTACAAAACTGTACGTATACCATTGATGAATTCCCAACTCTCTTCTCTAGACTTTCCCAGTTGACCTAATCTCCTGCCACATATGCTACAAATGACTTACATCCTAGCTTGAGAATGAAGAATTGGAGGCCGCGAATATATTTTACTTAAATAGTCTCTTCCTACAAGTTAAGAATTGGTGCGGCTCTTTGCTTTCTGCAACACCTCCCTTAAAACCAAAGCAATCCTTTGTGCCATGTGCGGTTCCAAAAATCTTTCCTTCACTCTCTCATATCCTTTCCTGCCCATTGTCAACCTCCTTTCTACATGTGTGGCTAATTTTACAATGTTATTCCTCAGCGATGTTGTACCTTCTTTACCAACAGGATGCAGCAGTCCTGTTGTGCCATTTACCACAATCTCCATGGTACCCCCAGCTGCCGTGCCCTGGAATGACTCAAAAGAAAACAAAAACAAAAAAGTTAATTGGAAACTAACAAACATAATACCGACTGGAAAACAATTTTTCAAAAAGATATGAATAAATTGCAATATGGATGAACCACATGTCTGGTAAATGATGCACCGGAAAATAAAGTACTACTGTGAAGTAAAGGACATACCAGTACAGGCAGCTGAAAGGCCATTGCTTCAATAGTTATCCTTCCAAAGCACTCTCCTCGGGCCTACACATGATTACAAAGAATCTTCATATGTAAGCAAACAATGCAGCAAGATTTGAATTCTCTTGTACAAGTTAGCACGAATTAAGTGCAATCTACCTGAGAATTCTGGACAAGAACATCAATTGCAGCCAGATACGGAGCTACATTCAGGGTTTTATTCACAAAGTGAACACGATCCTGAATTTTTTTCTCTATCACAAAGTTGCGCAGCTCTGTTTCAAATTTTGTCTGCTTACTCATATCACTTCCTACTACTACTGCATGCAAAGATGGCACCTGCAATTTCTTCTCCTTGATAATTTGCAGACTTTCGTGAAAGGAACGGAGAAATAGATCCTGACCTTTTCCACGTGAAACACCTGAAATTATATCACACATAGTCCTTTGAATATAAAAGTCGAATAAAGAAATGCATATGAACTAGAGTAGTGAAAAGATAAACAGATAACTAAATTGGCAACGTATTGCAAATGTTATGATAACTTATGGACATAAAACAAAGAGGCAGTAGATCCCATTCTTGCAATTCAGGATCTGGTAGAACGACATCTCAAAGAAAGTACTTGTAAAGTGAAGGACTCAAACCCAACCAAACTACTACAAAATCAGGCCACACTAGCAATCTTTCCTCAAATAAAAGTGAAAACAATGGAAGTTGAGAAATGACGCATTTTGTATGTTTATCTCTACCCCAAAAAACTTTAGTTGTTAGGATATGAGCTTGTTGTCACCACTAATGAGCCAAACACGCGAAATTCAACACAAATTGGGGGGTTTTTTTAGTTGCAGGAATTCAAAATTGCAATCTCTACTCTGATATCCATTTTAATTTTAATTTTAATTATTTCGAGTCTAATGAGAACAGTAAAGTACATAAACATAGAAACTTAAAGTAATAACAAAGAAAGCATACTATTTATGATGGCAAAGAGTAGATCTTCATTTCGCACTCCAAGAGACTCTCGGACATGCTCACGAAGAACCCTCCTGGATACACTATCTTCAGCAACTTCCATTAGCTCCTTGCTATTTCCAAGGTGCACAACATAGGTATCTGGCATTTTGATCCTACAAAGCACAAACGAAATATGCATAATCTACAAATGATAACATAAAATTTCCACAAGAAGAATGATAGAACATGCTATGGTGCATGTAATTTTACGTATCATATCATTCTTCTTACCCTAAACGCTCCCGAGTCCTGTTCTTCCAATATTCTGCTGTTGTATGCGAGTCTATCATGGCACCTGCAACAAAAGGGAGATGCTTAACATACTCCACTTTGAAATAATGCCCTCGCATTTCGTGAATCCACCACAACAACTTTGGAAGAACATGAGGAACATTTTCCTTGAGAACGGCATCGAGCCATTTTCCAGCAACAGCAGTATTTAAAACAACCAAATCAGCCTTCAGAGCTGTATCTATAGCTTTTTGGCCCTTTGCAGGGAAGACCTAACAAGTGTGAAAAATTCATAATTAGAAGGCCAACGAGTATAGGGACAACCAAAAGAAAAAGAACACTATGCTCAAAATAATATACTCATGGTAATATAACAGAAAAAATTGAGATCTCAGTTACTTATAAAGCACAGTTGTTTCTCCCCAAATAAAAAAATAAAAGAAGAATCAGAGAATAAATCAGGAAACAAGACATTGCAAGGCCGCAATGGCCTGCCTGTCCTTGGTTACTGTCAATGCCTAGGCTTTATGATTACCTATATGCTTGTAGATTATCAAATTTCAAATGTAAGAATAACTAATGATACAGCCAATACCATAAAGACCATGAGGAATGGGCAGTTATATTCCGAAACAACAGATACTCAATTAGCCCACTTTAAGTCCAAACATTCAACTACAGCTGGAGGCATCAATTTTCTTTTAATAGAGACAGCAGCTCAATTGTACATTAGGGAGGAAAGAACGGTGAAATTTATGCAACTTGATCCATTAGCAAAAGTTATACATCTGATGGTTCAATTTTCCAGTTATGTTTAATGATAAATTGAAAAACTTACGTCTTAGTTACAGAGCAGAACTACACAGTTCCACAACCCACTATACAGAACTTGTAGTCATTCATTTATCTGGTTATTTTATGGAAGAATAAATAAATTGGTTATTTCAGACGTCCATAGCATAGTGTAACATATATTCTTAATTTCGAAAAAGTAAATGCCAATGAAACCAGAAACATCTTTTCATATATGATTCTGGAGACATGTTTTAGCAATGAAGCAATGTCAGAGTCTGAGAGCTGTAAAGCTTACGAGAGCATCTTGCAGTGATGCGGCTGCTTAGAAAAATTGAATTTGGAAATGAAGTAAAAGAAATGACACCTGTACTCCTCGGTCCAGCATTTTATTCTCCAAACTGTAAATGACCTCATCAGCCTCCTCTGGTTTCTGGTTTGTTATCCAAACAACCTCAGCTCCCACTCCTCTTAACAAGAACGCTAGCTCCATCAATAATAAAGGACCCCCTGTTTGTTTTTTGGTCAAGAAAAAAAGAAGACGAGAGAGTTAAAAGAAAGAGGGAAAAAAAAGAGGAACACACAACTTTAAGCGCTTTCTTTACTTTTTTCTTCTATAATTTTTTTTTAAAATTTTTTAAATTTTACTTTTCTTCATCCTTTCCAATTCCGAGAAACACACGAAAAGAAGAAAAAAAAAGTGAAGAAAAATGAGATTTACCAGAAAGAGAGAGCTCATGGGAAACTAAGAGAACCAGCTTGGACTTCATGAAATCCAGAGGGCTCGGCCCGCCGCTCCCGGCTCGACCTGCTGAGTGAACCACCTCACTGGCTCTATCTCTTCCTTCCTCGAAACTACTGCTGGTGTTTGCGTTGCATGAATCAAACGCAGTTCTCATGAAGAAAACCATGGCAGTGGAGAGAGAAAACAGCGCCAGAACCATCAAAGACCATTTCTTCTTCTGCATTCCCATCCACGCATTCGCCGGCTTCCCCATGAATCTCTTAAGCTTTTCCCGATTTCATAAATTTCATATAATTTGAAAACTCCGATCTGCAACGGCAAGCACGATGTGTAAGATCAAATCTGAGATTTTTTTTCCTTCAGAATATTTAACTTGATAGAACTTCAGCGTCGTAGACTCGTAGTTGAAACTTGTGGTGTGGGCTCGACAACTGAATCCCAGAGGGCTTTTGGACTCGCATTTTTATAGAAACATTTTTGGACTTAAAAGTTACGCACGCTTCCTTAAGCTTCTTTTGGGCTAAGCTTTTCTTGGCCTTCTAGTTGACGCTTAGGTTTTTATTCAAGAATTCTATAGCAAGGGCTTCATTTTTAGACGAGGTTCTTTCTCTTAACCGTTAAATCAAATTGATTAGTTTGATCTAACAGTTAAAAGATGGGGCCTCTAAGGCCTTACCCTCACTATAAAATGACTCGTTTTTTATTATTTGGGATGTAAATTTACATTAATTTGTGTTACGGTTAAGGTTATACTTCAGGTACAAGAATAGAAAAAAGATAAGGGGAAAAAAATAAGAATAAAAGTGGAAGCAAAGGTAAGCGAAAAAGAAGTTTGGGAAGAGTAAACATGTGAAAAGTTGGGCATTATGAATGGAGAAAGAATTGATACATACTTGGGTTTGGTACAAGAATATGTATGTTCCTGGAAAGGCATCAACCACCAAGAAAGAAAAGGACCTTCATTAAGATATTATTAAGATATGTTCTACTTTCTGTGTTTTTGTGTCCATGTCATTAAGAAAAGCCGAAAGTGGAAAAGAGCTAATTGCGTTATCTGGAGGAACCTTGGATTAAAGTTTAAAAAGCCCCCTTAAGAAAGGGAAAAAAGGGTTAATTAAGAAATGGGGGGATCAATCAACAAAGTCACAAAGTTACTAGAAAATTCTCCTTCATTCATTCATATTTCATAGGTTTGGTTATTGGTTTGGTTTACAAGAATTGAAGGTTACGTACCATAAACCAAACAAACAGTCTTTGGATTAAGCATATAGAAATTAAAGCAGTTTATTAATTAAGTCGGCGACAATTGTTTCTAACTTCACCCTTGGATCCAGTGAGAGGCCTGATGTTGCCCATATTAACCATTGACTTGGCAAACTGCTGAAAGAAGAGGCTCTCATCATCTGCATAGGTTTTGACCAGCTCCATGGTCTTCCCTGCATTGCCAATGCCATTGCCATTGCCAGTGAGAAGCACTTGGTCCGAAGTAAGAAGGCCTTTGCCAAAGAGAATGAGCTTGAAGTAGGCGTTGTCAAATTTGGCAGGGGAGGCAAAGTCCATGGGGCTAATGTTATTGTCACCACCTGATCTCGGGCAAACTGATTTCAAACCGAAGTAGTAGCTTCTCTCTAGAGTCTCGTCTGGTTGGTTGTTGCCCTTTTGGTTGTACAGCCTCTGCTTGAACGTCACGCACCTCGCAACCCCAATGGTATGCCCTCCTGCATTCATCAAAATCATATCATTAAGTGTGTGCAGAAATAATCAAAAGATAATAACGATGAATTATATATAATTGAAGTACCTGAGAGTGCAACTAGGTCTACTTCGTCTAGGCCTTGACGCTTGAAGAAGGTTAAGAGGGTTGAGAGAGTTGAGTTTGGTGCGGGGATGTTGCTGTTTGAGCCACTCAGGCTAGCAGTTCTTGAGTCTCTCCTTCCAAGTGGTAAATCCCAATTAGGCCCACCGCTCTGTTCCATATTCCACCAACTTCACTTGTTAGTAGTAGTAATTAAATAGTTGAGGCTTAATTATACTAATCAACTATAATTTGGTTTCTTACTAGAACAATGGACCCCCTTGCAGCCAGAGCAAGAATGTCAGCACAGGAGACAGTTTGGGGACATGCTTCTTCCAACTTGGCCTTGATCTCATCTATCACTTCAAATCCTCTCAGCGAATTCCTGTTTGGACCTGACCTCTTTTCGCTGGCTATCGTCGTGCTGTCGTCCAATAGCACCGACGCATCACAGCCCTGCAGCCAATCATCATATCATAATAACATTAAGCCATGCACGTATATAAATATGACTTTATATATATGCAATCAACTAGTGGCGGCAATAAATATTATTTGTAAATAGCAAAAGGCCTTTGGATTTGAAAATTACCTGAACAAAGCAGTCATGGAAGTGAAGCCTAAGCAAAGAAGCAGCCACCCTGGGCTCCCTTGCAATGGCCTGCTGTAACACAGAGATGACAATGTCATTAGCTTGAGGGCATGAGAACTGATAGAATTGCGGAAAAAGACCAAAAGACCCGCCAGCTGGTGCACCATGACCCCTACTAGGTTCACTGCCCCATCCGGATCCCCAACCGAAGTTGAAACCGGCGGGGTGAGCTAGGGACAGAGTACTGGCTGAGAACAATGCCATCACCACCACAAGACCTAAGAAACTCACTTTGAAGACTGCCATGGTTATTGATAATTCAGACCAACTCTTTAAGACTTATTTTTCAAGTCCATAGATTTCAGTGTCTGGCTTACTTGCTTGATTGCTGCATGGCACCTTCTTAATTTATAGAGCAAATTAACCACTCTCCTACCAAATCCTCACTGAATCACCTACTCTGTCTGGATAAGGAGCTAGCTATGAGTCTATGACAGACGACAAATTGACAATGTCAACTTGATATTACGTATATTTAGTTGCTTTCCTTTCTGTGAAAGAGAGTTGGGTTTCCGGTGTTTCTGGTATCACCTGCTCCGAGATCACTTTTTATTTTCTCTCTCCCCTTTTGGCTACAGTTTGCATCACTTTAATCAATCAATATATCACATTGTCTCAAAAGAGAGTGCGTCTCTTTTGCTTCTGCAAAATCCCAACGCGGTTTGAGTATTAGGTAGGCTAAGGCTAAGGCCTATTTCATCTCAATATTAGCTATGAAGCCTCAGTTTTGCAGAACATGGACAAGTTGAGAAAGCAACAATTTGAAATACCCTATGAGGTTTCTGACGCATTTTAAGTTTCAAACTTCTGATTTCAGATGAGTGCGACTGTTTCAATTTCGATGATTAGCTGAGACTTTGCTATATACAGAAACCTCAAGTTGGACCAGTGTCGTCGGCCATCATGGGATTTTCAAGTACATCCAACCACCCACACGCTAACTTTGTGTTGTGTGAATTTAAAAAACTTTGTTACAAGGCCCAGCGCGGTACAATAATTTTGTGCAAGGCAACTGAAAAAATTCATAATAATACACTAAGATGGAGAAAGGCTGAGTTTAAGATGTAAGAAATTTATCTGACAAGAAATGCAGTTGGTTACATCTGTGGTCTGTATCTAGTTTCTAATAAGCACCTTACACCCAACAGAAAAATGATACATATATATGTACAACAGAATCATTACACATATTTCTCTCTGTCATTGAAGAAAATTGAGATCATGATATGCACAGTTGCCTCAATGGTGTTAGCAGCCTCGCATACCGTAGTGGGACGTGTGCCTTGATCAGTGTCCCTTTGTCTGTATGTTCCTATGAATTAAGTATACAAAATGTTGAGAAAGACTGTGTAACTGAGACACATACCAAAAGAAAAAGAAAAACAAGATAGTGGAATTAAAAATCAACATTCACGGGATACTTACCGTTCTCTCCACCATTCCAACCTTGTGTATGGTGCTGAGAAGCTCCCCTTTTTCAAACGGGATCAAGGCTTCCACCCATACCATAGAGTCCTGTTAAACAAAATATAACGTTATCTTTCAATTTATAGAAGCACGAACTCCACTATTGAGTATCAAAAAATAAACAGTGAAACAAGCACACATACCTTCAATTTTTCCTGGACTGCATTGCAGAATTCATTTACGCCCTCGCCACTCAGAGCAGATATGCAAACAACATCATCTCTCTTTTCTGCTTCCAACTTGATGCTTTCAGGATTGCTAACCTTATCAACCTGGAAAAAGGTAGCTGCATATCATCAATCTCGTGTATAGATTACAAGGGAGAACAAACACCACAGAAGTGAAAAAGAAATTCCCTAAGGTGACGATAAAAAAAGGGTAACCACACAATACACAGATATGATGATAAAATAGAGTGCCACATTGGATGGATAACAGAGCCACCAAGAAGATTCACTGTACCTTGTTCCACACCATCAACCTTGGAATTGAGGACACATCTAGTTCTGACAAAACTTTGTCCACAGCATCTATCTGTTGCTCAGCTAGCGGATGACTGAAGTGGATATCAACATCTAATAAGATAACAATGTCCATCATCACGAGTGGATCATTTTAATATGTTTTCCCAACTTGTACCTGATGTCCACCACATGCACTAATAATGATGACTCTGATATCTCCTCCAGTGTTGCTCTGAAGGCAGCAACCTGAAAGATGCAGTTGGTGGAAAAACGTTAAAGATATCATCAGCTTGACTCTGAAATTGGATTGACATTCATCAAAACCTTTTTCTTGCAGCTAAGTTGATAATGAACAGGGGAGAGAGAGAGAGAGAGAGAGATGAAATTAAACTGCAGAAGTGGCGGCAGATTCATCAATAAATTGGGCTAGTATCTCACCACTGTAGTTGGTAACTTCTGAATGAAACCAACAGTATCTGTGAGAAGAAACTCTTTCCCATTCTTCGTCTGGAAGGAATGAAACAAGCATATATATTACCACCAAGTGGAAGTAAAATAGCACAAACTTATTAGACAAAATATTAAATTTTCATCAAAAGACTAGCATATCAACAAGAGAAATACTTAAAATCATGCTACATAGACTCAATGTAGAAGTCCCGTTGTTTCAACTGGAACAGATGCATAAATAAGTTAACTGATTCCATAAACTCCAAATTCTGGATTATAGGCCTTGAAGTAGCTCATTGTCGGTGGAAGAATCAAAGATGGTATAGCGTGTTGATCAAACTTTCATGCAACCAGAAACCTGTTTGGTGCTACAACAAATTCTATGTTTACATCTTTGACTCTTCAGTTGTTTATCCAGTAGTTAACTCATAATCAATGATGTAATAAGAAATTCCCTGAGTATGATCAAACTACCTGAACCCTTCTTGTGGTTGGATCTAGGGTTGCAAATAATCGATCCTCAGCCAGCACATTTGCTCCAGTCAATTGATTTAAAAGAGTACTCTTTCCAGCATTGGTGTACCCAACCTCGTTTCCCAAAGCATTATATGCACAACATCAACAACAGGAGAAACAACCATCCATATAATTTTGAATTTCACAAGCTCTATGCATACTTACCAAAGATACTACAGGAACAGGTACTGAAAGCCGTTGATTCCGGTACTGCTTTCTATGCTTTCGAACAGATTCTAGCTCCTTCTTGAGAACACCAATCTAGCATTACAGACATTTGTATATGAATCAATTTCCAGAGTCAAATCTTAATTCACCAAAAAGAAGAAGGAAACAAAAATCTCTAATGGAAACTGTAGTTTGTAATCTACAATTTCTATGGAAAGGAGCAGCATTAAGATAAACTCGCATCTCTATGATGCAATGAATTACTGGAATACTGATCATTCAATTAACAGGGCTTACTTGAGTACGTAAGATACGTTTATCCACTTCAATTTGTTTCTCACCCATTCCCTTCACCTTGCCTCCTGCTTGACGCTCAAGATGCGTCCACATTTTTGTTAGCCGAGGTAACTGGTATTCCATTTGTGCCAATGCAACCTAGAAACATCACAATTGTCAGCATGAAAATTCTGGAAATTGTAATTTTGTTTGTTAAGTTATTACTACAAACAAGAACTTGAATCCAAAAGTGAGATTGTACTTCCAACTATACCAAGTATGACGTTGGCATATTTTCAAGTAGCACGAAACACATTATTACTACTAAAAGGGCAATGATAATTTGCCTGTAAAGCTGCTTCATGTGTTGCTGCCCGCTGGTTAAAAATATCCAGAATGAGGGCAGTGCGATCACAAACTCTAACTTCCCCACCAAAAGCCTTTTCCAAATTGCGCAATTGCCTAGAATAGTAACAGTTGAATAAAAGGAAAAAATTAATTAACTCAAAATGTGCACCATTAAGTCTCGTTCTACACCAAGACTAATGTCTTAAAAATTTAAATGAAGCTGATGAAAAAAAAGGCTCATGCAGTTTTCCAGAATAAGACAGTGCTGACAGTGAGTGGAGAAATGTATACGATAAATATATTTGTGCTGGTAAGGTTTTATTGAGGAATTGAGGTTTAAGCAGGTAAAATCTCCACATGTCTCAAATTAAAGCTAAAGAGAAGACAGCTCAATTCTGGTCCAAACCTTCTAACATTGATAAGTAGAGTTCCAACAGGCACGTCAAATTGATAGATGCAGGGGAAATGAAGCCAGTATTGGCAAAATAAAACCGTGTAACTCATATAAATCAGTCTCTATAGGAAGCATAAACATGCACAAAATAACAATAAAGTCACTCATAATGTTTCATACCCTGCTGAGAGCTCATCATCAAATATGACAGTCTCAACACCCAATGCGTTAATTGCACTCTTGATTTCTGCAACCTTGCCAGATCCAATGTATGTCCTTGAGTTTGGAGAAACGAGTCTGCATCACATATAGCGTTAGAAATTGATGCCAGGTGACCAACAGGAAACAATTTGTATATAAAATATTCCGAAAACAGAAATAGTCTTCTGGAAGTAAGCATTAAAAGCTACTTACTTTTGATACGTGGAGCCAACAACCATAAGTCCAGCAGTATCAGCTAGCTGGGTCAATTCCTTGAGTGATTCCTCTACACCAAATAAAACCTCAGTATTACTACGTTTGTGCTCAACACCCACAACGTAAGCTTTTTCTTCAAAAATCTGGGAGAAAAGAGTGGGTCATCCTTAAGAAAACCAATCGAAACGAGGAAACTTATCCCAATTTACCAGTCTTATATCACAATTTCTCACACCTCACTTTTCACCCAGTTGAACTTTCCCCAAAAATATGATTATTCTCAAAACAAAACCAGCATAAACACGAACGCAAATTTATTTTTTGGATTTTCTCAGTAACCAAAGATGATCTCAAAATAAGACAGTACAGAGAAAAAAAGAGACCAACCTCCCTTCCGTTCCTTAACTTGAACCTACTCTCGGAGCTGTCTTCAACCTCCTTCTTCTTCTTAAATCTAGTGGACGGAGTTAGGGCTTTATCCTCTGATTTGGTGTCCGCGACTCCATCAATGACTCCGTGAACCTCTTCATTTACTTTCTCTATGGTATCAACATCAATCAACGGAGGATCCTGCAGCAGCGACACGTCGTCTGGTGAAACAACACCTAGGCCTTGTTCGACAGCTCTTACCACGGTTCTTGGAGACGCATTGGAATATTTTCTGAGCCTGAGAGAGCTAATTGGCCGAACTAATTTTGCGAGCGGCCATGAAAGGTAAGGGTCCTGAATAAGAGGTGAGGAACGAATCAGAGAGCAAGAAAAGCATGCGCTCATGATAGAATTTTGATCTGAATTTGTGATCTTTGTGTCTCCGAGCAATGCTACCCTGTAAAGCTTTCAACTTCCAACTTCAAGCGTATCAGTTTATCGTCGCGCGTTCTTTTCTTTTGGCTCAGATGACATGTCGTTATTTCTAACTTCCCGAGCACATATGATGTCGTATTGTCGTGTGATGGGTACCGTATAAGGCACTGGCCCAAATATTTGACTCGGATTTTTGCCGGAAATTCCACCCAAAAGCCCAAATCATTTTCGTTCTCAACGATGTGAAGAGTGAAGACCTCTGCATTTTCGCCGCCGTTTCAGAAACGCCGTGTAATGAACTGCTTGTCGCAGTTTTCCTCATACACAGCGGCCATTTTCAGAACGACAGGTCGGTCCGCCGGGACGAGTGCTCTGTGCGGACCTTCTTCGTGGAAGAGAAGATTTGACCTTTGTACTAATAGTAAGTTAATCAACTTAGAATCAGTGCTAACGAGGTTCCATATTCAGCTCTATTCGTCTCGAAGCAAAGGCAGCAGCAGCAGCAAAACGACGTCGCCCCGATCGCGGAAGAAGTCGAATCCCGAACCGGCTATGGAACCGGACAAAGACTCCTTCTATGTAGTGCGCAAAGGAGACGTCATCGGTGTTTATAAGAGTTTCAGTGATTGTCAGGCTCAGCTCGGTTCTTCGGTAAAGTTTACTTATTTTTCTCCGTTTGTCATTTTGATGGGGTTTTGAATGTATTCGAATTGAAATGTATAAACTTTTGTTCTTTGAATTCTGTTAGATATGTGATCCTCCTGTTAGCGTGTACAAAGGGGAGTCTATGCCCAAGAATACTGAAGAATATCTTGTTTCTCGTGGACTTAAGAATGCCATTTACACTATAAGAGCTGAAGATGTGAAAGATGATCTTTTTGGCAAGCTTGTGCGGTGCCCAGTTGAAGTAAGATTTCACTTGTTAGCTTCTGCAAAGAAATTTCTTTGGAAACTGTTGGGATTTTTTTTTTAACGTGACTGATAATTTCAAAAGAGAAAACTATGGCCCTGCTGAGGTTTATGGCTAGCAGTTATTTGCTCTTTCGTTTGTAGCTTATTCATAGGCTGGATACGTTAGTAAGATAACATAATTATAATTTATACGCGAGGCAGAGGCACTTTTATTTTTAAGGTTGAAGAATGTAATAGAGTACGACCCCAAACTTCTCTGGGCAGCTTTCTCCTAATTAATTTGTTTCTCCTTCCTTCTGATTGTAAGGTTGTTGTCTTTTCTGATCATGTTTTTACTTAGGTGGGTTTGTAGTGGTTTGGGAATATGATGTTTTTTCTTTCACATATCAGGACCCGTGTTCAAAGGGTGAAACATCTGTTAACGATGCATCCAAAAAGAGACCCCGTCAACTGTGTGGAACAGAAACTGAGGTAGGTTTGGAATCATAACAACCTTTGAGCTTGAATGCTCTCGCTCAAGAATATAAAGAACCATGTTTATCTTTGGAATTCTATCAGTACTTATTTCTTACTTTCTAGCTGAAGATTTCGTTTTATTCTTTATCATTATTATTTCTTTAGCTAAACCCTGTGGTAAAGATGAGGTTCTGTGTCAGATGAACTTAGCTTGTACATTTTTCCAATGCTTTATAGGAAGAATTTGGTTCAACTTTCATATCAGACAATCTGTCGAGAAAGCATGCCAAGATAGATCATTCTGCTGTGCTCGAATCACCCCCCTTGAACCGTGTAAGTTGAAGTCTTGGTGATATCTAGTGGTTGGGAAAAATGTACTTCCATAGGATCATTGTATCACATTATGAAGTGGATAGAGCAAAATACGGCAAAGGCCTGAATTCAATTTACTTTCTTGTTAATTAATGACCATCGACTGGAATTTGTCTTATATTTTATTATATAGTCAGGGGTTGGGGAATTCTCAGTCACTTTTTCAGGATCTGGAGTTCTCTGTGTCAATTGTTATAATGTTTCAAAAATGTGTTGTATCACCCACCCAGAAAAAAGAAAGAATGATGTAAGCTATATTTGTAGGGTTCCTGTATTCTTATGTTTGATGGTGCATCAAAAGGAAACCCTGGACTAGCTGGTGCCGGAGCTGTGTTGCGAGCAGATGATGGAAGCTTGGTATACATTTTACCTATGGGGTTATTTTTTGTTTAGTTCTTTGCCTCTCTAAGACTCTAACTATTCTTTTCCATATAGATCTGTAAAGTACGTGAAGGTCTGGGCATTGCAACCAATAATGTTGCCGAGTACCGCGCTGTCATTTTAGGATTAAAATGTGCTCTTAGAAAAGGTTTTAGTAAGATTGTTGTTCAAGGTGACTCCAAACTCGTCTGTATGCAGGTTTGTGAATATTGTTTTTATCTTCTTCTGCTTAAGGTGTTTTATATATCTCTGATTGTTTGATACTTAAGAAGTTCTTTTTTCCATTTTCGATTTTGTTTTCTTTGTTCTGCATTTGTATAACTGAGAAGGTAACTTGAACAGGTTCAGGGATTATGGAAGGTGAAAAACCAGAACATGTCTGATTTGTATGAAGAGGTGAAGAAATTGAAGGATAAATTTCTCTCCTTCAAGATCAGTCATGTCCTCAGGGTGAGAGAAGCTGATTCCGTTTATCTTTCGTGCTATGTGATATGTCTTGTATAATAATTCACCCACCCCCCACTAAGCCCACCTGAACTTATATCGCCTCAGTGAGGCTGCTTATACCTTTCTGACATGTTCTCGTAAACCTTCAAAGGGACGAAACTCTGAGGCAGATGCTCAAGCAAACTTGGCAATCACTCTTGCTGGTCAGACTTCAAATCTGATTTTGTGTTATGCACTTAGTATAGATTCTGCATATGGTCAATTGAGCTAATCTATGTCCATGGGGCATGTTCACGATGCAGATGGTCAAGTCCAGGAGGTGTATGGAAAGTAGTTTAAATGATAGTCCACCGCTGGTTATGTTGGGGTTTGTATCAGAAAATTAATAAGACATCACAAAATTTCTGTTTACACTTTGGCCTAAAGTTCGATGTTGATGCAGGTGACCTATTTTTTGAAGATTAGACCCTGATGAGTAGTGTGGCTTTGAGGTTTGCCACAATGTGGTTCGTTGGGCATACATTAACATCATAAACCATGATTTCATCCGCAAAACTGAAGCTTCTGCTGGTTTGCACTTTTGGAGACCGATTATTTATGCAAGTCAATCCTTGGATCAAATCACCCGCCATACAAGGGAGATTCAGTTTGACAAACACAAGCTGAAAGAAAAAGGAACACACAGGATTTGCTTACGACGGAATGCGAGCATATGTGAAAAATTCATACTAGCATTAATAATAATTGTTTCCACATACTTTTGGAGCTTATGTTGAATATCCAATTTTCTGCACCCAAATTCAAAAATAAATCACTTTTCGCTGTGTTCTATGAATACCGCAACTGTGAAATACAACACACAATCAATTGTTGATTAAGTTGATGAAAATTGGAAAGGAAAAAAAACAGTAGTTATAAGAATATTATAAGAGATGACATAACAGTAGAGCAAGGACTGAAGGCCCAGATCTTGAATAACCCTCTTAGCACTAAAATCAACATTACAAATGGTAGACTTGAAATCCTTTACAACATTGCATAAAATCTAAACTTCCACTGGTGATTTTCAACATTAACCTCAAGATGTGAGATGCATTACTGCAAGCCATATCCAGTTGAACACTTTCCCCCATCAATCCTCTGTGTGATCTGTGTTACCTTCACCGGTCATGGAGCCACCGGCTAAAGAGTTGGAATCCTCCGAAGACTCCCCAAACTCTTCTTTGTACATTTCTTCTATCATAGGTTTCCAGAGCCGAACTCGCGCATTTATGAACCAATTTGAAACCTGAAGCAGACACAACATTGGCATCACATGGTTAGACCAAGTTATAAATGAGCTGCTCAATTTGAAATCAATTGGGACATGGATAAAACTGTTGGGGATTACTTGGTTCTTTGACAAGCCTGTTTGTGATGCCAACAGAAGCTTCTCAGAGTCATTTGGATAACTGTATGATCAGAACCACAAGTAAATAGGCAACGTTCAGAGCCACATTTAATTAATTTGGATTAATCACAATCAAGGGCTAATTGGTTTTGGATTGCTTACGGGTGGAGGAAGTGTTCAAAAAGCCAAGTGCGAAGAATTGCCACAGAGGTCTCTGGCAGGCCTCGAATTGGTCTGAAAGCTTGGCGTTGGCTCTGGAAAATGCCAAGCTGTTGAAGAGACATTCTTTTGTGTCTGCACTCTCTGTCAAACAAGTTAAGTTGTGATAGTCCCGAACTGATTTTCGGTACGTCTTGCAACAGCTTTCGTTTTTCGGCATAGATATGGGAAACTATGGCATCTCTTAAGCTGCAAAAATGCCTGGACATGGCCTTTAGTGCCAGAGCTGTGTAAGACTTGGCTGCTCCTTCACCTACTACCATCTCAAATGATGTCATCACTTCTTCCATTTGATGGTAGTACTTCTCACATCTGTCCTCAACCTGAAAACAGCAAGGAAAGTATTAAACAAAATAGTCCCAAGATTAAAAGTAAACATCAAGATTGTATGTACCTGTTCCAACAAGGTGATAAGGTTTGCAAGTCTAGCTTGCAATTCATGCTTGTCAGCGGACATGAGCCCATTGCAGCACAACTCTGCTTTCAGTTCAGAAGAAAGCCCCATAGCACCTCTCCGGCCTTCACCATATAACTTTCCAGCATGTTTTTCATTGCTGACGTCAACTTGTTTTCCACCAACATTAACAATCTCATCTAAGAGGGACTGAGCTGGTTTTAGATATCTTGAATTCCCAATAACATCCGCTAAAGATTCAGTTCCATATGAAGTGGAACAAGATCGACTTAGCGAGTTTGAAGACGAAGCAAGCGCACTGCCTATGAAACAATACTCATCGCTTACATGTTCAACTCCTGGATTGCAAGCTTCCCCTGATTCTTCTCCAATGATAAAGTGATTGTGGCTCATGAGGTCTGAATTCATAGACCTCTGCCTATATTGGACAGATGGAACAAGCATGTGGGAACCAAGGGACAGTGAGAGCCTCTGTGCTTGGTTCTCCATTGCTGCTCTAGGAAGATCCATCAGATGCCTTGTGTGGCTGTTCATATCTGAGTCCTCTGCACCTGTGCGAGCTTGAACAAGGTGCACTGATCTGGACATTCTCTCCCCAAGAGAATGAAGGCTGGGCAGGACACCAAGAGACTGAGGGATTGTGTTACTATTCCGAAAAGAAGACTCATAAGCATCAAGGTGTTGGCTTTCCAAATGGTTTTGGGCAGCAATGGAGTCTGAGATAATGAATTGGTGAAAGATACTTGAAGCTGGATTTGGGGGTGAGTCTTGTGAAACCATTATAAAGTTAAAAACTATGACAATAGCAAAATGCCTATGTCAAGTGATGAGGTAATAAAAGTATAACTGATCAGGAAATCTATGACACTGAGAATCTGATAATAGCCATTTCGAAAGCAGAAAATCAATATGAAGTAGTAAAGCATACAGTGCCAAAACAATGGATCACAATGCCATATTTAGTGGCTTTTCAAAGCCATGAATGAACATGATATCTGAGAAGCTAGAGTTGGGGTTTGCTGCATGTGTGGTAAATGCTTGACCAGCCTAGATAAAAGTAGTTGTGTCATAAAGTAGAAGGCCATCTCAAGATGAAACCTGCAGCATTGAAGAAGAAATCTTTAGTTAAAGGGACTGAAATTATCAAGACTTAATAAAACAAAAATCCTACATTATTAGGCATGAGTTGGATGGGTACATCATCAATGAATTAAACACTTGAAAGAAATCACATTTGACAGAAAGAATCTCCTTACATGGGATGGGACAGAAGAAAATCCAACTTGGTATAAGTAAATCTGAGTATTTAAGCTGTACGTGCTAATCTACGACGACCCATTATAAATTCAATTGATGATCAACACGAGAGAGAGAGAGAGAGAGAGAGAGAGAGAGAGAGAGTTCAATTGCCAAAAGCATAAACAAGGTGGAAGCCTAAAAGTAGGGACCAGAAGAGATGAAAACAATTAAACTTTGCCACTAATTCCAACCTCTGATTGGCAGAGATGAAGAATTAACAGAGTTCAAGAGAGTGGGAGAAAAACCTAGCAAGGCTAAAATGAGTCTTCAATGAAGAAGCGAAGAGCAAGCACCAACCTGTGATTTCAAAGCATACCTTTAAATTTAATGCAGAAATGATTCTCTCTCTCTCTCTCTCTCTCTCTCTCTCTCTCTCTCTCTCTGTTAACAGGCCTAAATCTAAGCAGCAGAAAGCTATAAGCCTAAAACATAGACTTCTGCTAGTTCCTTAAAGAAGCCCAGTTAATTGGCCAAGTAAAAACGAGAAAATGACAAGAGAAGATGGTCCCAATTTCCCTGGCTATAATACAACAACCAAAAGCATCAAAGCCTCCAGCTTTAGTGTCTGCAGTCACATTTCTTTGGGAGACTCAAAAGTACTTTCAGCTCTCACTAAACAGTGTATGTCTCTCTCTCTCTCTCTCTCTCTGTGGTTTGGCTTTGGCTTTGGCTTTGGCAGCACAACAGCCCTCAGCATGTTAAATTGTTCTGTTCACTGCTGGGTTGGGTTGCTCTCTTAGTCTGTAAAAAGGAGGAGAAAAAGTGGGCTGTCTTTTACACACTCCCAGTTCTAGGATTGTCAGCTTGTGAGCCTCTAAGCATATGGAAATATCTAACTTTTTCCTGTTATGTGTCGTGATCGTACACAGAGATGTTGAAAGGACACTGATTTCACAATCTTCAACCACAACACCAAAAAAAAATTGAATAGAAAATAAAGATGGGTTCTTTTCTTTCTGGTGCTTAAGGTTAAGAGAGAGAGAGAGAGAGAGAGAGAGAGAGAGAGAGAGATTAAAAAAAAAGATATGGTATGATGTTTTGGTCATTATTATTAATTGAGGGGGGTTGAGGGTGAGGTTTGGTTTGGTGTGCTGATGAGACTAATTCTTGTTTTCTGGGTGTATCTTACTATTTTGGGCTGGTCCGATCGGATGCTTTAAGTAATGATTGCTATCTTTGTTCCTTTGGCCTCCTCCAGTTGTCACTCTCTGATTCTTCTTTGTTTCTTTGTTAATGTAATAGGGACCCTTTAGGTTTAGGCCCCACCACCCCATAGATTAAAGGTGTCTCTCTCTCTGCCTGTATCTGCAAACTCTGAACCCATCCCAGCAAATTTCAAATCCAAATTTTCCGCCACAATTCTCCCCGTGATTATATTGCTTTGGGATAACCACCACCCTCCATTCCAATTCCAAAATTAAAGACTAAAAAGAAAACGGAAAAACCAGTTTTGATTTGAGCACATAAAAAGTCCATCAGAAAATTCGAATGCTTGGATGATGGATCACTTTATGGACTTTTTTTTTTTTTTTTTTTTTTTTTTTTTTTTTTTTTTTCAATGAAGAGAAAAGGTCATGTTAGGAAAAATCAGGCAATTCTTGTATCACACTTATTTCCAAATGAGAGATTATACATTTGATGCTGTTCAAGTTCCTTATTCAATGAATGCACAAGATATTGCTTCATCGTATCTTTACAAAGCTACTTTACAAATATGCCTAAGGCTCTTCCACCAACCAATCTCTGTTATTTTACAAGTTGGTATTATACACGCATCTACATCTACAATCCCCCATGCTAGCAGCAGTTTCCATCTCTTTCAACTATCAGCAAATGAATTGGGCACAGCTAAAGCAACAAAACAAGCATTCTGTTTTTCCCTTTTTTTTTCTTTTTTTTTCCTTCAACGACCCTTGTCTTGAAAGAGACCACTTACCACCCAAAAAGTTGTTGGAGGCACCAATTCTCTCGGACTGCAAAATCATGTAACAGGTGGGTATTGCCAAACCTGTATTAACTGTTGCTGCTCTGGATCCTCATAATGACAATCCAAAGAAGCTGCTGCGTCGTCATGAACTCTTACATGGGATCCAGTAGATGAAGGAAATCCATCATGTTCTTCGCAATGCCTCAAATTCAATGCAAGTGACAACTCATTGCTGCCGACTGCAAATTGATCCAACCCCGATATGTCATATGTGGCAACAGCATTATGGTTGAGACTGTGACCAGACTTCTGCACTTGCCCTGGTTCATTACTATCAGCAGTTGCAGATATCATGCTTTCCTGCAACTCCTCTTTCCTGTCCTCAGATGCTGAGAATTCAGCTCTTGCTTCTTCCTTTAGCACATTTTCTGGTGAAGATTTCGAATCCATGTCCAAATCACCGAATTCTTCTTTGTACATCTCCTCAATCATGGGCTTCCAAAGACGTACCCTTGCATTGATAAACCAGTTGGCAACCTGATAATGAACAATATTAGTAATAACACTATGCAAAAAAACACAAGGATCCAAATGGCCTCAGACATTTGGTGATGAAATATTTTGAATTAAGCTAAGAACTTCAAATGATTAAGAGAAATTACAAGAATGAGTATAAGAATTTGATGAGTCATTTTACCTGGTTTCTGGTTAACCCTGTCTGCCTTGCTAGCATAACTTTTTCTGAATCCTTTGGGTAACTGGAGGGACACCAAAAACCACGAAAGAATCAGTGAACTGAAGTTCTTAAGAAACTGACAAGTATGATTTTCAATCAAAGGGGAAATGGTGTTCAGGTACATACGGAAGAAGGAAATGCTCAAACAGCCAAGCACGAAGGATTGCAACAGAGCTTTCCGGAAGTCCTCTTTGAGGCCTCCAAGCATGCTGTATTCCGCCAAGCTGCTGAAATGCCCTCTGCTGTCTGAGCTGCTGGTCCACGTAGCGAAGGCGGGGTATTACTCCTCCTTGACCATCTGATGAAGAATCTTGCTCTCCCAGTCTTTTCCGTGTCACTTGAATTTGGCCTTTGATTGCATCACGCAAACTGCGGAAGTGACGGGAAATTGCTTGGAGAGCAAGTGCAGTGTATGGTCCAGCAGCCCCATTCCCAGCCACCTTGTCAAAATATGACACCACAACTTGCATTTGCTGGTAATATTGTTTATATCTTCTATCTACCTACAAGAAAAGAAAAAAAAGTCATATCAATTGATGAAATAAGAACAAAGAAAAAGTATTTAACAAAATTGTTTTGGAATTGGGATTATTTACCTCATCCAACATGGACAAAAGTTTGGTCTTCTTGTTCTGCAAATCCTGCCGTTCTGCTGGTGATAGCTCCAGAGTAGAGATGGTACTTGATTCACTAGGATCCGATGACCTTGTTAAATGTTGATCATTCCCATCAGCCTCTTTGGAACCATCAAATCCAATCCGCTTAGAGTTTTGATGCTTGTTCAATCGAGACTGCTTCAGTGCCTTTCGGACATTTACCACTTCATCAAGCAACTGTTGTGCCGCCTTGAGGTACTTGGAGCTTAACATAGTGCTAGCGGAACCTAATGAGTCATACAAGTATGCTTCGGAATGCATTTCTTTGGATCCCACTGAGCACATAGGATTGTACAAACTCTGCGTTTTGACAGTCTCATGGCCACCACCTCCATAGAAGCCAGATGTCAAGCTTTCAAAGTTCTTAAACTCCTCACTTTGATTGTACTCATCACCTTTACGGTAAATTTCCCCCTTCCCTAACATTGGAGAGGTGCTCAAAACCGAAGAGAGACTTGGATTTGGATACTGGTACTGAAATGAAGGCAGGGAAACAGCAGGTGGAATTTGTGTGGAGGCAAGGCTAAGAGATAACCCATGATCCTGAATATTATGTTTACCAATCAAAGAATCCCCAGTTACACAATCTCGGGCTTGGTCACTTGTAGGTGGAATAAACATCATTTCATTCCTGCCACCATCAGAATCAGCATATTTGTGAGGAGAGAAAGAGCCGCCGGACAAGACTTCAGAGTAGGATCCAGCAGCATATGAAGCTTGATTCAGATACATCATCATGTTGGCGGAGGGTTCAGGATAAGAAGCAAGTTTTTCATCCCCTGCATAGGAGGGGTTCAATAAGTTTTGGTTGCTTAAATTTTGGAAATATGTAGCCATAGCTTGGTTGGTTGGTTCCTCTGTCTCCAAAGCCAAAGCTTTGAGTTAACCTGCGACGAAATCCAAATTACCAGTCTTGCTCAGAAACAAATTACCATTGTAGATCAATCACAGATTCCTAACATAGAAAATAAGAAACTCATAAAAAAGAAAGCCTAACCAAAATTACCAAAAGCAAAACCAGCAAAATGAAAAGGAACCACAGAGTGATCAAACTAAAACAGAAGCCAAATTTAACCCAAATATCAAAATCTTCTTCTTCTTTTTTTGGGGATCATCAGAAGTATGTAGTGAACATGTTAACACAGGAAATTAATATCAAGCACTCAAATTCCATTCCATTCCATCACAAAGAAGAATAGTAACATAATTAATTCAAATGAAAGCAGCAGGGGAGCTTCGTGAAGTGTACCTGAAAGGTGTGGTCTGGGAATGAATTGTGAAGCAAAAACAAATGGGGAAGCTTTAGATGGATAGAAGAGAAGAGAAACTGAGGCAAAGTCCTCCACCTCCTCGTCCTCCCTCCCGAACTGGAGACAAACACCAATCCCGATAGATTGAGATATAATAATTCCCAAACAAGACCAACCTCCTTATCATTGGAACAGCGGCACCTACTTCTTCAGGAGAATATTATTATATTATGATTATTCATAATTGAATAATGGAAAGAATGGGGAATATCAACACCAACTTGAATATTTTATTCCCCCATTAAATTATTATGAGTTTTTAATTGTACATAAATAAAAAAAATGGGGAAATTAGTTTGGCCATATGTATACGCTAACAACCCAGACAGAAGAGAAAGTTCCTGGCGTGGTAGACTTGGACTATGACTAGAAGAGGTGACGGGCGTGGGTGGTGGTGGTGGGTGTTTGCTTAAGACGGTTCAAATCAAACGTTATTACGCTAACGGCTAACCAGTAACCACCAGTGGGTGAGTTAAGTGAGTCGTTTCAATTGTTGTTTGTTGTTGTTGTATTTTAATTTCTTTTTTCTTTTTAATTTAATTATTTTATTGTTTGGATAATTAAGGGGTTGGGGATTTGGGCTTTGGGCTGTGGGCTTTGGGGAATGTATTCTATTATTGGTATGTTATTTATTAGCTGTACTACGTACTTTGTTAGTAGGCTGAAGTTGTGGAAAACGTGCAAGTTGCAAACTCGCGTGTTTAGTTTATTTGAAGCCTCGTAGTACATAGCTTGGTTGTCCTGTCGGAAGATGGATTTACAGTCCGTTACCTCTAACGACGGCTTAGACTTAAAAGATTACACCGTAATTTTACCGTTACGGGCTTATGAAATTACTCTTTGCTTCTTTTTCTTTTTCTGGTAAATAATAGAGCTGGGCACGATACAGTTTGGTTAGTTTTTCCCCTTGAATGGAAATCGAAACTGAAACTTACACATAGTCTGATTTGGTTCGATTTTCATAAAAAGTGTCTAAAAGAACCAAATCAAACTAGACCTATACAGTTCTAATTCGTTCAATTGGTTTTTAATTTGAAAAAATACAAATATGAAGAGGTGAAGGCGAGAAAAATAGGAAGAAGAGAGAGATGGAAACACAACAAGAATGGTTATAGTTCATCGAAAAGAAAAATAAGTTAGGCCAGAATTGGGTATAAATTGGAACCAATGGCAGATCCATAATTGTGACCCCATGGAGTCAAAGTGTAAAAATTCATAATTTTTTTTAGTGCCTGAGCTGTTAGGTGTTGTGTTGATCAGAACATCAAATTGATGGTTATGGTGCTATATATTTCTACTTATATAACAAATGCTTGAAATCATAATTTTCGTCTTGCTTTGTTTGTCTTGGTTTTATCAGTTTGTGCATTCTTTTCATTCCTATTCTATACGATCTGATCTTAAGTATTTTGTGATTTTTGTATAATTCATTCTAAGTGGTAAATTGAATTTGAACCTCTAGTATACTTGTTCCCTGACTAAATCATAATGTGGAGATTGGCAAAGTGTGTGTGCTAGAGGAGATGGGGGATGATGGTTTGAGGGGAGATTGGGGTTAGGGTTGAGGAAAGAATAAGAAAATTGGGGTTTGGAGGGGTGGATTTTGGGTGATGCTTTAGCATTTTATTTTTAATTTTAATTTTAAGTACTGGCCCAAAACAACGAGGTTTTGCCCAGGCTGTTTTGAATAATAATAATAATAATAATAATAATAAAGAGACAAGATGCGTTGCGCATCTCCTTCTTCTTCTCAGGACTTCCATTGAGTAGCTGGTGGGTAACTCCATGGGGTCACACTCCCAGCAAACAAAAGACCTTCAAGGATACTTCAATGGTTGTCATGGGGTCGTTTAACCCATAGTGGCTCCGATACTGATTGGAATTAAGGTATTTGGATATTCATTGGAGTTACTAATGTATTTTGAATAATAATTAGGCTTACTGATTTTGGATATATATGAATAAGTAAACTTAACATAACTAGTTTGGTTCGGTTTAGATCGATTTTTCTAAGACAATAATAAGGACAAGAATCGATCCAAAGCGGTACGGTTTGTTTTATTAAGCATGTGTTGACTTTTTTTGTCAACACAATTTTTTTCAACTTAGTTCAACTCGATTCATCGGTTCAAATGCCCACCCTAGCAAGTAATTGTCTTTTATTGCAAAATGATCCACCAATAGGCAATATCTTTCTTCTTTTTTGGGTATGAAGATCCAAAAATAACAGAAAGTATGGGATTTTATTTTGAATTGAGTTAATTGAAATTAAGCCCTTTCCATAAACCAAAATACACATCAACAGACAGGTAGAGGTTTGGTTGTAGCTATAATAAATTATATTATTGATCCTCTTGTTGTAACTGTGGTTATTCTATTTATTTCCATATAAAAAAAAAAAAAAAAAAAAAAATAAAAAATCATAATTAGAATTCCTACAACTCATCACTTTGAATATGCAATGTTCAAATCATTTTGGTATAGAGGATGTCAAATGAAATAAGAGGATCAAACTTCGATATTGAACCGTAGACCAAAGTTTCCACCATAATGCCATATTACTACACCAAATCCACCAATCTATTCTATCAACAACAAAAAATCACCAAACTATTATTTAGTTTAAGACTCAACATATTTCTAAGACTTCATTACCCAACGTTAATGATTATATTCCTCAACAAATAAACTAGATATTATAAAGTTTGTTATTTGATCATGAGTTATTATAGGATTAGACAACTCGGTGTCCAAAAATTTGGACTGCAGAGATTTTGAGATATCAAAAGTTTAGGAAGAAATTTACTATTCTTATTTTCTTGGAGAATATATTTGGTTAAGGGAAGAAACTATAAAATAATTAAAAACGACCGCAACGACTTGCACTTAAAAAACAAGAGCAACGACCACGCGGATTACGAAATCAGATACGTGCGTGGCAAAATAGGAAAGCTCCAAAAGCTTCTAGTGCAGTGGGTCCCAGAGAGAGATTTTTGATGAGATTGCTGATGCTCGCGCGCGTGATTAATTGTGTACTTTTTCTAAGTATAGTCTAGACGATTCCGAGGGAGGGACAAGTAAAAACACGATTAATTCTTACTCCTATGTTGAGTAATCATATACTTGTATAAGTATTTTTCCTGAAAATTTCGAGGGACTTGAGAGAGCAAAGCAAAGCAAAGTATTTCCGACGCTGCCGTCGACCTCTCTCTTTCGCGCTCGCTTGCTTAGGAAGCCATGACCAGCTCCTCTGCCGCTTCACGCAAGGTTCTTCTACTTCTCTCTCGTATTTTACAGTGAAATATATTTATGGTTGCACATGTAGCCCCAATTTGTTTTCTTTTGCTTTCTTTTTTAAAATAAATTTTTGGTGCTTAGGCTTTAAGCAAGATCGCCTGCAATCGGCTCCAGAAAGAGCTTGTGGAGTGGCAGGTCAATCCCCCGGCCGGTTTTAAACACAAAGTCACTGATAATCTTCAGAGGTTCCACTTTCAACTACTTTAGTGTAGTTTTAATTAATTTTTCGTACGATTAATTTTCTGATGTTTGTTATTTCCTTTGAATTTTTGTGTGAAGATGGGTCATCGAAGTCAGTGGAGCCCCAGGAACTCTTTACGCCAATGAAACATATCAGCTCCAAGTTGATTTTCCCGAGCATTATCCTATGGAAGCACCACAGGTCCAAAATTATTTAAATCTTCTGTCTTGATTGTTGTAGAGTTGTAGATGTGTTAGGGTTTCAAACAATTGAAGAAAACAGAACCATACGCAAATGTAGATGCTTAGTATAAACATTCCCCGAGTATTCTCTGCAACCAAGCAATCACAGGAGGACATTTATATTTGAATTATTATCTTAATTGATTGTGATTTATAGGTTTGATATTATCGTTTTGGTATTCCAGGTGATTTTTATCCCTCCAGCTCCTCTGCATCCCCACATTTATAGCAATGGCCATATCTGTCTAGGTACTGTTTTTGTCTTTGAACTCTGTTTTTACTATTTCCCATACTATCTTTAGTTTTCAATAAATGCACCTGTATGGAACTAATGTATTGGTGTTAATTCTTATTTTCTTTTTTTTGCTGAAGATGGAAAATTAGATTTCTATGCCATTCAAGTCTTGCTTTTGACTTACGTGATTGGTAGTTTAATTCTATCAATATGATGACTAGTTGTTAAGTTGTTTGGCTGTTACATCGTAATGTTTACTTACAAATTAGGAAACTTATACAATAAGTTTAATTGGAGTCTATTGAATTTGCAGACCATGCAAGTTTGGCCTTGGAGAGTATCCTTCTCTGTTCACCTAAGCTTGAGGCAAACTAATTGTGTCTGCGTTTGTTTTGATCCTAGCACTGTTTAGAATGTTCCATTAACTTTTGGAGAAGACAAGCCAATGAAGGTCAGCCATCATCTGAAAGAATATATCTGGATTAAAATTTGAGAAGCCGAGTAATATTGTTTTGTTGGCTCACAAGTCCAATCGTCTGGTGCCTACTGTAGTGAATACACCAGATATTGGGGCATTCATCTTAGGTTGGAGATTGTCAAATTCAGAATGGGCCTGGTCAGAAACTTGACGAAAAAAATGAACTAGAAGTCATGTCTAGTAGTGAGCTAGAAGGCATATAACTTTTATTATTGAATCACTGCAAGTATTATAACCATACCATACTGTGAATTTAAGAACAAAGGACCGGGAATTCTTAAGAAATTTTGACGAATATATTATAATTTGTAGTGGAACCTCAATTTTAAGAAACCACTCCTTTTTTGGTTACTTTATGAGGCAACAGTAGTGAGTCCAATGGCATGATTACTCACAGTTAAAGTTGTGAGGCTGTGGTTATTGGATAGAATCCTCTAAGGCGTTGTGAGTCACTCTGCATCACTCATTTTCGCATCTAACCTTATTATTGCAGTTATGAGCTTTTACAGTTCAGGCTACTATTGTTCCCTCTAGGTGTAAAGTTTGGTCTTTCAGACACTATACCTTTTCTTTGTTTTGTTGCTTGAAAAGATGAGATAAGAAAAAAGGGGATTATCTTGTGCTTTTTGCAATCCTTGGTTCCCTTTGGAATGTGAGGCTAAGGTGAACATAGTTCCCTTGCCTTCGCAAGCAATGACAACTTCTTGTTTCAAATTTATTGTTGTCTTTTACATGTTTCTGCAATGCGATACTTAATTTTCCGGTACTTGGTGGTTATCATGCTCTACTGCGAGTTAGGGTGAGCAGGTTCGCTAGATTTGTCGGTTAATGGTTTTTGTTTTCATTTGCAGATATTCTATATGATTCATGGTCTCCAGCCATGACTGCTAGTTCCATCTGTATCAGCATTCTCTCCATGTTATCGAGTTCCACTGTGAAGGTTTGTTTCAATATGTTGAATTCAAGCTTTTGATGATTATTGGGTAGAATGAACTCATGACCATCATTCGTGCAATTTATCATTGTGCAGCAACGCCCAACAGATAATGATCGCTACGTGAAGAACTGCAGGAATGGCAGATCTCCCAAGGAGACGAGATGGTGGTTCCATGATGATAAAGTATAATGATGTAACAAATATTTATCAACTATGTATAAAAAGAAAAAAAGAAGGTTTTTGATTTGGAATACTATTTAATCAATGTTATTGTTGAAAGAGGGGGGAACCCTTTTGCATATCCGGCTTCCTATGCATATTGCATGGAATACATATATCCAGTGAGGTGGGTATCCAATCAGATTGCATAATGCCAACATCTCTGGATACAATCAGTTTGCATAATCCAATTAGCTTCCAAATATTTGCGTTTGGTTCAATCATGTTCTTCATTTGGTACAACCAAGAAAAAGGAGGGAGGGGACTAATGGTTGTAGCAACAATAAGATTACTGAAAAGTGTTAAATCAACTGGCAAGGCAGGTCCGAAATAAAATTCCAATTAAAACAACATAATTCAACAAAAAGAAATAACATATAGACCAATATATCCCCAGAACCGCTTCTGCATACGCCAGCCTAGGATTTGCTTCTTTATAATCGGTACAAAATATCCCAAAACGGTAACTTGAGTCGTGTTTTGTTTTCCCTCCACTAAAACACTAGTGTGAGAGGTTTATAGAGGGAACAAATGCTATCGCGACGACTTCCTTCTACGGCGGTTTCTTTCTCATGGCGGCGGTCCAGACTCCCGAACTTGGTCCCCACTCAGACGGTGCAGATGGTTCAGACATCCCTCGAGTCACTCTCCGTTTGCCCTAATAAAGTTTGCATGATTGCCTTCTGTTATTCCACCAGTCCTCAAATATCCGCCGACTTGACCGACTCAATCCCCCAACCGCCGTCAAAACAAGTAACCCTACTTTCCCTTCAATTTCATTTTCACTCTCGTTGCTTGCTGAGAATCCAATCGTTATTTTTCATTTTTTGTTGACGAAAATGAATTATTTTGCTTTTTTTATTTATTTATAAAAATTATCTTTGAATCAAACATTGTGTTTTGATTGAATTGCAGGGTCCTCTTCAACCCGGTCTGTATCTAGTAGGAACTCCAATTGGAAACCTCGAAGATATCACTCTACGGTGCTCACTCAATTTATACATAGAATTAGAAACCATGTTTTTCGTTTTTTATAATCTGATGCGAATTTCTCCAATGCAGAGCCCTCCGAGTCTTAAAATCAGCTAATGTAATACTTTCAGAAGATACCAGGCATTCGGGAAAGCTGCTCCACCATTACAATATTAAAACTCCCCTTGTAAGTCAATACGGAATTTTATTTTTTCCTTTGGGTTTCTAGTTTGGTTGCCTTTTGGTTTTAGTCATTTTAATTTATGCTTTTAGATTACAGCTGAGCTATCACAAATTCAATGAAACCCAAAGGGAACAAACTGTGTTGAAGAGGCTGAAGGAAGGTGAAATTGTGGCGCTCATAAGTGACGCTGGGATGCCAGGCATCAGTGATCCTGGCACCGAATTGGTGAGGATCCCCTCCCCCTTTGTTCACTATTTTGCTTTATTTTTCGAGCAAGCAATATATCGTTTGTCAGCTCGAATTGGTTTAGTCAATTGTGAGATGACTTCGAGTAGTTCAGCATGTCACTGTGGATATGGTATCTACAGAGGATATAAGGTGGTAACCAAACCAGCACTGCATTGGAGGTTTCCACATTCCATATATTATGAAGAGTGGAATTGGTGTGTGTATTAATATCAAGTGTTGGTGCAGGCAAAGCTATGTGTGCATGAAAACATCCCTGTTATTCCTATACCTGGGCCGTCCGCTTTTGTTGCTGCCCTCTCTGCCTCTGGCCTATCCACTGATGAGTTTACGTTTGGTAAGTAAGTTTGTCATGCTGCTTGAAGTTCTTCTTGTTGGCTGTGGACTGTTGAGCGAGGAGTATCGGGATTAATAGAACCCTGTACTAATTATATACTTCTGCAGTTGGATTTCTCTCTAAACATGCTGGATCTAGAAGAGAGAGGCTGATGGTTTCAGCAAATGAGGCGACGACACAAATATTCTACGTGCCTCCCCACAAGCTTCGTCAGTTTCTTGGAGAGGCTTCTTCACTTTTTGGTGTTACAAGGTAAATATCTCTTTCCTTCCTAACTCATTGATAATAATGTTTTATTATTGTTTATTTTTGTGAGTTGAAATTTGCACTATTGGATTGATGTCCGTTTACCGATCCAGTGGTTTTACAAATAAATCACCGGGTGACTTTTTACTTATAATTGTGATGCAGACAATGTGTCATAGCTCGTGAAATTACAAAAGTTCATGAAGAGGTAGGGTTTTTATGATTTATTTTCTTCCTGTTATGTTGCTTTGATGGGCTTGTGAGAATCTTGAATGCTGACCAGCTTATCAACTATATAAACAGTATTTTACTTGCTGCATTTTTTTTATGCGAATCTCATGGCATTAGATACTTAAAATCCTGTTGTTATGTTGTTCATTAACAAACGAAAAATTGAACTACCATGTTCTCAAGTAGTATTTGAGTCTTCTTTTTGGTGATATAATTTCTAGAGTTGACATAAATCTTAGACTAGTGACTGGTAATATGTGCCAGGCCAATGCTATTATGCTAGTATAAAATTGGCGCTCAAAAGTTATCTTTCTTGTCTTGGAGCTACTATTCAGGCTCTGCAATTGGGTTCCTTTATGTGGTAGATTATAGCCTCAGTTTCTAATTCCTTTTGGGCTGTGCGTTGCTTGTCTGACATTTTAGACACAAACCGACCTCACCTCACTGGTGCTTGAGCAATGTGATTCAATCCTCTTGGACCCCAGATCCCATTGGGAATAACTAATAAATCAATTGGGCCACCTTATATGAGTGTACTTCATTTTCATATATATTTGGAGCATTGCTTTGTCTTTCTATTAATTTAAAATGCAATGATATGGTCTCATCAAAAAGAAAAAATTTCAAAGATATGGAGAATCTATTTTGTGAATTCAGTAAATTATTATGTTGATGGTTCAATTCGTCTATTTTTAAATGCTAGCATGTTTTTTCACAAACAAAATTACTACTCCGTTAATTTCATGTTGCGATTTTGACTTATTATATGATGTCCCAAATTTTGATGCCTCATCAGTTTTGGCGGGGTACATTGGGAGAAGCTGAAGAAGTGTTTTCTACTCGGACTCCAAGAGGTGAAATTACAGTGTTAGTTGAAAGAAAGGAAAATTCTCCGGTTGAAACACCATCAGAGTCTCAGCTTGAGGATGAGTTAAGAGATTTGATTTCCAATGGGCATAGCCTTTCTACGGTAACAACTTCTTTTCGAGTATATCGCATGTTATTTTTTTTCACAAGAGCGTGTATATCCAAGGCTTCTTGCATATTCATTTTACTAGTGGTTGAAATGCACTTTCCATATTTTACAAAATCATTAAGGAGATCTCTTCTACTGTTTACAATATAACATCATAGATAGTGGAACATTTCATTGAGGAAAATTCGCAATGGCATCTTGTGATGGATATGATGCAGCAGATGGATCTCATTATGGAGGTCTTGGTTGGGGCAGTACCACGTCACACTCGTACAACCATTCTCACAAGAAAAGGATGTCTTTCTTGTGCGAGTGGTCGTGGGATAACATGGCTGGGCCGCCTCACTCAAGACTCTCTCCTCTTCATGACTACCTTTAAGCCCTATGTTTTGTCATTTTCTGCTGTCTCTCTTGATCATGAACGTTGGGGTGTTTGACAACTCTTATGTACGTATAGGCTGTCAAATTAGTGGCTGATGGCACATCAGTGAGAAAGAAAACGATATATTCAATCGCATTGAGAAAATTTGGGAAGCAACTTGGTTCAGAGAGTCACGAAGATCCATGCAATCGACAGCTGGAGTGACCTTGGCGTTACTGGTGGACCAGAGAGTAAAGTGCATATTATGCGAACTGATTTTTGTTTCTTAATATGTGATGAAAATATTTACGTGAGTGTTTTTAATAGACTAAATTTACAATGCCGTAGTTCATATTACTGACCGTTCTAAAAAGGGTAAGACAGTAAATTGCCAAATCGTGAAGGAACTGTGTTCGAAGAAGTTGAGGACAAAAAACGTCAAGACCCAGAGGCAAAAACCAGGACACGCCGTGTCGGGAACTCGGGATCACGGGCGCTGCATACAACAACATGACATTTGCAGGTCAAGGTAATAGAACCCACCGTTCCACCTTCTTGCCCTCATGAACCTCCCCACACCCTAAAACAATCCCCCCTCCTCTTTATTTTTATTTTATTTTTATTTTTATTTTTATTTTTATTTTTTAATTTTAAATAACAACCGCGCTGGTTTGATTATCAAAAATATTTCATCTTCCTGCCAGTAGTGTATGTACAAGAGCTTAGAACTATGCTATCCCTAAAACTTATCGACTATGTGCGGTTTTCTACGTTTTTGTGGTCATCAAGAAATTGACAACAATTTATCACCACCACCGTGATTAGAAATTGAAACGGAAGAGGATGGGCTAAAAATACGTTGGCCAGTGGCTAAAATGCGCCGGGGGTCGAAATCCAACTTCCTCTGGTAAAATTGGCCCCACTTATCTCCAAAGTGGTCCATCCACTCCTCCTGTGTAGTGTATTGGGGAAGGTACTGTTTCACCTTGATGCCTGCATCATCACAGAATTTGAGGATCTGACGGTTCTGATTGGTAAGGTGCTCCAAGGTGTGGGTCTCATCGCCAGTATCCAAGGCGGATCTTAGCAATGCCACTAGGTAAAAGATGTCCTCATCGGGTGTCACCACCGAACTCCTCTGGTCCCACCTACACAGAATCAAAACCACATAAACGCCAATGAGCAAAACGTGTTTTGGAATTTGGATTGGATCTGCAAGATGTGTGTAGCGTGGCAGTGTGCAAGATGGATGCGTATTTGGTTGTTTGGATTTGATCATCAGCGAGACCCACTCCACCAGCACCATTGTGGACAGTGGAGGAGGGTGACGGGTCGTTCCATGTCCATGTCATCAAAACTGTAACCTTGCGTAGAGCTTAGAGCATGTGAGTCATTGTGGCCGTGGATGCAATTGAATCTCATAACATATTAATCATATACAGTCATTCGCGTGCGTAGACGACTGATGCTAACATAATTGTCATAAACTTATGTAGATTATGTTAATATGTACTCAAGTACTACCGACTATGTTTCTGGAGCTACCATGTAAAACGACATGGATGACATCCCATCAGTGGATCCACTGACACCAGGATCTTTCCACTTGGATGATCTCCACCGTCGCCTTTGTTGGCTTTTCCACCCAACCCCCAAAAAAAAACCCTAGATAAGTACTGTTTGTGCGTGTGGTCCTGGACCAAGTCCAAGTGTTTTGGCTGCCTAACTATGGACTTTACCTCTCATCATATCATCTAAAGACCAAAAGCCATAGTCCATCCGTAGACAGATTGGACAACTATTCACATCTTGTCATGTGAATGATGAGGACTTGCTTGAAAAAGAAGGTTTATTAAATTACGCATATATCCAAGATTATGGGTAATGGTGAAGACGATGGATGTCGTTTCAAACTTGTGTTAAAATTTGGCTCCTAAATCTGACCCGAAATATATGAATACAAAAGCATATATGTTCTTCAAGTTCCACGCAGCTGCTGTCATAAAACATTCTATTTGTCTTTGTGGAAAATTTACCATAAGTGCTGCTTAGAGATAGGCTCGACAAATAAGGGCAACAACCTAGACTCGTATTTTATTCTTGTTAAAATAATGGATGTAATATCAACAGCTATATATCGTTATGTTTGCAGGCATGCATGCATGCAATGAAAACAGCATAAATACTTACTTGTCTTTGTTCATGGGGTAAATGAGGATGGGCCCGCTTGTCTTGTTGCCCAAAATACCCTTGAACACCCCCTTATCGAAGTCAGAAATCCTTGATTTGGGGACAAAAAGGTTAAGCCATGGGTGAGGCACGTCCCACAAACTCTTGGACCGGAGCTTCAGCTCGGCCTTGTGGACCCGGTCCAGAAAATCCACGTAAGGAAGATCCGTTGTGAAGACCGACGTGGGTACAAAATCCAATTTTGTTAACAAACCCTCTATTTCCTGCGTGAAAAACAAAACCCCAACTCACAATTTTAAATTATTTGGGGTTGAAAAAAAATACAATCAAAGTAGAGTAAAGAAAGAAAGCTGCTACCAAACCAAGGTGTTGCTTTTGTCAGGATAAGTTCCATTCAAGAGGAATAATTTGGTGAATTGGGCGGCTTATTAGATTTAGTAATATACAATTAGAAAACAATTTTGAAAAAAAGCTTGTATTCAATCTTAGGTTTGAATAAGATAATAGATCGCAGATCTTCCATGTTTTCTTGTTAATTACATTTTGTAGTAGCTAATCATATAATCTAGGTTTAGTGGGGACCCTGAAATATTATTGATTGATCAATCTAGCTTCAAAACCTTGCTCTCTTATTGGTTTCAATACGTGTAAGATGATAGATAGCCACTTTATTTAATTACTCTTTAAAGTCTGAGATTACCAACCAATTGTTGAATTGTTGTTCCTGCTTGCTAGCCATCTCTTTATTCTGATATTATATATATGTATGCGTTTTCTTTCTCGAAGCTGGTGTTGCTTTAGCATGCTGCATGCACGACGCCATCACTTATTTATAATATTTATTTACCACTCTTTCGTATTTCTCTAGGTTTTTATACAAAAAAAAAATGCTTTTATATTTTTAGTGGGTTGGGTTGGGTTGGTGTATATTCGTAGAAATTATACATAACTTGCATGCCTGAAATTACGACTATATGTATTTATATGTTGGTTGGACTAATGAGGCCTATGGATTGAGTGCTATATATAGCTAATTGAAGACTAATCACCAACCGCCAAATTAATAAAACTATAACACGTATACAAATTAATACCTGGTCAATTGTATCAGCGGTTGATTCATGGTAGTTTTTGGTAATCTCCAAGCAATATAAAACACCCCCTTGAGAATTAATAGAGGTGATTTTGACAGGGTTGCTAGGAGAGAAGAAAGAGGACCTCCAATTGTTGATGAGGCCTTCATCTACAATTACGAAACCCTCGACATAGTCGAACTTGTGGGTGGAGGGTTGCCCATGCAGAGAGATGAGGAATTCCTGATCTTTGGTAAAAGCCGAAAAGTTGGAATACAGTACTCGGATCCACCTCACCTGTTTGACAATGGCAGCAAATAAAGCAATAAATAAAAACAAAATTAAAGCACCAGAAAAAAGGAGATAGAGAAAGAGACCATGTTAGTTAAAGAAGCAAAGAGGACACGTCAACAACATTGCCAGCTATAGAATACCCGTTTGAATAATGGGTTCAAAAAGCTCCAATTCATGGACCCATATTCGATCCCTTCGAAACCCCCTTAGGTAGGTGAAGCTCAACCTCATCATACCTTGCTTTTTAGGACTCGTTTTTGTCCCACCATGGGAAGGTGGAACCCAACCAAAACCCATTTCTATTGAAACAACTTATTATAATAATATGAGAGGGAAGAGAGAGAGAGAGAGAGAGATACCCTTTGGGGGGCAGGTTCCAGAGCAATTCTAGCCCTAGTGATGATTCCAAATTGCCCTAGCCCACCAAGAACAGCGTGGAACAGCTCTGCGTTTTTCTCTTCTGAACATGTCAATAGCTCGCCCCTGCCTGTTTAACAAACAGTTAGGTCATTCCAATAATCATATGCTAGCTTCACAAGAGATCGATTTGCCCTTGATCATAGACATAAAGACAAGCACTTCAATTGGCAGCAACGGCAACAAACTTAATAATGTCATGATGAGAATATATATTGTTAGATCGATTGGTTGGTGATATATATAACAAACCAGGCCATGTGAGGGGTACAATTAATTAATATGCTAATGCTACACACACAAGAGATTAACTACCTTTCTCTCTATTACGTCCACACTTATATCAGTAAAACAAACAATATCTAAACTTTGTAATATACACCATGCAAACACTTATAAATAAATTAGGGGAAATTAGAAAGAAAGGCAAAAAAACAAAAACAAAAACAAAAACAAAAAAAGAGTGATATGATTAAATTTGGAACCTGTAACGACGTCGAGCTCATCAACACTGCTAATCTGAGGGCCATGATTGAACGCTTGGCCGCTGATACCGGCGTTGGAGAGGGTTCCTCCGACCGACAAGTACAAGTAGTCCGTCCACGACTTTGGTGCGAGTCCATATTCCAGCGTGCTCATCAGCACATCTATCCACAGCTCCCCACCCCAGGCGTCCACGTACATACCCTTCTCCGAAACCCGACCCGACCCACTTCTTACCCGACTCATAACTCTTCCTGATGATCCGCCGCCGTTCATTTCAATGACGACCCCATTGTTGGTCTGCGCCTGTCCGTTGATGGAGTGCCCGTGGCCCCTGGCCGAGACCGTGAATCCGTGAGCCGAAGAGTAAGCGGCTCGCACGAGTCTGGCCACGTCTTGGGCAGAGCCCGGGTGCAGAACGGCCAGGGGCTCGGCTCGGGTCATCAAGCCGAAGTCCTTGGAGGCGGTGTCGACGTCGGAGGGGTCGACGCTGAGCTGACCGTCAACAACAAGCCGGAGAAGCTCCGTGGGGTCCACGGTTAATCCAACCGTAACAATCAATCTGCAGATGGCGAATGTAATTAAAAGAAGCTTAGTGGCCATATGTATGATTGATTCTTGATGTTCTTGTTCTTGTTCTTTTTTGTGGATGGATGGTTGAAGATGATGAATGATTATAAGGTAATAATAGGCTACATAATGGCGGTTAAAAGGGGTGAAGGATAAGAAAAGTGCGCACACCGGCGGAGAGAAGTAGGTGGCGGTGGTATAGCTATATATAGTGAGAGAGTGAGAGGGAGTGATGATAACGTACGTATACGTGGTGTTAGAAAAAGAAGGAATAAAAAGAAACTGTGGGGGAAATTAGGGAAGAGGGAACAAAATCTTTGTGGCAGGAGGAGGAGGAGAGGTGTGGGGAGTCGTGGAGACAACGTAAGGCTGATTTCGCTTTAAAGATTTTGTACGCAACATGCACAGATTCTCTGCTGCGGTGCTGCGCTATAACTCCTCCTCTTCTTCTTTTTTTTTGCCTTTTCTCTTTCAACTTGATTTCTTCACGTTACAACAAGTAAGTACACACATATGTACACAAGTGTTGAGGTGAGAGGAGATGAGATTGAAGGTAACAAGGAATTCAGATATATTCTCTCTCTCTAGAAATTGGCCAAGGCAAACAACAGATGATTTACAGATATAGAGAGAGAGTAATTTTTCTGAGGGATTCAGTCTGATTATGGATACGAGAGTGTTGTGTCTAGCTAGGATATAACATGCAGGTCCTCAATTTAAAGCAGAGGAGAGGACTGATGGGGTCCTGGGACACGTGGATGTTCACGTGCGAGGGGCGAGAAACACGTGTTAGGCAGAAGGAAAATAGGGGTAGGGTAAGAAAAGAGTTTTGATGAGATGACCCATTACCATTACGACGCAATACCCACTCCCCTCTCCCCTGCTTTGAGGAACACACACACACACACGCACACAGATACACACAGAGACAGAGGAAAGAAAGATAGAGAAGAGGAGGAAGAGGATATCATCATCAGAAGAGGTCGGGGATGGGGGGCCCACATGTGGATACGGAGGATCTGTGTGGGGACCCGAGCAAGAGAAGCTTCACGTGGGTGCAGACCCCTGCGACGATGTTCCTTCCTTTGAGCTTATTATGCAATGCAATGGCGATGCAAATGCAAAATATTACCAACTAACTAGTCGTTTAAATATCAGTGCTTGTTCATTCCTCAATCCCCTCATCAAACACAACACACAACCAGATGTTTATATTTTTATTAATTATAACTCATAATAATATATGTATTGTAAATTGTAATGGCTGAATTGAATGCTATTATATATATATTAATTAGTGTATGCCTATCGAACAAGTACCAATTAAGAAAATCACAGAATCTAAGCCTTAGATTACAATGACTAGTTATGCAACTTAATTATGGTTTGCCTGCCAAATTGCCAAATTGCCAAATTGCTAATGCCATTACTAAAAATAAAAATAAATGCTTCCCACAACAAAAAAACACTCACAAAACAACAAGTGCATGTTTGGAGATTACTCAAAATATTTATATTTATCTATAGATCGATGTCAATTGCCAAGTGGGGTTTTGGCGCTCACTGTTGGATTTATATCTTAGATGATCAGTCAAGTCCTTTTGCATAAACTAGTTTAGTTGGACATAACTATAACAATTTTAATGGGATATATGTGGTCCTGCTAGTTTTTGCACCCTTCTCATTGTGGGGGATAATTAAGAAGATATTATTATACTACTTTTCTTTAAATTTTATTTATTAAAAAAAACCCTAATTAAAATTATATTTGTAGACTAGAATCTATATGAGAGAGTTGAAAAAGAAAAAAGAAACAAGTCATTGTTTTGGAGGGCTCATTGACAACTCTTGCAGCTTGTCCAGGAATGAAAATGATTGTCCAATCAGTGACGGCATTTTAGAGCTTCATAGACACTTGCTGGACCACCTAATAATAGCTTGTCTAACTTGTCTTTCATTACGGATGTGGATGTGCATATACATATATTAATATATGAATATAAGTTGTGTTTCATTTCATCGGTCTAATTTTGTTATTAAACCCAGTCAATGGTGAAAATATACAAGTTAACCCTCCCATCCATCCACCACAGTCCACTTACATTCTTGATCATCAGAAACAGCAACAGCAACAGCAACAGCATCGGCAAGATTGGCGTTAGAATAATATATAGCTCAACCACAGCGAGATTTCACCAAAAACATTTATTAATAATTGTACCAAGAAATTAACTTGTGTGTGTGTGGGTCAAGTCAAGGGCCAAGCCAAGATGTGCAATAAATAAAGGCAAATTAGGGTTGGTTGGTTGGCGCATTGACCATACACATACGTACAAGTCAGTCAAGTCATGCATGTAATCTCGTTTTCGTCCACTGAACAAACAAGGCCACATGAACTGGGGACGCATGCATTAATCATTTTCATATACATTCTTGGATTGGTGGTGGTGTGAACAGTTGGACCGGGTGCTGCTATGATTAATATGAACTTGACCTTAGAAAAGTTCAGTTGTCAGATATCAATGTTGTAAACGAGGAAAATACTTCCAAATTCCCATTTTTATATCTAAATTACTTGTCTAATAAGGCTTGGCTGGTTCCTTGTGTTTCACAAGATTTTGAGTCTTGTTGACAAAAAGGCCTCGTCTCTGTCGGGTAGCCAGAGGGACCCGGTGGATCATCAAATCATCCATAAATTAATAAACCTTCTTCTGTCGACACCAGGAGGTGTGGCTACAGTGCCTAATGTCCTTCACTCATGAACCCTTGGGATTGGGATTGCAATTTGCAACACGAGAGTCTTAACTCTCGTCCAAGGAGAAGGACCATAGCTACCAACCAACTTAATTGCAATAAACAAATAGAACGATTCAATGCTGAAACTCATCAGCTCGATCAGCATCCAATTTGGACTGTATACGTAGACATCTATATATGATTTTCATCAAGCGCAGCACAACTAGTATGACCAATTAACATCTCGATCCATATAAATATAATGGATAAAGATGCAACGCGCGCAGCCTTATCAAGCAACCTGCTCACATTGTTATGTTATTGTATTGACCTACTTGTGAATAAATTGGACGGATAAACATGCAATGCATCAACTCGTTGAAATAGTACTGAAGGGAACAAAAACAAACAAATATCCCAGTGTTGAACTTGAAGCGTTAGAGATGACAAATTCAAGAAAGTTTTGGCTCCATCCACGTCCCTGCATCAACTGCTGCATAAAACGATGGGTGTGTTTCAAATACAAAAACAAATGATCGACAAGAGGGCCCCCTAGAAACTTTGACAACTCAATTATAATTTGCTTAAACATTAGATTAGCTGGAAACACATGCAATGCATTATTTGATGTATCGTACGTCGTCGCCACTTAATCCCGCTTTACACAGAAAAGAAAAAGAAATCTCAAATCATAACTATGACTTTGGGTGAGTTTAAGAATGACAATGGGATGGGATGGCATCAGATCGGGTTTACCCTTAATTCCATCCATTTCTCTCCTCACTCCTCCAAATCCAATGATGTGGATCAAAATATAATTAAGCCCCAATCAATCAGTGAGAATGATATAATTAGGGTAGCTAGCAGTTCATTTGAAAACTGTAATTGCTCTTATAAAAAAAAACAAAAACAAGAAAAGTTCGGCACAAACAAATCAGTGGGCCTCTCTCTTCTCGATTCTCTTATCTTTTTGTGCGTCTGAAAAAGGAGAAAAGTCATTTTGTCTATTTGCTTTAGGATTCGTTCATGTTGTCTTGCTTTTGAGTTCAAACCCATCTTTCACAACCAAAGTTTTCTCCCTCAAAGTGCAAAGCAATGGACTACAAGGACCTACACAAGTGTCACGTTACAGGCAAAGCTGCTCGAGAAAGCAAACACAATCACTTTTGTGTTAGTGTATAAGATAGCAGCCTCTTTCCTAACTGACACCAGTTGTTCCCCTAGATTAGATTCTCTCTTCTGTCTTAATAATTTAAATTATAGGACCTAAATCATAGATTATATTAGACCCCTAATGACCTGCTAGCTAGCTGAGAGTGAGAGGGATTCATCGATCTAGGCGGCCTTGCTCTTAAAAAGAAAAGAGTGTCTAAAATGTCACAAGTGCTTTACTTGGGTCTTAAATCGTGATTCGTGATGATGATTTTAATTACTTGAACAGCTCATTCCCTATTGTTATCATTATCATGATTGGTTCATTCTCCAATTAATTTCACTTTACATAAATTATTTATAAGCAAGCTGCCAAGCACCATGCAATGCATGCAAACGTAGTCCTTTTTAGAAATTAAGTATAGTCCGTCTTTGTTTTTTTCTTCTTCCTTTTTTAATAATTGGAGTTGAGTTAAGACTTTAAGTAGAGACGGCGAGGCCTATCCTATCTATCAATATTTACTTGGAGTTGAATTTATTATATATAAATACCACTGTTATTTCGACTATACTTATATTGCAACACGCGTATAAAATATATCACGTAACTGTATGACCACGTAATATAGCTTTATACGAAAATAACAATTTATAATATGATTAAGGCGCCCATCACGGCTGATTGGTTCGTGGGGCGGTCACCTTTGTGTGATGCACAACAAAGAGCTATATATATAGCTAGCTAGAAAGCAAGGAGCTTAATTATTAATAAAGTCGCATCGAATCGAACAGTAATTAATAGATCTAGATGCAACTATATATAGACGAAACGAAACAATATTTTAGAAACGAAAAGTAAATAGCTTTGGTTTGGAATCAATGCATGCATGCATGGCATCACCTTCAAAGTTTGATTTGATGGTGATCATCGCTAGGATCGATCAAGATTTGATCTGATTCTCCACTAACAAGATAAAATCAAGCCACAAATAATTAGTGCATGAAATGAAACGAAAGTCGCGTGTTCAATGCACTATTAGTGTTTCGAAACTAGTTGTAATTTCCTTATGAGAGAAACCAACAAGACAGATAATTATTCCCATTAACTTAATCCTTTTCTGTATCAGAAAAACAAACAAAACGTACCCATTTCATCAGTAATACTAATTAGTATATTTACCCCCATTGTTGAGCGAGCCTATTTCTTTCTTTTGAAATTATTGGACTGAACCAAATTAATGGCTCTGTTCATTCATTTCTGTGAGCCTGTGACCTTCTGAAACTGAAAGGTTATTGCTTTATCTATATGTTTTGGATCTTGGTCATTGTAACATGGACATGGAGCCTGTGACCTCCTCGTGAGCCGCATACATGATACATAACATATATACTAATATAATATAATAAAGATTTATTAGGTGATTGCAATTTGCATCAATGTGCTGCCCCAGCTAGCTTAATTCCGTTCCCCCATGCAAAAGAGAAGCTAAGCTACAGGAATAAAATCTAGCACAGAATCTTGGTCCATCTTTCAGGGATTATATATATATATATATATATATAGTAGCAGAGCTTGCAGATTGCCAGATCCAATTTAATTATTAGTTGCGTCTGATCTGACGTCATTATATTTGTTCTGGAATTACCCACAAGAAGTGCCATAACATAGGTCATCGCTAGCAGAAAAATTTGCATCAAATGGGAATAGCATAATGCCCGACAAATCACAGAAAAGTTTTGGGAGGGAGGCTATCCCATCTCAGGACATTGAAAACTTGTAGAGGGAATCTTAGCCTTATTTATTTATTTATATTTATTTACATATTAGTCATCAAAGGGATTGACGGATCAAGGATTGTTACCCGAAGGGGTCTTAGTGTAAAAGTTTCGATATTTTTTTAAAGATGAAAATAACACTAAAAGATAATTTTCTATTACTTTCCTCTTATCGTTCCATAATTCTACACATGAATTATTCAAACCAAACAGTCAACCATTTTTTGTTATAAAAAGAAACGAATTTTATTAAGACAAATGAACAAACAGAGAGAGGACATGAAGTCCATCACACAATTAATCATAAACCCCAAATTCCAATAAATCAAATAATTATATATGGTCATCCAATCCAATAAATCATCCACACACAAAATCATCAATATTCGTCCATTACAATAAATCATTATCCAATAAAAATATTAGGCATACAGAAGTTTAAGTAAACTAATAACAATAAATTTATAAAGATAGAGAGGGAAGAGAATCAAATTTTCAGGCATGATGAGGGGGTTTTTTTTGGGGGGGCCGGGGGGGGGAAGATTTAGTTGGGAACTTAAGGTAGAGAATAATAGAATTTGGGGATTTTAGGCTTCCATTTGAGTGTTTGAGTTGAATGGAACAGAGACATGGTATTTTAGTACATTTATTTAAGTATTTTTTATGTTTTTCATAAATCTTTGTCTCATGAAAGCCCACTCTCCACTCCAGAGAGTGGACAAGACAACCAAATGAAATGGGAAATATGAAAGGTTGTTAGGAAGAGGTGTATATTAAACGTTGGCCAATATTTTCTAGATGAATAATGCTACTCTTACCACATTTGTATACTACATCCTTATACCATTTTATGTGGTAGCTGAGGTAGACAACTACATCAATTAAAATTATTTAATATTTTATTTTATTTTATAATTTATTCCAATATTTATTTTTCTAATTGTCTTAATTAAAACACACTTCATTGATTTAATTTATGTGGCATATAATATGGACATGCCACATCATGTGGTATAGAAATGTAAGATAAAAATGTGGTAAGTGTAGCATTACTCTTTCCAGATTTGGTAAAGTTGTATGATCGAAAGCAATGGGATGGTGGTATTGGGTGGGTTTGGACTTTGGGGGGAGTTGTTGGGCCATGCCATTTTAATGCAAATTCCTTGGTCAAAATGACATCGTTTTGCCCAGAATGTTTAAAAAAAAACAAAACAACAGCACTTCTTCTTCCTTGTGTAGCTCCAAGGGACCTTTAAGCTATTTCCATGGCTTCCAAGAGGTTGTGCGACCCCACTGACTCCACTGTGGCTTCGCCACTGGTAGCAGGACTCGAAACTAGGCCTAGATAGCGAAGAGAATAATCCTTACCAACTTAATCAACCCTCATTGGCAATTATTCTTCCTCTTTGGCATTATCTTCCTTCATTCATTTAATTATGACAATTTTACTAATTCTGCCATTTTAGGAATCTCATTACCTACTCTAATTAATAATTCACTTTACTTTAGCTCTACCAAATTAAGTGACCACTTCATATTTTTCATATGTTATAGTTAGCCCTTTGCTAGTTATCGTCGTTGTAAAGCTAAGCCAGTATTGAGCTCATGACCACAACCTTTCAGAAACACGATTCATATCATATAGCTAGCTAGCTAATACAGATGAAGCATTACATGCATAGTAGGTCCAGGGACATCAGCACAACTTTTCTTGGACCTCCTTTCAAATTTTCATCCCATTATTAGATGTTGGCCCTCTAACAAAGCAGCCCTAAGCTCGACGGCCCAAAACTGGTGGGTCTACTAAGAGCCCATGGGCCATGCCCTACTTCTAAGGGCCGAAAAAGTATATGCACATTTCCATCCCCATGCATCACCGAATTAGGACTATATTTTCAAACACGATAGGTTGATTACATAACAAATCACATCACTCTTTTATGATGGATTTCATACATTTGTTATGCTTATACTACAATCAATCTCAATACTAAAATATCAGTTCCTACAAGTAGTTCCTTCGTCTCTCACTTTTGCTGCCACTTTATGGAAAACCAATGCAAATGGAGCTGCAACATTTGTGTTTATGCCAGAGTTTGTAGTCCCCCCTTGGCCTCAGAATCTCATTTTCCAGCGTGTGAGGCTAACAAGACATTACAGGCAGATTCATTGCCTTGCCCCTCCTCAATGTTGGTTTAAGCTTACAATTCATGGTAGTTGCAGAGGCGAGCCTGGCCACATTGGAGCAGGTGGAGTTTTGCGCAATGAAAAATTTCAAAGGCTCCTCTCTGAACCTTGGCATTGGATCTGTTCTTGGGGCAGACAGAGCTATGAAGCTACGCTGATGCCTATGTTTGACTCGGAATGATGTAGACAGATTGAAGTTGAATGTGACTCTAGTGTTGCTGTCTTCATGGTTATTCGATCCCATAGAGATCAATCATCCCCTCTTCAACCTTGTCAAAATTGCAAAATGAAGTTAGCTTGTGTTGTGACTGCGGTTGTGTGCCTTGAACAAGCCCTGTTTGAGGTAAAACTGATCTTTCAACTTCCGCCTTTTGTGTTTTTCCTCTAGGACATCTCTACCAATAGTCCCCACAAGAACAACGGCCATTACTAAAATGGTGGAAGGACTTCGCGTCACTCAAATATATATCACACCCAAAAGCCACAGATATATACTTCGCTATCCTATGGCAGTCTCCACACATTCTCAGATTTTTCATAATCCTAATACTTTGGGGTACACTTGGAGAGCCACTCAGGGCAAAAGCAAATGCAAGCTTTTCACTGTGGATCCAGCCAATTTCCTCCTCTTCTTCCTCAACACATAGCTCATTACAAAAATCAGGTGTCTTTGCCTTTTCTTCTATGTTTTGTAACCACAAATTTAGAAAGATTGAGCATAATTTCAATCTATCACCTGAAATAAACGTATGCAGTGAGTTCTTGACTTCAATCCAGCACTGACCAAGAAATTTCTTTTTTGGATAATCTCTTCCAAACTTTCTCACTTTTGATATATCCTCAGACTTCCCACATAAAGCATATGCCTGTAACATTAACTGTTGAATCAAAACATTCCCTGGTTCCGAGACAAGTAAATGCTCCCCTGCACGAACTGCCAAGGCAAGGTTCCCATGAATCCTACATGCTGTAAATAAGGCACCCCAAACAGAGGAGTCTGGTTCTATGGGCATACCTTCAATAAACTCCATTGCTTCTTGAAGCCTACCAGAACGACCATATAGATCTACCATAGCTGAATAATGTTCTAGACCTGGTATAATTTGATAGTCTTCAGTGATGCTGTGGAACGCTTGTGTTCCCTCATCTACCTTTCCAGCCAGACTGTATGCATGTATGATATTTGCAAAGGTACCTCTATTTGGTTTAAACCCCGACTTCTTCATCTGATCAAAAAGATCAAGTGCAACATCTGAACGACCATGTAAGACATAACCAGAAATTGCTGAGTTCCAGGTGATGGTATCTTTGGACGACATTGTATCAAATATGATTCTTGAATATGCTATGTTTCCTGATTTGGCATAAGTGTCGATCAGGGAATTTGCAACAGGGATTTCAGACTCCAAATTTCTACGCAATACACTACCATGAATCTCTTTCACCTTTTTCATGGCAACTAAATTCGCACAAGATGGTAGGACACTCAATATAGTAACTGAATTGGGATTAACACAGTAGGCCTGCATCTGCCTGAACACCCCAAATGCCTTGTTTTTTTCCCCGAGTTGCAGGTAGCCAGAGACAAGAGAGTTCCATGATGCCGTATTTCGTTTAATTTTCCCATCTTTTTCCATCCTTTGGAAGAGGTCCATTGCTTGATCAGCATCCCCATTCTGCATGTATCCTGTGATCATCACATTCCAGGTCACGGCATTGGGATGTACATCTGATTCCTGCATCTTCGTGAACAGTTCATACGCCTTACCACAATACTTGGCTTGGCAATATCCTCCTATCATTGAGTTCCAAGTGTAAACATCTTTCTCTGGGATCATACTGAAGACCTTCTGAGCAGCTTCCACTTCCCCACACTTTGAAAACATGTCAATGAGTGAATTTCCAACCAGTACGTCATCAATGAAACCCATCTTTATAGCAAGAGAATAGATTTCCAACCCTTGGTTCAGTGATTTTAAAGATGTGCATGCTGAGATTGCACTAGTAATTGTAATCCCGTTTGGTTGTACCCCTGCCAAAAGCATCTTCTTAAAAAAATCCAGTGACTGGTGTTTCCTGTTGTTTTGAGCAAACCCTGAAATCATAGAAGTCCAAGTATATACATCAGGAGTTATCCCACAGCTCTCCATCCTCCTCATCAGTTCCATCGCAACATTGCAATGCCGTAACTGGTTATGACTAGCAATTAACGTATTCCACGTTACCAAACCCGGTTCAATCCCTTCTTTGCTCATCGCATCAAACAGTCTACGAGCTTCTTCACTCTCACCTTTGTGGCAATAACTAGATATAATTGCATTCCAACTCACCCCATCCCTCTCATCCATGTTGTCAAAAAACCTCCTTGCCCACTCCAAATTTCCACACTTTGCGTACACGGCTAATATTGAATTGTTCACATGAATACAACTAGTCAAATTACACCGAACCGCAATGGAATGTATCAATTTCGCGGCCTCGACATTGGAACAATTCCCACAAGCCTGCAATATCTTAGGGAACAAAAAGTAATCCGGCAAAACTCCATCTTTCATCATCGAGAAAAAAAGCTCCACAACCTCTTTCCACCTTTGGTCTCTAAGACAGGCACCAATCATGGCTGACCAAGTGTACAAATTTCGTTCACGCATTGCGTGAAACACCTTACGAGCATCATCCAAAAACCCACATTTGGCATACATGCTCACCAACTTAGTCTCAACAAATGGGTTTATTTCCTCAACTAAATCAATATGCTCATGGAGCTTCCGACCCAGCTGAATGGAATTGGTGTCAATACAAGATTGAAGTAAATTCATATAAGTAGTGGGTGGTACCTTGGACCCTTTTTGGGCAATAGAGTCAAGAACCGTGATGGCCTCGCTGAACTGGCCATTCTTGCAGAGATAGTTTAAATGAGTGTCTGTGAATTTTGGGAGAGTTTTCCTGGAGAAAGAGATTATGGGTTTGGCGTGTCTTAGTGAGAATTCATATGGGTTGCCAAGTTTGGAGGGTAGAATAGGGGTGGGAGGGCTTGATTTGCATGGGATTGTGAAATTCTCCATTGTTGAAAGTTGAAACTTATAAGAGATTTTCAGTTCATGGCCTGGCCTGGAGGGCGAGGTAAAGCAAAGATTGAAGATTGCACGGTTGTGTCCATGGAGAGTGGAACCCAAATTGCAACGGATAGAGGGAAGGATTGATTCGCTCCAGCCAGTAATATCTCGCCACGTTAAAGCAGGGGAGGGCATTGGTCAAAAAGTTGACGGCCAGGTTGTCATTACAAGTGGACGGCTTACATATGTATTAAACGACGTAGAAGTGTACAAAAAAGCCTAAAACTAATACAAAAATTGCTAAACTGGAATTTCATAGTAAGAAAAGGACACTCAGGAGAAATAGAAATTGTACGACAAAAGCTTGTTATTTAATTTTTGCTGTGTGAGCTCCAATTATGGCACTGAGACATAATTTTGAGTTTCAGTGTTTATGGTTTATGGCAGTATCAATGTCATGGAGGAGCCAACTTTGGACGAAATGCTGGAGGCCCATTCATTACAAGTTTACAACCACAGTTATGACTATGATGCTCCCATTGATGAATATGGTAAAACCTTTAAGTTCAAATCCATTTTGGCCACTCACAATTATCTCCATCTCTTTTTTTCTTCTTCCTTTTTTCTGTGGTTTTAATCTCATAGGAAAATCTTCCAAACAGGTTGGCCTTAAAGGAGAAGCAATGGATTTGGTCTCTCCAAAAGGAGGGTCATCAGTTGATTGGTTCCGAGGCTCACTAACTACCCGAACCAAACAGACGTTGAAATGGTATAAGGTAAGGATTTCAAGGTACCATGTTCCTGGGTCCTGGTTAAAGCCAACACAAAATCTGGTGGTAGTGGTTGAGGAACTCGGTGGGGATCCATCAAAGATAACCCTGGTGAAGAGATCAGTGACAGGGGTTTGTGCTGATTTACAAGTACACCACCCAAACGCTGAAAATTTTGATATCGACACAGCCATGAAGAATCGAAAACGCTTCACCAGGCCCAGGCGTTAAAGATCAACACCAGCCCATCACTTAACTCAGCCCATGGAAGATTGCCAACACTTGAACCAGACAATTATAGAAAAATCTAGAAGTGAGGAGAAGAGATTTCACCGACCATGCAAAGTCGGCAAAGCTAGAGGCTGCATGCATAATAGTCTAGAATAGTCTTCATAAGTATCTTTAAATATTAATGTAAGCTTGGAGAAGTGTGTGGAGTCACACACTTGTGGCTAGGATTTGTGGAGAAGCCAAAGTCGTTGGAAATCAAAGTCGGTTATTGGAGAATAAGTCGGCTAAACATGCCTATAAATAGAAAGTGTACTTCATTGTGTAAGTGAATCAAGAAGTGAAGTGAGTCAAGAGTGTGTATAAGTAGAGTGAGCAATAAGTTATAGGGTTAAGTAGTTCTTGTGAGTGTGAGTGAAGTGAGAAAGAGTGTTTGTTGTAAGAGTTGGTCTTTCTTTTGAGAGTTGTTTGTTGTAATATTTTGTGAGTCTAATACAAGTAAATTGTTTACTTGTTTTGTCTCCAACTAGTCTACATTAGAGTTGTGTACTCTAAATATTGCTCAACAATTGGTATCAGAGCGGGACGTTCAATGACTGATTCTGCGGGAGCTTCTTTGAGTCGTGAAAAGTTTGTCTCTACAAGTTTGCATCTTTAGATCAAACTTGCTCGGTACTGCCGGAATTCTGCCAACATGATGGGTGATCTTCATGTAGTTGGAGGAATCACAAAACTCAATAACAAAAATTACAACACGTGGGCAACATGTATGGAGTCTTATCTGCAAGGTCAAGATCTTTAGGATGTCGTCGGGGGCAACGATGTTACACAACCACGAGAAGACAATGACACTTTGCGTAAGTGGAAGATCAAAGCAGGTAAAGCCATGTTTGCACTAAAGACAACAATTGAAGAAGAAATGTTGGAGCACATAAGGAAAGCCAAAACACCAAAGGAAGCATGGGACACCTTTGTAGCACTCTTTTAAAAAAGGAATGACACAAGACTACAACTTCTTAAGAATGAGCTGCTGTCCGTTGCACAACGCGACATGACGATTGCTCAGTACTTCCACAAGGTAAAGTCCATTTGCTGTGAAATTTCTGATTTAGATTATACTGCTGCTATTGTGGAATCTAGGATAAAAAGAATAATTATCCATGGTCTGAGACCTGAATATCGAGGCTTCGTTGCCGCTGTACAAGGGTGGCCTACTCAACCATCACTTGTGAAGTTTGAAAATTTGCTTGCCGATCAAGAAGCTATGGCTAAGCAAATGGAATGAGTCTCATTAAAAGGTGAAGAGGAAGCGCTCTACACCAACAAAAGTAAAGGCAACTTTAAGCAGCACATTGGTGGTGGATTTAAAAGAGATGGTGACAAGGCGAAAGGTCATCAAGGAGAAGGAAGTTCTCAACCAGGGGGAGCTTTAAAGTTTCACGGCAACCGTGGTCAGTCCAAGAATAATAAAAAATTCGAAGGTAAATGCTACAATTGCGGAAAGAAGGGCCACATGGCGAAAGATTATTGGTCCAACAAAAGGCCCATTGAGAGTAATACTGCTACTTCCAACTCAAAGGAGAAAAGTGAGGATGATTCGGACGCGGAAGCATCTTTCGCTATTGAGGAAGAGGAGATAGCCCTCACTGTGATGTAACCTGAAATGATTAACTACAAGAATGATTGGATCGTTGACTTAGGTTGCTCAAATCACATGACTGGTGATAAAGAGAAGCTGCAGAATCTGACTGAGTATAGTTGTACCACGACATAACTCTAACCAAGTGCCGCTTTAAGACGTCTACCATGTTCCAGCCATGAAGAAGAATCTGTTGTCAGTGGCACAACTGACGTCATCAGACCACTACGTCCTATTCGGTCCAAGAGATGTGAAGGTGTATCGAGACCTCAAGATCTCAGGGATGCCGACAATGGAGGGACGACGATTAGAGTCAGTCTACGTAATGTCAGCAGAGTCTGCATATGTAGACAAGACAAGAAAGAATGAGACAGCAGATTTATGGCACATGAGACTGGGCCACGTTAGCTATCACAAGCTAAGCGTGATGATGAAGAAGTCAATGCTCAAGGGTTTGCCTAAGCTTGACGTGAGAATAGATAAGGTCTATGCAGGATGCCAATATGGTAAAGCGCAACAACTACCATATGAGGAGTCCAAGTTCAAAGCAAAAGAACCATTAGAGTTAATCCATTCTGATGTGTTTGGGCCAGTGAAGCAACCATCGATTAGCGGGATGCGTCATTGATGACTTCTCCAGGTATGTGTGGGTTTTCTTTATGAAAGAAAAATCTGACACATTTTCAAAGTTTAAAGAGTTTAAAGAGTTTAAAGAGATAGTTGAAGGAGAAGTGGGGAAGAAGATTGTCTATCTACGCACAGATAATGGAGGAGAATATACCTCAAATGAATTCTGCCAGTATCTACGAGAGTCTCGCATATGTCATCAGTTCACATGTGCCAACACGCCACAACAGAATGGGGTAGCGGAGAGAAAGAACCGGCATCTTGCATAGATATGTCGAAGCATGCTACATGCCAAGAATGTGCTTGGAAGGTTCTGGGCTGAAGCCATAAGAACTGCAGCCCATGTGATCAACAAACTTCCTCAACCAAGGTTAGAATTTGTTTCGCCCTTTGAGAAACTGTGGGATATGAAACCTACAGTCAGTTACTTTCGAGTATTCTGCTGTGTGTGCTACGTATTCGTTCCAAGTCATCTACGTAGCAAGTTTGATAAAAAGGCAATAAGATGTATCTTTGTGGGATACGACAGCCAGAGAAAAGGGTGGGAATGTTGTGACCCTACAAATGGAAGGTGTTACACATCATGTGATGTTGATGAAGCATCATCTTAGCGGTCCCCAGAAAAGGAGGTGTTACCAGACTCGAGAGAAATTGAAGATAAGCTACAACAGAAGTTGGGGAAGCAAATTGTTCCAGTCCAACTGAGTTCAAATGAGGATGAAGATTCGTTTGATGGTAACGATGACGAGCAAGAAGTTACTCAGAATCTTTGGCAAACTGGTGTGCATCAACAAACACTAGAATTAGTTAGACCCAGTGAAGTGGAAATACCGACTCCACAGTCATAACCCAGAAGGTCAACAAAAGCACGGAGGCTAAATCCTAAATACGCCAACGCAACCATAGCAGAAGAACCAGCTGAACCTGAGACATTTGAAGAAGCATCTCAGAGTTCCGAATGGGTTAAAGCTATGAGAGAAGAGATCACTGCGCTTGAGCAAAATCAGACTTGGGATCTAGTGCCAAAGCCAAGAGATGTGAAACCCATATCATGCAAATGGGTGTACAAGAAAAAACGTCATCCTGATGGAGCGATCGAAAGATACAAGGCTCAGTTGGTGGCTCGAGGTTTCTCTCAGCAGTATGGACTAGATTATGATAAAACGTTTAGTCCAGTGGCAAAGCTTACGACAATACGAGTCTTACTTGCACTTGCTGCCAACAAAGACTGGAACTTGTACCAGATGGATGTGAAGAATGCATTTTTGCATGGGGAGTTAGATCGGGAAATCTACATGACTCAACCAATGGGCTTTGAGAACGAAGTCCATCTCGAGTATGTGTGCAAGCTGAAAAAGGCACTTTACGGATTGAAGCAAGCGCCAAAGGCATGGTACAGTAAGATTGCAAAATTTCTCTCTCGAAGTGGTTATTTAGTGACACATGCAGATTCTAGTTTATTCGTCAAAGCTAATGGAGGAAAATTAGCTATCGTGCTGGTATACGTGGATGATCTAATCATCACTGGTGATGACGAGGAAGAAATTCACCGAACAAAGGAGAATTTATCAGTTCGTTTCCAGATGAAAGAACTGGGACAACTCAAGCACTTTCTTAGGCTAGAGGTCGATCGCACACAAGAAAGGATATTTCTGTGTCAACAGAAATATGCAAAAGATTTGTTGCAAAAGTTTGGGATGCTTGAAAGCAAGCCAATCTCAACGCCGATGGAGCCCAATGTCAAAATGTGTGCATATGAAGGCAAAGACTTGGAAGACGCAACGATGTATCGACAATTGGTGGGTAGTCTAATCTACTTGACATTGACTCGACCTAACATTTCATATGCAGTTGGTGTGATGAGTCGATACATGCAAAATCCAAAGAAGTCTCATTTAGACGCAGTTCGACGAATACTGAGGTATGTGAAGAGTATGATTGACTATGGCCTCTTGTACAAGAAAGGAGAAGATTGCAAGCTAGTTGGTTATTGCGACGCTGACTATGCGGGAGATCATGATACTCGTCAATCAACTACTGGGTACGTATTTAAGCTTGGTTCAGGAACAATTTCTTGGTGCAGTAAGAGACAGCCAACGGTATCTTTGTCAACCACGGAAGCTGAGTACAGAGCAGCAGCAATGGCAGCTCAAGAGATCACATGGCTGACACAGTTGATGAATGATCTACATCAACTGGTAGATTATTCAGTGCCGTTATACTGCGACAATCAATCGGCAGTTCGTTTGGCGGAAAATCCAGTCTTTTATGCAAGAACAAAACATGTGGAGATACACTACCATTTTATCAGAGAGAAGGTTCTGCAAGAAGAGATTGAGATGAGACATATCAACACGGATGATCAAGTTGCAGACTTATTCACAAAAAGTTTGAGCACAGGAAAATTCGAGAATTTTCGACGTCAGCTCAATGTGGTGCGAAGGATGTGAGCTGGTGTTGAGGGGGAGTGTTAAAGATCAACACCAGCCCATCACTTAACTCAACCCAAGGAAATAAAGATCAGCCCATGGAAGATTGCCAACACTTGAACTAGACAATTATAGAAAAATCTAGAAGTGAGGAGAAGAGATTTCACCAACCATGCAAAGTTGGCAAAGCTAGAGGCTGCATGCATAATAGTCTAGAATAGTCTTCATAAGTATCTTTAAATATTAATGTAAGCTTGGAGAAGTGTGTGGAGTATGCCACACCCTTGTGGCTAGGAATTGTGTAGAAGCCAAAGTCGGTGGAAATCAAAGTCCGTTATTGGAGAATAAGTTGGCTAAACATGCCTATAAATAGAAGGTGTACTTCATTGTGTAAGTGAATCAAAAAGTGAAGTGAGTCAAGAGTGTGTATAAGTAGAGTGAGCAATAAGCTATAAGGTTAAGTAGTTCTTGTGAGTGTGAGTGAAGTGAGAAAGAGTGTTTGTTGTAAGAGTTGGTCTTTCCTTTGAGAGTTGTTTGTTGTAATATTTTGTGAGTCTAATACAAGTAAATTGTTTACTTGTTTTGTCTCCAACTAGTCTACATTAGAGTTGTGTACTCTAAATATTGCTCAACATCAGGTTCATCTACAGTGTTTGCCAGGGCAGTCTATCTCAAGCATTAAGTTTGCAAATATTGGAACTCCTACCTACTGCAACTTGTGCGAGTTTCCAGCAACAAACGTGTCATGCGACCAACTCTCATGCCATTGTGGAGTGAACTACAATCTTTTCACCTCTCGTACTTGTATAGTGAACTTGCATATGCATATTCTTTTGATAAATACAGATTTTTTAATATCCCTTTACATGTTTAGCAGAATTGTATCGGCCGTGAGAGATGCTTAGTTACTGTATCGAATAGCATCTTCGGGACAGATCCATGCCCGAATGTACTCAAGCGGCTATCAGTTGAATCTGATTGTTCAACCGGAATTACAACCAACCAATCAACCCAATCCGACAAGATGAAGACGTTGTAAAAGGAGCATGCAGAGCTATATGAAGCAAAAAATTAAGACGAATTCGAAGAAGGCATACTTACAGATGAAGATTCCACATTGAATTGCCTAATTTATCTATCAGAATTAGAGTTTGTGGGGACCAAATCTCACGTGTCATGACTTAATCCATATGCTATGATTAAAAGACGTGGGGTCACTGATCGAACTTCCCTCCCACTAGAGAAGTGTGGAGCGAGGGAGCCACAACCCGGTCATCTGAACCCCATGACCATGAAGTGGAGGATGGGATGCGCAAAGCTAGGGAAGTGGCGCTAAACCGAAGGACTCGAAGCGCTATAAGAGCATTTCCACCAGTTAGCCCCTTGCCATGGCAAGGGGAGCCCTAGGGCAGTTACTATTCACGTGAATAGTGGCTGCCCTAGCTCCTCCCAGCAAATGTGTGTTTCCAGCAGTTAGCCCCTTGCCATGGCAAATACTATTCATTTTTTTGTTTTTTTTCACAACTTTGTTTATTTAAACAATTAATTTGGATAATATTTTCGGATAAGATTTTTGGGTTCCTACGTGTCAATACTATTCATATCGGATAAGATTTTCGGTTTCAAATTTCAGATAAATTTCAGATAAATTTCAAATTTCAGATACATTTCAAAATTCAAATTTGAGATAAATTCAAATTTTGAATTTCAGATACATTTCGAAATTCAAATTCCAGATAAATTACCAATTCCAAATTTCATTTGAATTTCAAATTTCAGATAAGATTTTCATCCTCTAAAATTGCGCCACGTGTCATCTCTATCTGTCTAAATTTTTCTATAAAACCAGAGGCTCAGCTCATACCTCCCACACCATATCTTCTCTGCATCTTCATTTCTCATATTTTAGATTTCATTTCTCAGATTTTAGATTTCATTCTCCATTCTCAATGTCAGACATGGAAGATGTTTTGGATAGGCAAGAGCGAGAAAGGCGAGCAAGAATGCGCAGAAGAGCTGCAAGCAAAAGGGCGCAGAGAGAACTAGATGAGCAACTTGGTGTGGCCGTTGCTTTGATGGAGGAAGAAAACCAGAGCCGTCGTGGTTCACGAGAAGGCCGGGCATCGAATGTGGACAGACATAGACATTCTCGGAATAATTTGGAATTTCTTACAATTCTTCACCACCTCCCAACAATGGGTATGGTTGAAGCTTTTTTTTCCTTGCCCAGTAGCACCAAAAAACATTTGTGCTTGTATAGTCTATAAAAAAAAATAAGAATGCAAGAAACTTTAAAAATTATTGGCAATTCAACAAGTATTAAAAAATAATAATGGAAATACAAGAAACCTTAACAATTTATTAGAAATGAAAAACAAAATTTAAATATTGCAACAAACATTCATATTAATATTGGAAATACAAGAAATATTAACAAAATATATAAATTGCAAGAAATATTTAAATTAACTTTAATATGACATAGAAATTAATAAAACAAAAATTACAAATAATTTACCTCACTGGTAAGGTTTTCCCCGCTTCTATGGTTGTCCATCGCCTTTGCCAAGGCATCCCTCCATTTCGCCAACTCTTTGTTAAGAATTTTCCACCTACTAGATAGTGCTTGATCTGTACGGGTCGTACCAATTACCCTTTCACAAAAATCCTGATGAATTTTTTTTCCACATATGACAGAATTTCATCTCATTGCCCGATACGGGACAATGACTAATGTGGAGCCAAGACTCACACAAGCTAACATCTTCCATGACACTCCATGCCCCTCCGGTTTCACTAGAAGAACCCATAAATTTTTCTAGAAAAATTCAACTTGAAAGTGAAAAAATTTAGACTAGAAAGTGAATAATGGTAGAATGAGAAGAAAATGTATGAAGAGGTGGTGTTAAAAGTGAAGAGTATTTGTTGGTATTTATAGGAAAAAACATCAGTATTTTTTTGGGTATTTTTTCAAATTTTTTCTGATTTTTTTTCATTTTTTTTCATTATTTTTTGGCCAGATTGAACAGCTGCCGTTGGATTGCTGGAAGAACTTCATCGGAGCGCCAGCGCATCGCCACGTGGAAGAGAGCCGTTGGGTGCAACTTCCGATTTTTTTTTCATTTTTTTATTCGCGAAAAATGAGAAGCGTTGGATTTTGAACAACTTTGATCGGACAGCTTCAGTGCGCGCCACGTGGAATAGATCCGTTGGCGGGGCACTGTAGCGGGCGCGTCAAATTTTTTTTAATGTTGGCGCGTGCGTTGCATGCGCCAACGTTAAAAAAATTTAAACAGCTGCGCTGACGTAGGCCCAAAACTCGTTTTGCTACTCGGGTTGGACCTGCCCGAGGGCTAGCCCAGGTAAATTTTTTTTTCTGGGGCCCACACCTTGCCCTGGCAGCTTTGGGTTGCTGGAAACCCCCCCCAGCCCCCCCTGCTGCTGGAAATGCTCTAAAAGCCCAACTAGACCTCCAACAAAAGTATGAGAAATTCAATTGAGCACTAACAGTTACAAGAATAAAAAATACATTAGGGCTAAGTTAGGACTTAGGACATCATGCTAAATATATTTAAAATAATAAGGTTAATTTATTTTTTATGGAGCAAATAAAACTGCTAATTAAACACATCTTTTCTTCTTGAAGAGGGGCAGGGGCTGTGTTAAAAGCTAAAGCATAGATAATATCAAAACAAGCGTTAAAAAATAATAGGACTCTATGAAACGACGACATCGCAAATGCGCCTCTTTCCTCGCATCATCTTCTTCTTCCTCGAGTAGATGTGCCTCGCTGAGCCTTAAAATGTCGCTTTACAGAGCCTTCCTACGTCTCGCCGTCGACGCGCACGCTAAGCTTGCAAACAACTAAAGAAAGGAATGCCTGATGCGATTTGCTATCGCCTCACTCCAACGTGCGATCCGACACACGCTTTGACGCGGGCCTACGCATGCCTTTGAAAACACTATTCAAAGCAAGTGGGGTAAAAATAAACCAATTACCCAAATTAATTTTGACAAATTGGAATTTAATTATCACCAATGGTAATTTAATCCAAGACCCAAGATTAATTGGTTTAATATTTGCCCAATTTACAATCTCTTGACTTGAGATAGTTCATCACCGCCGTTCTCAAAACCAAATTGGTAACCTTGAAGCTAGAAAGTTAAAAGCAGAATTCACTTTAAATCAAAAGCCATAGCCATTGGCCTCCAGGAAAATAGGTTGTGTTCCTTTCATCAATACCCATGTAGTTTCATTAGCAGGATAATTGATCCCGATTTACAAAGAACGGGCAGGAGGCATTTAGGGAAATTGGTTGGCAAAGAGCCAAGACTCATCTTATTGTTCCAATTGGCTCTTGAACTTTCCATCCCAAATAAATATGGTATTGTAATTTTATTTTTTTTAAACATTCATAGATAATTGGCATGAGGCATCATATGGGAACTAGTAGCCATATACATAAAGCATTCAGATGTCTAAAAATAAACTCATAAAAGTTATAGACAACTAGTGAAACAGAAAGGAGTTTCATAGTCTCCTCCACAGAGAATGATAGAAGTTAGGCAATATCAGTAGGAGTATCAGTAGGAGTAGCAGCAGCAGTGCTAGTAGTAGTACTAGTAGCAGTAGCAGTAGCAGTAGCAGTAGCAGTAGCACTATCAGAAGCAGTAGCAGTAGCAATAGCAGTAGCACCGGAGCGTCTGGTATCATCAATGCGGGAGGCAGCAGCAGCATGCTTCTCTACTTTGGTCCGTAACTCGTCTTTCTTGGCACCCACAACCTTGTCCACTACCTTGCCTTCCTTGAGGAAGAGGAAGGTAGGCACTGCATCCACACTCCACTTTTCAGAAACAGTCTTCAGTTCATCCACGTCCACCTTTAGGAACGTAACTTCTGGGTTCTTCTTAGCCAACTCCGCCAAGATTGGGGCTATCAACTGGCAGGGTCCATAAAACCAAGCCGTGAAATCCACCACCAACTATTAAATTAAAGGCATCAAATTAATGTACTAGTTAATCAAAGTATAAAACCAATTCCACAACCAAAATGTTAAAGGGATGGAGGACACAACCGTACACCTAGGTTTTTAAGCCATTTGCAAATTACAAAACCCCTATCTAGAGTCAGACAAAATTAATTCTATTTGAAATGTAAGCGCTGGAATACACCCAATTCTTGCTCTTGATTTCAAAATTTGGAACTAAATTTCTAGGCACAAACAATTTCAATACGGTGAACAAGAAAATGAAAAATTCCCCATTGAAGCTGATCACAGAATATAAAGGGAATATGGTAAGACAATCTTGTCTTAGCCACGAAATGAGGTCTTCTAATCATATGAGGAGTCGGAGAGTTTGTATTGATCAAGAAGTACTGCTCAAACATATCTGCAGCTGTAGTCTAAGTGCAATTTGATTAGAATACTAGAGCTTTGAGGGTTCGTAGTCTTATATGGATTAAAATAACCTATCCTAACAGTTTGTTTAAGTGTTTCTTGATGGGCAAGACACTTGAGTAAGGTTAACTTTCTCTCTCCTTTTCCCCCTTTTTTTATCATTCTTTTTAGTTATAGTGAATTGATGGAAATGCCCTTAAACTTATGGAGACTAAAATTAAATGTTTTGTAAGCGAAGAAAAAAGAGTGCAAAAAGATATAGAAGTGCGATTAGAGATTTGAAAATTGAAATACCAGTTTCTTGTTCTCGTTTCCCTTATGGAGCTGCTCTTCCCATGCCTCAGTAGTGTGGCAGTCAATGACTTGATTCTCTTCAGCCATTTTTTCTTTGCTTTCTTTCTCTCAAAGGATTGTGATATTATCAAGCAAGCAGGTTATCAGAAGTTTTTTTTCTTCTTGTTTTTTTGTTTTTTTGTTTTTGCAACGAATGTAATGGGCTCAGCCGCAGCGTATATATACAGCCCACAATCGACCTTAACCAAGAGGTCAGATTTTTAATGTTTATTGCGGAAATGCCATTGCCATTAGGTAGCTGAAGCATTCATATTATGTGACGTGACGCATATCCATATATCGGCGGAACGTGAATTTGTCCAATCTTCTGCAGCCTCTCTTCTGTTTTCTTCTTCATATTTTTTCCTTTTCATTTTTTGCTTTTCAGTATCTTCTTTCTGCCCAATAACTTATTAAACTAATTCCAAGTAGTTGTAACATTGAATATTGGCAAGAATTGATTATGATAATAAATGAAAAGAGACTCTGACAGTGAGAGGTGGTGTTTACATGGAGACGATTCCCTCTGGTTGAAAGATTGGATTTTTCTTCCTCTTTTTACGGAGAGACTGGTTGATTCCCCTGGTTATTCTTACCCCGTCTTGTGGTTTGCTTGATGCGTTTGTTCTTGTTGGTGATTGTTTTATCTTTGTCTTTCAATCAAGTTTCACTTATTAACAACAAACAAGACTAGCTTTTGTGGAAATGGGAGATGATTCTTTGTGGAGACCTGAAAAGAAAGGGAAGTTGTAGGATTGAGTTGAACTCTTTGGAGTTGGTAATTATTGTTGATTATTAAGAAGTGTCAACTATTGTCGAGACAATTATTATTTATTTATTTTTCAATGTGATGTGTCAACTTTCATGCCTTTAGATGAAATTTAAATGTGTCAACTTTCAAACATTTTACATATAATTATAAATGAAGGCGGATCTAGGGGCGGAGGCAAATCTGGGGGCACCAGGGATGAGATATGTGGTTAAGATGAGGGAAGACGTCGGGGAGAGAGAGAGAGAGAGAGAGAGAGGCAGACAGGCAGAGAAAGAGAGAGTGGGGCAATTTTTTAGCGGTAATTACATTTTTCGTCACTAGGATTAGGGTTGGGATCAAATTGGCAGCAGAGAGATATTAGGAGCAAGGCGAGAGACGTCTATGAATTGAGCCATAATGATAACATGGCAAGGAAAATTGCCGCCCTCAACAAGAAGATGGATCCTATGATGTCCAAGAACGTCACTCCTAAACCGGTTGAGGTTTGTTCAATTTATAATGGTTTAGGTCATAATTTTGATTCATGTCCTTCTAGTAGTGAATTTCCTGGATTTGTGAAAGAACAACAAATTACAAGATGCATTTTAGCCGTCATGTAAACTTCCATGTGACGGTTCTTACAAGTTAAGTAATTTTTAATTGAGACTCATTATATGTCAAATAACTACAATATTGAAACTTAGAGCTATCAATGAAGTGTTACTTGACGGTTAAAAGGAGTCAAGCAGAAATATTACTTGACGGTTAAAAAAGGTCAATAAATTGGATACCTCTTCCTGACAATGGTACTCTTGACAGTTTATTAGCCGTCAAGTATTATGTTTCCAGACACTTTTTAGCCATCACTAAAGGGCATTTTTCTCGTAGATGTTAATTGGTCATAATAGTTGTGTTTTGATAGAAAATTGCAAATACGCCCAAAGAAGACAAAAGGGCAAAAAATATATATATATAAAAAGTACACGCACTTGCTTGATAATCCACACTACTATATCCCAAACCACTAGCTAGTAATCTGGATGAAGTTGTTGGTTTATGAAAAAAATTACATTAAATCATAAGAAATTTTCTACCTCCTAAGAAATGAAAGTATATTCCTTATACCTGAAAAATAAAATCAAAAGCAGAACTGGATTTTATTTCTAAATGTTGAGATAATGAAAAATCATTGATAAAAGATTATTGGAATTGCATATTTCGACCAAAAAAAAAGAAATTGCGTATAATATGGACTCATTAATCATGAATTAATAAAGGGGGTCCTACTATCTGTATCCGACACATGCATATCATACCATGTTGATCTATATGTCTACGTATACAGTACAAATTGGATGTTGAGCTGATGAGTCTCGGCATTAAATTGTTGCTATTACAATTAAGTTGGTTGGTATTGGTCCTTCTCCTTGGACAAGACTTTAGAGCATCTACAATTGTGCTCTCTATTTTTTAGTTAAAATTTAACTAAAAATATACAAAACCTATTTTAGGAGCTTTCTATAAAATTTTAACTCCAATCATATACTATCTAGTTTAAGGACTCATAAATGCTATAACTATTTTTTAATTAGTCCGTCTCTATTAAAAAAAAATATACATTAAAAAAATAGTTAGCCTTAATTAAAGGTTTAAAATACTCATAAAATAAAGCATCATTAAATTATAGGAAGCCACTATGAGTCCTTTTTCTCTCTTCATATTTAGGAGCTCCTAGAAATCTCCCTATTTTTTTAGGTGGATAAGGAGCATAATTGGAGTTGTATTTTTTTAAATCCTCCATAAAATTTGTCTAAGGAAGTGGTTTAGGAGTCCATTGTAGATGCTTTTAGGCACTGTAACCACACCTCCAACCATGCTCCTTATCTAGCTCCTAAAATAAGGAGACTTCTACGAGCTCCTAAGTGCCCGTTTGGTATTACTTATTTGGGGCTATTAAGTGATTATTTTGAAATTTTTGAAAGTTCAACATGTTTGGTAAAAGATAATAAAATCACTTATTTTGAATAATTGTTGTGAGAGAAAGCAATTAGGGAAAGTAGGTGATGAGATGCTTTCATTTTTTTATTATGCGGGAATCAGTTTTGAAGATGTGTTGGGTTTATTGAAACTTTCAAAATTCCAAAATTAATTCCATCTTCTTTTTTTTTCACCAACCGCACTTCTAATTAAAAGTTTACCAAACGCCAAACTGCTTTCTTTCACATCTAATTTATCTCATAGCAAATCTGACAGTGATTATTTTTACAGCACATCAATGCCAAACTGACCCTAAATATGAGGAGAGAGAATGGCTTGACTTATGAGATTTTAGTATAAAGTATACATTGACTTATTGAGGTATCAATATTGGTATAAATTGTATCTTAAACTAAAACTGGATTTTCATATTTTGATTTGTTGGGAATTTGATTTCTAGTATTTTTAATTGAATCCAAATTGGGAGTACTTCCTTATTTACATTGTAAACTGAAGTAAATGGAGTAATATAAAAAAAAATTAAAGTAAAAACACAAGACATTTGTGATAAAAATCCTTTGTATAATATACCAGGTCTAACTGTTCACACTACCAAGTAGGGAAATTAATGCATGTGTCCCCAGTTCATGGGGGCTTGTTTAGTGGAAGAAAAAGATATAATAGGACTAGATAAATAAGTAAGTAATCAAAATTCTAACTAAGTAAGGACTCGTCAACATTGTGCTGGGTTAGCTTGAGAGAGAAAGGACATCGCCTTAGCCAATTGGTGGTGGTGGTCTCTCATAAATCATAATATATCTACCTCCTAAGAAATGAAAGTATATTCCTTATACCTAAAAAATAAAATCAAAAGCAGAACTGGATTTTATTTCTAAATGGTGAGATAATGAAAAATCATTGATCAAAGAATATTGGAATTGCATATTTCGACAAAAAAAAAGAAAAGAAAAAGGAATTGCGTATGATATGAACTCATTAATCATGAATTAATAAAGGGGGTCCCTACTGTCTATATCCGACGCATGCATATCATACCATGTTGATCTATATGTCTATGTATACAGTACAAATTGGATGTTGAGTTGATGAGTTTCGGCATTAAATTGTTACTAGTACAATTAAGTTGGTTGGTATTGGTCCTTCTCCTTGGACAAGACTTTCTGTGTTGCAATCCCAATTCCCTTAAATTATAAGAAGCTATTAGGAGTCCTTTCTCTCTCATCAGATTTATAAGCTCCTAGAGATCTCTATATTTTAGAAGGTGGATAGGGGGCATAGTTGGAGTTGTATTTTTTCAAATCCTCCCTAAAATTTGTCTAAGGAGGTGGTTTAAGGAGCTCATTGTAGATGCTCTTATTAGGCATTGTAACCACACCTCCAACTATGCTCCTTATCTAGCTTCTAAAATAGGGAAACCTTTAGGAGCTCCTAAATCTGAAGAGAGAGAATGACTTAACTTATGAGATTTTAGTATAAAGTATACATTGACTTATTGAAGTATCAATATTGGTATAAATTGTATCTTATACTAAATTGGGTTTTCATATTTTGATTTGTTGGGAATTTTATTTTCTAGTATTTTTATTGAATCAAAATGGGGTGTACTTCCTTATTTACATTGTAAATTTAAGTAATGGAGTAATATAAAACTAATTTAAAGTAAAAAGACAAGACATTTGTGATTATAAAAATAAAAAATATAAATAAATTTAAAAAAAAAAAAAAAAAAAAAAAAAAATGTATAATATACCTATAGTCTAACCTGTCTCACACTACCAAGTAGGGAAATTAATGCATGTGTCCCCAGTTCATGTGGGCTTGTTTAATGGAAGAAAAAGATATAGTAGGACTAGATAAATGAGTAACTAACCAAAATTCTAACTAAGTAAGGACTCGCCAACAATGTGCTAGTTTAACTTGAGAGAGAAAGAACATCGCCTTAGCCAATTGGTGGGTGGTGTGATCTCCTACAAATCCCCCTCCTCGCCATTGCATTTGCATAATAATGTATGGGATCAAATTTTAATTCAAAGTGAAAGACTAAAGGGAATTTTCTTTTTTAGAAGGAAGGGATCAAATTTTAATTTTAATTGCCTTTATTGTACAAAAGGAAGATACGTAATATTTGACCAAATTCTATTTTATTATACTCTTTTGGGCTTTAATGTATGAGGAATGCTAGCAACCTTCTCTCTAACCTTCTTCTTTGGATCTTTTCCCTTTTTTGCTTGACATGTGTCATTCTCCTTACACTTAAAATAATGTCATTAATATATTATACAAGCTAACTTTTGCTTCCCAAGTTTATCCTTATTAAATGTATTCAATTTATTCAAAAGAATTTCACAACTTTCTTACCATCTTCTTTAAAAAAATAATTGACATTTAAAAAAAATAATAATAAGATTGTAAGAAAGTTGTGAAATTTTTTTAGATAAATTGAATACATTTAATAAGGGTAAACTTAGAAAGCAAAAGTTAACTTGTATAATATATTAATGACATTATTTTAAGTGTAAGGAGAATGACACATATCAAGCAAAAAATGGAGAATGTTCAAAGAAGAAGGTTAAAAAGAAGGTTGCTAGCATTCCCCCTTCATCTATTTGGAAAATATGTTCTCTTTGAGCCTTTGTCCGGTTCATTTCGACTTTTCTCAATAAACGACAAAATCTATTAACATTCCAACACATGGGCATGCGTCACGTCACATAATATGAATGCCTCAGCCACCTAATGGCAATGGCATTTCCGCAATGAACATTAAACATCTGACCTCTTGGTTAAGGTCGACTGTGGGCTGTATATATACGCTGCGGCTGAGCCCATTACATTCGTCACACAAAAAAAACAACTTGTAATAACCTAGCTTGCTTGAGAATATCACAATCCTTTGAGAGAGAGAAAGCAAAGAAAAAATGGCTGAAGAAAATCAAGTCATCGATTGCAACAGTACTAACGCATGGGAAGAGCAGCTCCGTAGGGGAAACGAGAACAAGAGACTGGTATTTCAATTTTCAGATCTCCAATCACACTTCTATATCTTTTTGCACTCTTTTTTCTTCGCTTACAAAAAATTCAATTTTAGTCTCCATAAGTTTAAGGGCATTTCCATCAATTCACTATAACTAAAAATAATGATTTAAAAAAAACGAAAATATTGATTTTAAAAATATTAAAAATAAAATATATATATAAAAAAAAAGTTAACCTTACTCAAGTGTCTTGCCCATCAAGAAATACTTAAGCAAACTGGATTGCATTAGGATAGGTTGTTTTAATCCATATAAGACTACGAACCCTCAAAGCTCTAGTATTCTAATCAAATTGGACTTAGACTATAGATGTAGATATGTTTGAGCAGTACTTCTTGATCAATACAAACTCCTCAACTCCTTATGTGATTAGAAGACCTCATTTCGTGGCTAAGACAAGATATTGTCTTACAATATTCCCTTTGTATTTTGTGATCAGCTTCAATGGGGAATTTTTTATTTCTTGTTCACTGTATTGAAATTGTTTGTGTCTAGAAATTTAGTTCCAAATTTTGAAATCAAGAGCAAGAATTGGGTGCATTCCAGCGCTTACATTTCAAAATAGAAATAATTTTGTCCGACTCTAGATAGGGGTTTGTAATTTGCAAATGGCTTAAAAACCTAGGTGTACGGTTGTGTCCTCCATCCCTTTAACATTTTGGTTGTGGAATTGGTTTTATACTTTGATTAACTAATACATTAATTTGATGTCTTTAATTTAATAGCTGGTGGTGGATTTCACGGCTTGGTCTTATGGACCTTGCCAGTTGATCGCCCCAATCTTGGCGGAGTTGGCTAAGAAGAACCCAGAAGTAACGTTCCTAAAGGTGTACGTGGATGAACTGAATACTGTTTCTGAAAAGTGGGGTGTGGATGCAGTGCCTACCTTCCTCTTCCTCAAGGAAGGCAAGGTAGTGGACAAGGTTGTGGGTGCCAAGAAAGACGAGTTACGGACCAAAGTAGGGAAGCATGCCGCTGTTGCCTCCCCCACTGATGATTCCCGCCCCACCAGTGATACCTGCCCCAGCGGTGCTACTGCTATTGCTACTGCTACTTCTTCTGAGAGTGCTACTGCTACTTGTACTGCTACTGCTACTTCTACTGCTACTTCTACAGATACTGCCTAACTTCTGTCATTCTCTGTGGAGGAGACCATGAAACTCCTTTCTGTTTCACTAGTTGTTTATAACTTTTATGCGTTTCTTTTAAGACATCTGAATGCTTTATGTATATGGCTACTAGTTCCCATATGAATATGATGCCTCATGCCAATTATCTATGAATGTTTTTTTTTTAATAATTACAATGCCATATTTATTTGGGATGGAAAGTTCAAGAGCCAATTGGAACAATAAGATTATGCATTGAAATATATTTTGGAATGACAGTCAAAACCGGAGCCAATCTAATCAAACCTCGAGGCAAAAGCACTTGCCTTTACTTAACAATACTTCTAAAAGCCTCCTTGAGGCAAAAGCACTTACCTCTACTTAACAAACTACTATACACAAACACTCTGTGAATCGAGGGCATGGTCAAAAAGTTGACGGCCAGGTTGTCATTACAAGTGGACTGCTTACATATGTATAAAACGACACTCAGGAGGAATAGAAACTGCTAATCCTGGAATTTCATATTAGGAAAAAGACACTCAGGAGGAATAGAAATTGTACGACAAAAGCTTGTTATTTATTTATTGCTGTGTGAGCTCCAATTATAGCACTGAGACTGAGACATATTGATCAGAATTTCTTGAAGAGAGAGATCTTGGAGGTTTTCTGGCCACTTCCCAGCCAATGTTGCATATGAACTCCAATGGCATCCAAATACAAGCTGCTCCTGCCATGCAAGCCCACCACCTTGCCCTCTGTGGTAGTTGAAGTGAAAAATGTCCCAACTTCTTCCCCAAATGGACCATACTTGCCTCTGCTGGTATAAAATGTCAAAGACTTTATAATTTGAGGTCGCTCGTTTTTACTAATGCAACCATAATACCCAGATATACAAGTCAGCACTTCATGAGGATACTCCAATTTAATCTGCAAAACAAATTGATCAAGTAATAATTTGTTAGATGGACACATACAAATTGAGATTAAATTCGCTTGATCAAGATGTTAATTAAAGCATTTAATTTGTACTCGATGTGGGGCAGTTCCTCCATTGCCTCCATGCTTAGCGGACCAAATGAATTGACCGTTTCGATCATACTCAATTTGCACTGAGCAAATGCCCTCTGCTGCTCTTGTCAAATGAATCTGCCTAATCCCAGAAAACACTCCATCATCCCATGCTCTGCCTCCATCTCCACCCCATGGCCCCGGTCCACATGGGGTTGGCTCTTTTATCAACCCACAAGCAACCTGGCCACCAACACAGAATTACCTATCCAATTAGCACATGTATAATCTTTGTATTATCTACTAATATATATGCATGGAATTAGATTAAACTCAATTACCTCTTCAACTTTTCCTCTGTTTGTCATTAGCAGCTTGTTAGACCAGTGAGGATTGTCCACCTCTGTGATGGCCCCTGCAGGCTCCTTTGGGATGATTGCAGTGCAATTATTAGGAGTATTTGTGACAGGTGGTGTCTGTATCTCAGTCTCGACATTGACCTTCCCTTCTGTGGCATGCACCCCAAGAGCATCTAAGAAGAGACCCTTCCTCCCATGAATTCCAACAATCTTGCCTTCCTTAAGCTTGGTGGTGAAGGGGGTTCCTTGTTCTTCTCCATATGGCCCGTGCTTCTTCTTCGTCGTGTGGAAAGTGAGGGACTTAATCACATTAGGCCCCATCATCATGGCAGCCCCAAATGTTCCTGTTATGTGCGTCAAGATTTCGTTCGGAAAATCAAAAACTATCTGCACATATATAGTGTAAAACAAAACATTGCAAGTGAACGTTGATGTGCGTTCAAATCAAATGAAAAAATAAAAATAAAAAGCAGCTACCATAAATCAATATATAGTGTAAAACTATACTTAATTTGAGATAAATTTCACCTTGTCACTTTTATAACCTCCAGTCCCGCCATGTTTGGCTCCCCATACAGCTTCACCGTCGCAATCATACTGAACCTTTATGTATATTACAACTCCCACGTTTCTTGATAACTTGATTTGTCTAATTCCTGAATAAACTCCATCATCAAATTCAAAACCACCTGTCCCTCCCCACGGACCATACGTTATCACCCCTTCAGCAGCTATTGCCGGAACCTTCTCAATACTTGGCGTCTAAAATGAAGAACTTTATGTTAATGCACATTTTCAAATTGAATAACCTTGAACTTGTAAAGGCAAGTTTCTCTTACCTTGAACTTGGTTTCTTCATCACTTAATTCTCCAGAATTAGAAAATTGCATTGAGAGCTTTTTGTTGGGTACTGGTACTGCAGCTGGGTTAGCAGTGTAGTCATCCTTGGGTCTTATAGCAAAAAACACATCACAGTTTTGGAGGACAGAGTAGCCGGCAAGGTTCTGATCAGTACCACCAATCATATAAGACTGTGTTTGAAGCATAGTTTTTGAGGGTTGGTTTTGATAATTCTGAATAGGCTTTAGGTAAGCTCCTATTGAATCAAGAAACCAACCAGACTTGCCAAAGAACCCAACAATCTTACTACTCCCAGCTCTTGCCGCTGGGAGCGAAAAATAGGTTCCTTGTTCAATTCCAAATGGTCCATAAGTTTTTTTGTTGCTCTTGAATTTAAGTGATCGAATTGAGACCGGTCCCCATTCACTAATCTTACCATAATGTCCCTCAATTGAAGTTAAAAATTCTTCCGGATAAGCAAGCTTGACCTGCGGTAGTAAGAAGTAGACAAAAAATTTGCAAAAGATTATGTGATTAGCTAGCTTTAATTAATCATGTCATGTACTCTATGGGATTAATAAAGTAATGGTGACTTGGTAATGAAGTAACCGTGTCTGTTTTCCAGCCTCCATTTCCACCATGCCTCTCAGCCCAAAATGAGGTCCCTTTCTCATCATATTCAACCTGAATGGAATCAATGGCCGCTCCGTGAGCTATCACCAACTGCTTCACCGTTGAGTAAACTCCATCTTCCCAAAGGAGCCCGGTTTGGCCTCCCCACGGCCCAACTGATACCAGTTTGTTCTCGGATCCTTCAAAAGTACTCTGCCACCATGCATTAATATAGTCCAACTCTAATTAGTGAGTTGAGTTGTAATTAAGTGACGAGTGGAATTAAGTTGAAGAACAATAACATGAATGAATTAGACAAAACAAACAGTTACCATTTTGGTGCAGTGAGCAGAGCGGGTGAGCGTGAGAGTGTGAAGGATGAAATTGAATGTTGCGGTGTGAAGAAGAGATGGGTGAGCTAGGAATTTATACAGACAAAAAGGATGCTTTAGGTGTGAAGGTGCATGAATTAAGGGAAATAATTTATTTATAGGTGGATTAGACTTTGGAGAGGAAGAAGCTAATTCTCTTCTCCACTATGGAGGGAGCGAATGGCTTCCAAGTTAAAGAATCAAATGATTGCTCAAAATATCCCTTGTGCCTGATAAGAAACAGAAAAAGAGTCTTATCTTTGGCTAGCTTTCAAGCATTCGTGACGGTCTGGAATTTTTCCCATACATTTTATGCAACGAATTCAAATTGGGAGACAGAAGATTACGCAGTAACTCCTTTATTCGGAATTTTCGAATATATATATATTACATATCTTTCTGCATGGCATATATCATGATCAGTTCGACATCCATAGTGTTACATTTCCCATCATTGTTCATTCGTCAAAGGTTTTTTTAAAAGGAATTTGTTCAGAATTTGTAAACAGAAAGGAATCTTGAATTGGGCCTTTTAGAATTTAAGAGAAAGGACATTCCGATTCGGCCCAACATAAAAAAGAAACTGAAGCCCAATTCTGTGTTTCATATTCTTCAGCTGTCGTAAACACAGGCCCATGAAAAGTTTTCTGATTTGAGCCCATGTATTTTTATTTATTTTAAAATCACCTTAAAAGAAAAAGAAAGGTGAAATAATATTAATAATAAGAGTAGCGATGAAAGTGGGATTTGATAACTCCAGAACAGAGTAGCATCCCTCCCGGATAAACCAAAACCTGGGACAGCTAAATGCCTGGTTGGTCCGCAGCACCGACGTAAACGGAACGGAGATCTAGCTAGCTAGCGACCAAATTGCAAATTCACATGTAGACGGAAGAAACAAACGGCCATGAAAGGTGGCCCATTACACGCTTCTAAACTCATTTATTTGGGACCCACCCACATTCCCATAAACTATACTCTCTAGTCAAAAGCACCATCTGTCCTTCTTCCGTGTTTCTTTTCCTTTGTTTAATAAATCATTCGTAATCTTCTTTTTCCTTCTTTTTCTTGTGTCCTTGAGTAGACAAAGTTGTATCGTTCGTTGGCTACCTTTTTGTGCCAAAATTGAAATGGCGACGATATCAAATCCCGCTTTTAGAGTTTAGAATGATCAATCAAACGTCCACAGTTGCATGTAAAAAACAAATAAAAGTCATTTCTTTAAATATGATTGATTTCATGCTTGTAATTGAAGTAAAAAAGCTAACCCCCATCATCTATCTGCAAACACAGTGCTGATTCAAGGAGAGAATTATTGTTTTTCTATTTTATTATTGAAATCATGAGAAACAAACATTGTATACATTTTTTACGGATTGCCAATTCCAACAATTTAACCTTGAATATTATATATGGTGCCTTAAACATAAGGATAAGGGGTACCTCCCCTATTAAATGAAGAGTGAAAATGAAGTAAACTCTGCGCTGGTTGCACAATTGCATAATTGCATAATTGCATAATTGCATTGCCTTGCCTAAACAGGGGGAGAGAGAGAGAGAGAGAGAGAGAGAGAGAGAGAGTTAAAAAATGGTTGGGGTTTTTATTACAGAAAAAGCAACCCAACCCAACCCAACCCTAGGAGGAGTTTTATGTACAGACTACAGAGAGTCAACCAGTGGGCCAATGTCAAAGAATTCACAATATTCGATCGAACAAAGCAATGGCCCCCTCTGTCTGTCTAGTCTTCTCTTCTGGCTCCTCCTCCATCAACCTCCTTTCCTCTTCCCTTTTTGATTTTGAATATTTGTGGGGGACAGGTAGAAA